ACGGTTGCTAGACACCGAATAGAGTTACAGCACATTCGGTAGTGAACTCCTAGCTATGTATTGTACTACGGCATTTTCAACACTATATCGAAGGCCGTGAATTCACTCTTTTCACGGACCATAAACCGCTCACTTTCTCGTTAAGCTCTCCTTCTGACAAGTACTCTCCCCGTGAGTCTCGACAACTGGACTACATTTCGCAGTTTACTTCAGTTATTCAACATATCTATGGAGCAAACAATGTAGTTTCAGACGCCTTGTTTCGCGTAACTTTCTTGAACAGTTTCCAAGGAATCGACCTTCTTAAACTCGCCCAGCTTCAAAAAGAAGACACTGATCTTCAGCATGAGTTATCGTCCACAACCCTTAAACTACGCATCAAACAGATGGGAACAGGTAAGGAAACCTTACTGTGTGACACATCTACAGGTAGGGATCGCCCAATCGTCCCGAAACATTATCGACGCAATGTCTTCAACACATTGCACAAACGTTCTCATCCAGTTGTTCGTGCAACCATCGAGCTTATAGCAGAACGGTTTTGCTGGGCTGGCATGAATAAAGACGTGAGGGAGTGGGCACGCTCCTGTGTAAGCTGCCAAAAATCTAAGGTTATCAGACACAATAAATGTCCCTTAGGTTCATTTAAAACTCACCATGCTCGTTTCGACCATGTTCATCTGGATTTGGTAGGACCTTTACCAGATTCAAATGAATACTCTTACCTCTTAACCTGTGTAGATCGTTTCACACGATGGCCAGAAGCAGTACGTATCAAGGACATCACTGCTGAAACAGTGGCCCGCACCTTCGTCGAACGATGGTTAGCAAACTTCGGTTGCCCTTCAATCATCACTACAGATCGCGGACGTCAGTTTGAGTTTGAGCTTTTCGGTCGTCTGACCACACTTTTAGGAAGCACTCGCTTCCGGACGACCGCCTACCATCCACAAGTAAACGGGTTGGTAGAATGTTTTCACCGACAACTAAAAGCTTCACTATCAGCTGCAAACGTTTCACAGTGGACCGACGCTCTTCCACTCGTCCTACTAGGTATCCGCAATGCAGTGAAAGCTGACATTGGATACACTTCAGCTCAACTCGTTTATGGAACGACACTTCGACTTCCAGGAGAATTCGTCGATTCTTCATACTCTTCAATGAGCATGGATCTAACCTCCTACACGAACAGGCTTACAAACGCAGTGCGTTCAGTTAAACCTGCTTCCACTCGACCACAATCCACCGATGTTTTCGTTCAATCTGACGTACAATATAGTACACACGTTTTCGTTCGTCGAGACGCACATCGACGACCATTCTAATCAGCATACGAAGGACCTTTCAAAGTTCTTCAATGCGAATCTAAGTCCTATATAGTCGATAAGAACGGAACAAACGATACCATCAGCATCGGTCGCTTAAAAGCAGCGTATTTAAAAGGAAATCCTATTCACACCGATTTCCCTTCGGTACAATCGCACAACACGACTCCTACACTCATAATTCCTCAACCAACAACCAACACTAGCGATGACACTCCGAATGTGTCTGAATATAAACTTAAAACGACACGTTCTGGAAGAAGAGTAAGATTTCCAGAACATTTAAACGAATACTGCACGTAAGGCACTACTTGACATTTTATATTATCTCGATTTTTCTTTTCACGATATATAATATTTAAAAAAATCAGTTTTAATATGTTTATATATTTCTATTTTTGTTTTAACAATAAAACATTTTTTAACGCTATTACGTGTGCTTGAGTTTATTTTCCTTTTCTTTTCGCCGACATTGTGTTTTTACGTACATACGAGTGTATTTCGACATGCACTTACATTTTCTTTTTTCTTTTCCAGGACGGCTGGAAAAGACTGATGAAGTTTACGGGGAGCCGAAATTGTCATTGTACCTTTTCTTTTCTTACTATGTTGTACCTCGGTCCCATATAGTAAGGAAAGACGACCAGACGCTGCTAAATTTAGTAAGCTATCAGAAGAGTGTTTACCAACGACAAACTCGTTGGGTTTAAACTTCTGGCTGGCCACGTCTTAGGGTCATCACTGCCTCACCAGGGGGGGAGTGATCTGTAGCGGTAAATAAATCCCCAAAATAAATAGCTCTGTAGGTTTTCGACATTGAATGCTGGCCATATGTTTTAGTGTACTCATCTAGCTGAAGGCGCTCGGTCATGCATCCGCACCAGATCACGTGTGGCTACGCTGTGCTCAACATCTACCGCAATCGCTAACCAGATTAGATCAGAGAATTCCGATATATTGGTAATCGCCAAATACACTCTTCCGATCTTCTCGACTCTGTCTTTTGATTTCTCTCGCTGGGAACAAAGTATATTAGAAGGTGTTACTGGTAGAAGCGTTGTCAAACACTGAATACCTGTATCATCCTCAACACAGTCATAATGGTTCTGTCTGGTGAAGACACTGACAACATACAGTCTTCTGACCACTTTAATAAACAACGCTAACATGTTTGTGTGATGTACCCCGTCAGAAACTGAAAAATGTTATTTTAGAAATGGCTAGCGTCATTGACTGAATTAGTGATAAGAAGTCAGGTAGTTGTGTGATGCATGCTACTTATTTAATGTGTAGCACCAAAAGAAAGTAACAATCTTGACGGCAGAAGGTTAAGAAGACCAAGCTGAAGAAGAAACAGAAACGGAAATACAAAAGAACTTGTGAATTTAAAGAATAATACATAATGCGAGGGACAAAATGACTTAATCTTGCAAAGGAAGTATCCAATGTCTAGTTCTCTTGTTTCGCAAGGAGATTTTGTGATTTTTGTGCTGAAATGTATTGGTCTTCCGCATCCATCTTTATGTTCACAACAGTTGAACTCACTGACCGCTTCAATTATATTGAGAATCTTATTCAACCTGACGGCGCGATGTCTGTCAAGATCTCGGCACAGGTTCAGAAAGCTCGACTGGATTTTGCCAACTTGCATCACTTGTGGCGTGAGCGAAATATCCCTGTGTCAATTGAAGTATGAGTTTGCCTTGCAGTACTTTGATCCTCTTTACTTTAACGATGTGAAAAACCGTCATTAAAATAGAAACTATCCGGAGGTTACTAATATTCGGTCGAAAGTGTTTTAGTTGGAGACGATAGATCCCAAAAACTAATATTTTGTAATTTCATCTTATTGATTAACTTATCGATTAAATGTTTAAATATTTAAATAGCAGTCAGTTGACGAACTTATTAATTAATGTTTAAAAAGATTTCCATGTCAATATCGACTACAAATATTTGTATAAACACGCTTGATTCGTGTGCTTGATTGACCTGACCTGACTTGGAATCTGCTGGTTGCCTGTAGAATACACTTTCTACGCCTTACCAAGACTTCTTGATCGCGTTAGCTGAATCGGGGACAACGAACCAGGATAGCCTATCGAGATTTTGAATCCCTTCATCCGATCGATAAGTCACTGCCCTCTAATCGGCGGCCATTTGAGATATAACAGTTTTCAAAACGTCGCTCGTCTGTTTTGGGACCGCGGAGTAAGGAATGTTTAGGCTAGGAATAGGGTACTAGGTATGGATGGTAAATCGACTAATGAGGTAGTTAATATTTATCAAGTGGAGCGGTTGAGACACGCGTTAAGTATACGGAATCGGCGGTCGATGTTTTCTGATGTAGGAGTGGACCGGAAGATGAGGGGTCGGCAAAACCAAAACGTGGTCGGGAGAGTTGAACCATGTTAATAAGTGTAGGTTTAGATCCATGTGATATCATGACTAATGATTAGGGGGCTTTAAACGATTCAGTGCAGAATTATTTTCAGAGGCACAGGTGCATCGGTTTTACGTCTTTCCCCAAATCCTGAGATTATGAAATACTCACAACTCTTCTTCCCTTTATTTTGTTTCCTTTTACTTATATTTTCTTGTCCAATAAGATCTTCCGTATCTAATATTTCCTTTGATCACTGACATTGTCATAGCATCTACTATTCTCGGGATCGGTCTGATAATTTCATCTCCCTTTGCTGATAGGGTATAACAATTAACGTACGTGCGTACCAGATTCCATGTCGTATGGAAGTCAATCAATTTCTTAATAGAGAATCAAACTTCAAGATGTGAATACTCTTCAGAAGGTGGTATTCACGAGTAGCCACTTTATACACTATCTCTCAAACTTCTGAGTCACTTTAATTAGGATTGTGATGCCTGCTAACGTTTTTTTACGCTACTTCTCTTTTTTGAGTAAATCAGCCATAGAAGGTTTAATAAATATTAGTTATAAACTACCTCACGACACTGAACTTGAAGATAAACAACTCACAAGGTGATGATTGTCACGAGGAAGAATATCCTTGACAGATAAGTGCGAGAAATTCAGACTTACTATCTTGAGGATGATAGTGACTTCACAGTAAACCAGGCCACATAGTGATAGTGATGCATGAATGAATCCCTTCTGTCAGAAGTGCGTAATAAAACTAGCAAGGTCAGCATAAAAACAAAGCCATCTTTTAGGATATTGTTCCTTACTATATATCATTTTAATCAGAATAAAAAATCATTTTAGAGTTTTGAACTTTGAGTTGCCGTAAATTAATATTTCCCTATGCGATTTTTCTAGGAGTTTCTGAGTTGCTACACTGTTGCCTAGGTAGTATTATTCACGAGACTCGAGATATTCCTGATTAAGATGTGACAATACAATATATCTGAAGGCACATTTAGTTCCCAAGCAGATAAATGGCTAGCAAAACACGTGACATTTCTCTACAAAATAAAACCATATTGACAAGAGTATCATCAGACAGTAATATAAAGAATTCCTGCCATGGTATAGACTAACACGAGAGCATTGAATTGGCAATGATATCAGATATTAAAACAATTAAATTAATTGAAAATCCCTTTTTCTTTCTGTACTTACTAAGGTGTAGGCTACTCGACTCAGTAGATTGGCTTACAACATCCATGATCTGCTGAACACTTATCGTTGTCATAGTACTTTCTGCAGCGGGTTATCAAAATTTCGGATTTTTGGAACTTCTAATAACTAGTGATTATTTTCATTACAAAAGCTTACAAGCGTGCAGAATGAGCCAAGCAAAATTGTTGACTGCGGTTAGTTGATAAACAAATAATGTGTCTGTGATCATTTCATTAGTAGGTCTTCAATAAATAATGGACTAGAGTATATTTTTTGATGTTTTTATAAGTCCTACAACTTTTAAAGTTTTTTGCTAGGGTAGTAGTTAAATAGGTAGTTTTAAGGTGTTTTTCATAATTCATTTCTTGTACCATTAGCAAGTAAACTGTTGCGGCGTTCGATATCCAAAACTATTTATTAATGTGACTGTAGTCACACAGTGAATTATACATGATTTATTAACTAACAAAAAGGGCTTTGTTCCCAAATCGAAGAAGAACTCTCTACCCATGTTTACCTCTTTAGTCCTATTCAAGTGAGGTACCTCACTTGAATAGGAATAGATTATAACACGTGTTATAATCTATTCCGATATCGGCATACACAGTTGCAGGTCGAGTGAAGATAACGTTATTGTTCGTATAATTCAGACATTAGTATAACACAATGTGTGATACAAAATATAGTAAGGTGGGGAATGAAGTTCTTTTACATGAATTTATAAATTCATGTAGAAGAACTTCATTCCCCACCTTACTATATATGACACTGCTTACTTTTCACCGAGACTTATTTCAACGTTATGTGACTTTGTGATCACAAATGGCTTCGAAGCCATTTTTGTTTTGTAAAGCTAGTGAGAACGCACTTAAATATATAGAGTAATCCTCCTCTTATAATTTTGCATCAGTCCGATTTGTATGGAATAAGCCAGTCTTAATCAGTTCGTTGGGAATACATTTTTATAAATGGTTTTGACCAGGATATTTTTGGACACTATCTACCATATGTGTCAACTTAGACATACTTTATGCCCAGTTTGATTTTAACGCCTCAGTAAGTTGTGAATTAAAATATCCGGTGTGTATTATTTGCAATAATCATTGTTATTAATACAAAAGTAAATACACTGTCGAAAAATCGATAAAAAATGACACTGATAAAATTTATGTACTAAAGACGAGTCAGATTTTTAAACGCTAGGAGGAAAACATAAATATTTTCCAAACAGAGCGCATAGATTTACATACTAGTGCTTATAATGACACTATTCGAGCTTTCATATCACGGTAAACCGGCATTTAGGCTCACGCAAAGGTTTTTGGTCACAATTATATTTATTTCTTCTTTACCCACTTCTTGGATGAATATATGGAATAAATGTTCCGGTTCCAATAAAATTGAGTCTTATCAATATTTGCTTTCTTACCACAGTCAACGTAAACGTTTATTATCGGTAACTTTAGCCAGAAACATAAACTATATACCTAATTAATGTACTCACATAAATCACTACTTTTTCTTTGCCACTGATTTCTCAGGCGTTCACTAAGATTCCTCATTATGAAGAACATATCGCTGTTCAAAATCTGCCTTTTTCAGTTGATCCTATTTTATTGGAATCAGATTATCAGCTTGTTTTACCACCATTAGTTACTGATAAATGCACGGTATCACAACAAAAGTGTGATTCCAAAAACATATTACAACGTTTAACCTCTCGTCGAAAAGAAAAACATAAGGACCGGTTGAGACGATGGCATGAAAAGCTTTCGGAAATTAGCCAAGTAAGATATTGTTTCTATCAGTCAATGCGTTCCATTTTATTTCTTTATATTTATTTTTTTCAAACTACTCTAGTTCTTGTGTAGTTTTATGCGGATACTAACAGAAAGCGTAAAACGCCATGAATGTCTCATCATCCTCATTTTTTCCATTACTTGTTAACATAGACCTTCACTTTGCTTGCGCCAACGTTTTGTATTTAAAAAGCAATTGACTTTCATTACCAATCCAATCTTTATCTTTGGTAATTTTTTCTGTCTTTTAAAACAGTTAAAAATGTCGTTAAATGATACCCATAAAACGTTTGTGAATCATTTGGTTTCTCTAAATTTAGTTTAATATTTTAGAATAAGCAATGATAATATGTGATAGTGTCGGGTCTTAGTTGACTATGGTCACCACTACAGATCGATTACGTGCCAATTACCAGATTAAATCCCTCCGTAGGACAAATATTAGTAGGATAGTTGTAGATTGTAGTTAGGATGTATTTGTTGGTGATCTTGTGGTATCAAACTAATACCGAGATCGTGCCAAAGTTTACAAGCGAGACTACCATGCGTACATGAGTAAGTTCAAGGTTATACACAACGGAAAAGGTACAGTAAAACAAACACTGGTACAGTTGACCATAATAATAAATGTTTCTATTACACCAATCGCATTCTCGTCATGAAAGTAGATCACTACAAATGCATGTATTTATTCAATTATACAAAAATTTCCAGACATGTTATTAACGTACTCTGATAGTAGTGATTAAACCAGCAATTGTATGTAGAAAAACATCGTAGGTATATGTGAATGTACTGCATGAAAATTATAAACAAGGTGCGCGATTGTTTGCAAACCTTTTATTGCTTCACATGAACACTAAAAATTTACATTAACATTCATCAACAAAGACATCACGGTTGGGAACCACAAAATTTCTTTTGTTTTATTTTAGAATATTGAAAACCAAGTAAAAGAATGTTGTGAAACTACTGCTGACTTATTAAATACTAGCTGGGAAAGACAAAATCAAATGTTAAATGCAAGTCAGTCTGATGAAGTAAGTTGTGGATTATATTCGAAATATGATAGGTTGGTATTATGTGATTGTTAACATTATTTGATTCCTGTTTAGTAACCACCATTTTGTCTCCTATAGTCCTGATTAATCACTATGTTCTATAGATTATACTTTGATGTATATATATTCATCAAAGCAAATTTACTTGTGAATTTGTGATCTTGAGTGCTGTCTTCCTTTAAACTGTGAGATTAAAGTCGCTTCATATGTTTATTTCTACGAACTAATTCTTTCTTCCTGTACCATGTTCTTATATGCAATCTTTCTTTTATATATCACCACCACTGAATTAACTACTTCTTGTTGTGCTAACGAGGTATGGCAACTTGAACTGATGCACATATGTGCCTGATTCTACTTTGTAGCTGACTGACTGACTGGCTGACATGTGAATTCATACAAACTCGAGAAGGTAGTTATTTAGGATGAACTAAAAACAACTAATCTCCATGGTTTTTGGAACATAATCTTCAAATCTTGTGTTTTAGATACAACTCTTTGTATTCAGGTCAAGTTAGTCTTGACTTACAATATGTTTTTTTTCAGGAAGTGGATAGACTTGAAATAATTGCCTTGATTTTGGAGAAAAAAAAGTGATTTCGTATCAGATAGTTGGTATAAAGTTGTGATTTTATAGAATTATTATCCTGGAAACTTTACTTAATACCATATTTACTTGCGAAATACCGAAACAAAATAACAAGACATATCTGAAACTATAGCTTTATTATGGGAATCAAATTGACCATTGTAAATTTATGAATCTCTAATTGTTGATTGTGCGTTAGTGTTTGACGCTCCACAGAACTACAAACAGTCGAAAATGACAATACACTTCAGATAATTGAACAAAGATTAATTTACAACGTAAACTATAAAGCAGAAAACAACAATACCAAATGAGAATACCACCTATTAGTTTAAATGAATTAAGCACTTTATTTGGAAGTGATATGCAGTTGATCGAATTAAGTTTCAATTAAACGCTAAGCGTGGAAAGATTACTAACCATCTAATATGTGATTCATTTCCAATTATTGGTTTGTACCCTAGACTTATTGAGTTCAGTCTGCTTGTAATTGTATTGGGTAAAGTATTATCTAGTCTGTACTCTAGTTTTCTATTTTTGATCACCAGTCGTGAATCCTATATGACGTGATTCATTCTGTGTATAACGTATCGATCGAATATCCAATCTAGTGATAGAAGAATTTCAAATTATAGTTCTATAATCATATTACAGAAAATATCAAGTTAGCAGAGGGATTTTGATATCTATTTCAATCTTGTTTCATTTTTGATGGAGTTTTGTTCTCTGAGCTGGATAGTTTGGTCGTGAAGCTTTCATTGTTCCTCTGAACGACATCATCAGTACAAACGTCTACCTTCTTTACGACCAAACCATCCAGTTCAAAGAACAAAACTCTATTAAAATCCTCCACCTGAGATACAGATCTTTTCCATCATCTCAAAATTTTGTCTCAACCACCAACCAATGAGAACTGTTAAGACTATCAAGAATAACGAATAAAAAATGAAATTATGAAGAGATAGATGGAAGATAGCGAATATAATCCAGAATTGTACAAATAACTAAAAAATACGTAATGAAGACTAGTTTATCATAAAAGTGACAGTTAAATTTAGAACAAACATCCAGGAAGAATTATTTCAATTGAAGGAGTTCCTCTGGTTTTTGTAGAGAACGATGAAGAAAGCTACAGCACGATTAAGACTTGCTTAAATTTCCGGTTGCGTCTATTAACGTCTCAAACCGGCGTTTCGCAGTGTCTCTAGGATCCCAATCAGGAAGTCTTAATGCACTAGCAAACGTTAATCCAATGCAACTTTCTTTCATACCCCGCGTTCATATCATAAATTAATTACCTCTTTTTTTCCCCACTTAGTCATTGATGTAAATCAGAATTAACATTGGTCTGTTCCAACTTGTCATTTTAAACCTCTTCATATCCTCTTTTGATGTACAGTTAAAAGGAAAATCATTTCACTTTCTTCATTCACATTTTACGTTTCATTTTGAAATGACGGAGAAGATTTGTACTTCAGCTGGTTCCTTTTAATAGTATTGTATTATCTAATTTAAATACCTTCCACTGTAAAAACTTTCATTGTTATTCTGCATAACATTATCAGCGTCTGTAGAATAATTTAACGCTTTACTTCTAGGCAACAATGAAAGCGGTAACATTAGATCAGTAATTTTAAATCACCAAATTAAAAGAGTGTAACACTTATCAACTAAGTGCCATATTCATTTCTTAGCGAAATATCCTTTGTACCAGTTTTTCTTACATCACATTTGAGTTAGTACATTTGGAAAGTTTATCATATGTATTATTTCATACACATATAGTTCCCTTTATCATTTTGAAAAGAACAAGAACAAAGATCCTCTCAGAATAGTATGAATTCATTCGATTTCATTGATATAGTATAGCAAGGGTGTAAATATATATACCTTATGCGGAAGAACATTCTACAACATTGATCGTGACAATAGTTCAAACGACCAGAATACAAGTGATCACATAATGAGTAAACAGTGGTAATAATCAAATGAGTAAAACTCAGTGAATAAAATAAGATGACTAATGTGGAAGAGTAAAAAGATGTTTAAGATGCAACGAAGGAATATTTGTCACCAAAGCCAAGGAAAGATTAATAACCATTTCCTTTTAAACACACTAATCAGGATTTTGACGCCTGATAGCAACGGCTTCAAAAGAATGGAGTTTGGCTGCTTACTAATCACCTTGGAATATTGCAAGTTATCAATCTGATGTCTTGTATCCAAGAGATATTAGGTAATTACACTGTTTAAACTCTTTCCCTTTCTTGTTCTAAGGCTTTTTGGAACATGTTCAAAAAATGTAAGATATACCCTTCTTTCTGTTTGGCCAATGTAGCTGCTTTGGCAGCTACATATAAATTCATGAGCAAAGTTGGCGGTAATATGAAAGGGGTACTTGCCAACCTTTGATTAAGTTATTAAACATGTTGTTTTATACAGAATTAATAGTTTGACTACTGAGTAAGTTCTAGCTAGTGTAGTGTTCAGCCTCCTGCTGATTGTGTTTGCGACGTCATCACCTTTAAAGTTGAGATTTATAGATACTGGTTTTTTATTGACCGTAATCACTTCCGTCTTGTTTTCTTTAGGTTTTTTGTATTTGTCAATACATTTTGTGCGTAACAATTGTCTCTTAAGCGTTTCTCAGCGTACATCAATTCTTCTTCCAGTTTTTTGTGGGTACATATCCTTTCTACCCTATAAAATTATGTTTTAATCAATGATTTCTTGTAACTGATTAGACAAAAGCTACTGAAATTCAGATAAAGGCCATTCCAAGAACTTTTTTGATACATCAAACGTTGGACTGTTCCGTCTCCCCTACGTTTTATAGTAACATGAAGAAAGTCGAACATGTCATTCTGTTCGTATTCCATAGTAAACTGTATATTAAGAGTTCTAACAGGTTGATTGTATGCTGTTTATTCTTACAAACAACAAACATGTGATCAACATATCTAGAGTATTCCATCATTTCATTAATCACTTGTTTAAGTACCATGTACCTATCATAATTGGATCCAATAGACTTCCCATTAATAAGCCATCAACGAAATATAATGAATTGATGATATTCTTCTAGGAATCTTTGTTCGTGCTCTTTTCTATATATATTATTATTATTATTACTATTTCAGCATTTATTGAACTTGGAAATATCTGATTTAGACTGTAAATGGAATCAAGTTGATCATGAATATATTCAACGTAGAAATGAAATTAATCATTTAGAAAATCAATTATATTCAATTGAAAATAAGCGAATTAATCAAGTTGAGTGAGATATAATTAATAATAATATATTTTACTACTATTACTACTACTACTACTATCTATATATTTCAGTAGTATATTCTTTTACTGTATTATGAAGTGATAACTTAAACATGTCTTTTAACTAATTACAATTCATTAACTATGATTTGACTAGACTGATAATATGTCAGAAAGAGAAGAGATAGAGAAATGATTAAATTTGAAAATCAGTTTGTATAATCATCTACCTATAGTCGATTTATGGTGTAAACTAGAAAAATACTTATTTGATAGTTAGTTGGTTCATGATATTTTTCTGTAACTAAGTGAATAAAACACAGAATAAATGGAATGTGGTCAGTAGTAGGATCTAGGAAGAGTGTTTCCTTCCATTTAAGATTCATCATCTGGATCTCTCTTCGTTCTGGTGAATTGATGCTACCTCTGGGACTTGGACCCAATGTCTTTCTGATCAAACACCCGTTGCATAAGTAAGTGGTTGTTTGGAATCAGTAGCTGATTGAATAATTTGTTAAGGTTGAAGTCCTAGATTGAGTATCAACTCGCTCTTGGGTGCAGGTTGATCCACTTGACGAATCTTAAATAGAACGAAATGACGCACTTTTTGGGTTCCACTGCTGACTACATCCTATCTATTTCATATGAACTTCTGTCATAAAGATTATATCGAAGCGATCCGCACAGGATGTAAATATTCCAAATAATAACGATTACAATTCAGTTAAAATATAAACAACTGGATAATTTGAACCGTTACCAGTGAAGTTCATTTACCAATAGCTGTGTTATTCAGCTTCATGTCAAAAATGCCACAGTTTTATGGGAAAGGTGTTTGATGAACTAGTTTTATTTTATCAAAATGAGTGATTACTATCTTGATCAATTAGTGACTGTACTATGATACATTGTGGCTGAGTAACAACTAATCACAATACCAGATTATTGATTCAAACTCTGGAATAGACGGTAATCAAAGACATAATCCTTAATCAAAAGATAAGACTTTCTTACATAATAAAATAACACGCTGATATACAACCTGTTAACAGAAAAGTGATAATGATTTGCTGGTACAGGCTGCTGTAGGCCATTTTCTTACCAATAAATTAAGATTATTAGACATAATCCTTACTTATTGTATCACCTCATCTCCAGTAAGTAAATAATCAGTAAGTACTATGCAAAGTAGCACCTGAGATATATGTACATTGGTGCTGGTTACCACAATTTATTAGCACAGCGAAAAGAGATTGACAAGATGAATACTAGAGTAGTAGAAGCAGTAATAGTATCAGTAGCAGTAGAAGAAGACATATATAGATATGATTTGAGAAAAATGATTATGTAGAGACAATTTCGATATCCAGGTTTTGAGGGAAGATGAAGAGTTGGTAGAGAAGATTTCTAGTTCAGGTACCTGAATTTTGTGCTGATGATGTCGTTCAGAAGAACGATGAAATCTCTACGACCAAACCATCCAATTCAGAGAACAAAACTCCATCAAAATAAATAAATTTCCAGCACCATTCGTAAACACCATTTTACTCTTAACGAAACTGAAATCTATGAGTTAAGACTCTGTTCTAAAAGATTTTTAACACATCGCGAAATAAGTTATTACTTACCTACACCTAATACCCCTCGCAGACGAGCAAAGGCTGACCATCATCTGTAGGAATATCGCACTTTATTTTCCAATTCATGCCTTTACGTCTGCATCCAATCCTCTTTGTTCATCGATGATGCTGTTCTGGTACGTGAAAGTTTCCCCCTCTTTCAAAGTTTCTCCATCAAATGTGATTGGGTTGGTGTTGTTCGTGTTACAATTGAAGATATGACTTTTTCTATTGTGCACGTTGAAGTCTGCTGTTGCAGAGGCTTCTGCTACACTAGTTATCTTGATTTGCATTTGCTGGTGTGCATGGGATAGAAGGGCTTGGTCGTTTGATAAGTCCAAATCGTCTATCCGCATACAAGCTGTCGAATGCATTCTGTGCTTCAACTCAGATGTGGAGGTCTTCATAATTCAGTCGACCATCAGAAGAAAGAGAAAGAGCGAGAGTAAGCAGCCTTGTCTGACTCCGGTCCTTGCTTGGAATGCATCTGTCCTCCATGCATCACTTTGCAATGTAGTGGTTTGTACTACTGATGTCGATAAATATAAGTAGTATGTATCATCAATAGAATATGAAATGTCTAGCGATAGAACGTTAAGGAGTTTGAAGAAAACAGAACCAGAACAGAGAATGATTGGTGTGGAAACAAGACAACAATGAAGTTTGAGACAATTGATTAACATTTTACAAATGAAGTATTTACTGTATGGTTCTCAGATTTTACTAAGTGATTCTGTAATTTCCTATTCAAATATATTCGATTGTCCCCTTCCTGTGTCCTCGTTCACTACCATACCAATACCGTTATCATTATATCTTAGTATAACTGGTTTCTTCAATGTTTTCTTTTTGCCTTTTTTTGTTGTTGTTTAGATAAAACAGGAATTTCATGAATTGACAGATTATTTAAGTAAATATTCACATTTAACACCAAATGAATTACAAATTGTATTACAAAAAGAAATCTTTGTGAGTTTGTTGTTAAGCATTGAAATTGATTTGAATTACGTAATAAGTACAAGTTGTTTCTATATAATATCAAGTTAAACATTGAAAGTTTGTATGTATATAATGTAAGAGTTCGAATCTCATTGAGGATTATGTCAAGCTTCGTAGGAATAAAGATATAGTTTGTTGACACTTATCTAAAGAGATAGAACATCAACATTTATGAATATAGTTTAAGAATATGTAGATATTTTCAATAGTTGAGATTATGAGTTAATTGAAACTAGACCACCATGGAAAACCTAGAAGTACTGGATGGCTGTTTCGGCCCAGTATGGAACTCTTTAACAGTGCACATCCACAATCGTGCACCAAAGGGACTCGAACCCAGGGCCTTCAATCTCACGCGCGCTCTGGGTCTCAATCCTGCGGAGCGGGATCGTGGATGCGCACTGCTGAAGAGTTTCACAATAGGACGAAACAGCCATTCAGTGCTTCCAGGCTTTCAATGGTGATCTAACATCAATCAATTCATGATCTCAATCAAAAACTTGACGATTTCCACTACCCTATGCTAAATATAAAATTTCATTTAATTAAGGAATAAACAATATGTTATTTGATACTATGAAGTTTCACTAATTAACTAGTGAGTTATTAATAATCAAGTTGAATGTGAATACCAATAGGATATGTTTATTTAGTAATTTGATAAGCTGCATTCTACAACATTTACTTCACAACTACTTCTTAACTCTTAGACACTTTCCACTCTTGAACTCAGAACATAAAAATACAATTTAGAAAGAATAAATTAAGTTGATCACTAAGGTGATCAATTACTCTTTTTTGAAATCAATTTTTCGTATGACTTTCGGTTAATTTTGATTGATTCTCATTAGTTTTAAATCATTTATTTCATGTAAGCTTTAAAAGGAGTTATTGATAAGTTTTGCAAATTGACCGGTATGTTCGTCTCCTAAGCTACTTTTGTAACCCTCAAGTTAGAACTATACAGAGACCTGAACAACGAGAGAGAAGACGCAAAATATGCGAGAAGCACTTTACTCCAAGGTTCATTTCAATACAGAAAATATAGGGTTTTTATAACAGTTTAAATGTCCTTGGGTTGCTAGAAGATACTGGAATGTTACTAAACATAGTAGCAGTATCGTAATCAGCCAATCAGAACCTCTGCATGTGACGTTTCGCCCCCCTTGATATTCCTGACTAAAATTTCAAGTGAACGCTGGTTGGAGGAAACGTGTTCTAGTGTTTCCTGAACCTTGCTTGACGTTTGCGAGGAATTTTCTGGATCGCCCCAACAGTTATTTCATTGTGTTTTATTCGACTTGTTCTGTTTTGAATATATATCAAGTTTCCCTTATAGTTCATCTTCATGATATGTTAATGATCGAATGTCGTATAGTATCTTCCACTATTTATTCTATTAGGGTAGTTGAACTCTTTCTATATTTGCAATCATCGTTCATTCATAGTAAACTTTAATTATCAAAATTTAACAGTACAAAAAATAAGGGTATTTATAGAACCGTGTGTGACCTTGGTGTGTGCCACACAAGTCAGTCGATTTAAGTGAGTGCTGTGATACTGTACGAGTGCCCAAAACGAAGCAGGTGGTTTTCTTAGGGGGGCACACTCGGAGCCTTTGATCTAAAGGTTTAGTCCACAAGGCAGTGGAGCAACGTAGGAAAATGCAATTTCATGACCAAAAATAGGTTCATACGTCATTTGTATCTTTAGGATCATGGAGCCCATGTGAACCATTGGTTTGGAATGAGGGTTTTCCAACTCCACCAGGTGGGCCCACTATATTTATCAACCCGATTAAAGCGCTGGACATTCTAGAAGCTTTTACAATGCATGCTAAAATTCATAACAAATTTGATCATTGCTTAATCAGGATAACGAAAACATGATCAGTGATTTTCTATATTTATGATGGAAGTTTCTTGAAAAAAAAACACTGATTGGTCAAAATATTTTCAACAATTACCTAACTTGTGGAAATGTTTATGAGGAGTTTTCCTGGCGAGACTCTAATTTATGGACGACCATTGAACGAATCTTCAGTGACCCTGAGAAATATTATTCAATCAGCACACAGTCAATATAGAGTAAAAATATATGATACAAAACCATGGAAATAAAGTGGATGCACTTCTTATACGTGGTTCAAAAACTTATCAAGGTTAGAAAGAGGTTCAGAGGTTCTAAAATCGTAATACATGCAGTAGAGGAAATCATCCATACGGATATAGAATAGTCAGCCTCTGGAGTCATGATAAAGTCTCAAAAACTCTTTGAGCCTCGACCACATGGCTTCAATATTGTTAAAGTGCACTCCGGTTGTTGAGTGCACAAAATGCCACTTTTGGATAACGACATGATACAAATAACCAAGCCTATGTAGGAGTCTCTACCCTCACCAATCATTCGTATATATTGTAGTACATGGCTGCAGCCAGTGTTACTGGTGCTTTTATTATCGAGTTTGAAATAATTGTCATAATTTGCTTTAGTTAGGAATTACATACAGGGTTTTCATCACAAGCTGACATCAGCTATAATGCCAGAAATCTATTAAGCCAAATAGATGAAAGGCTTTTGTGTTAAAATACGAGATCTATTATCTTATACCTGATTGATTCGTCCACAAATTATAGTCTCGCCGTTTTATTTGTTATAGCCACTCACTTATCGTATTTTGTACAAAATTCCCTGTGAACCGATCGTACATTAGAATTAAGCACTGAAGTTGGCACTGTAACCTTGAAATCCTTCACACGCCTCTAATTGTCTCGTCCATTAATTAGAGTCTCACCGTTTTCTTTTAACAAGTGAACTTGTTCGAGTCCTAAGTGAATGTGCCCTATTGTGGAATCCTATACTAAAACGTAAAGACCATCCGGTTCTTCCATGTTTTAGATTAGATCGTTTCATGAATTTAATCATTTAAAATGCATAAATATTTATTCTTTTAACTATTGTCAATTTAATTCAATATTTAGACAATTGATATTGAATTATTGGAAAATCGTCGTGAATTAGCTAATCTAATTAAAAATCTTCATCTTGCTGAATTAATGCATCATCGTTTTACTAATCTTACATGGTCTGAACAACGTAATCGTTGGCAAATCATAAATATCAATGAAGCTGTACATAAATTTCGGTAAAATGAATATAATTATCCATTTTTTTTCTGTTGTTGATGATGATATTCTTTTTGAAATGATAGGTAGTTGAAAAGTAGAGATTTTGGATATGTTGTTATGTGGTGTGTGCTACTTATATTGACATAAGTAGTAGTTGATGTTAGTCGTGAACACAATGTCTGGCAGCAGAGAGACAAGAGGATCGAATAGTAGAGAATGGAAACAGAATGCAATTTGTATGAAACTGCAAGAACAATGAAGTCTGAGTCATTATGAGACAATTAATGAACTAGATGGTGATTGGAGGTAGTCGACAGAAAAGTCGGGTCCAGGGTTTCCTGTCGACTACCTCCAACCACCATCTAATCTCAATATATAGTGCCTGCAGTGTCGAGTCACCTAGACTGGTGGCCACATCGCAACATGATCGATATCATTCGATTTGCACTAAATAAGGACTTGACACACATGACATTGATCATCACCCAGTGATTTATCAATTGTCATTACAATTGATGGACATTTTGCAAATTACGTATTTACTATTTGATTGTTAGATTTTATTAACAAGTCCTGTAATTTTGTGTCAAATACATTCGATTATCCCCATTGGTGTTTGTGTTCACTACAGTTATATGTACCGTAAGTTGACTAGTTTTGTTATGAAACTAATGGTATTTTTTGAAAAAAACAAAACAATAAAACCTTCATGATTAAATCATTCATCTCAATGAATAAAATGTCCATTCAAAACAATATGCATATTAATAATTACTTGTAAAAGATTTTTTGCATCCACGATCCCGCCCAGCGAAATTCGAACCGAGGACCTATAGGTTTCGCACACGAACGCTTAACATCCAGACCACTGAGTCGGCATCTAACGGTATTAATATCTAACTTAAACTAATCCACGAACTTCAGCGATAGGTCCTGGGTTCGAATTCTGCGGAGCGGGATCGTGGATGTGCACTGCTGAAGAGCACCATACTGGAACGAAACGGCCGTCCAGTGCTTCCAGGTTTTCCATTGTGGTCTAGCTTCAAATGACTCATGAATTCAACTATTAAAATTACTATAATATCCACAAAAAACCCCTTCTCATACTAATCAACATATGCTCACTATTGACTGTCTTCAAGAGGTATTACCCGGAGTTCTAGGGAGAAGCAGTGACCAGTGGATTTCGACCAGGTATATTAGTTCCTTTGGTGAATCGCTACATGCATTGTCTGTAGTTAAACATTGATTATATGTCGAATGGTAGTCAAATCTTGAAGATACAATTCATTCATTTTGGGTCTTGAACAAATTACTTACTTACTTACGCCTGTTACGCTTAATGGAGCATAGGCCGCCGACCAGCATTCTCCAACCCACTCTTTCCTGGGCCTTCTTTTCTAGTTCCATTCAATTCTTGTTCATTTTTCTCATGTCTATTTCCATTTCCCGGCGTAATGTGTTCGTTGGTTTTCCTCTTTTCCTTTGACCTTGAGGATTCCATGTGAGGGCTTGTTTTGTGACGCAGTTGATATGATTTTGGATCTTGATTTATTTAGTTGGTTGAAACTATGTACTACTCCTCTGGTTAACATAGGCATATATTGAAAGAAAGCTAGGAGCGGCTAAATCAAAATGTGGCATCAATCTATGAAATCATCGATTGTTCATCTGACCTTATATTGGTAAATGCAGTCAACCAGTTTAAGATCTATATGATTATTGTGACAAATGGTTCGTCAACCTTGGGTAATATATCTCAAAATTTAAGAAGTACTTTAGGTTCGATGTATGGTCAGGTCGTAGATTCATTCTACTGAAGTTTCTCATACTAGGATGAAAGAGCGATATAGTGTTGTTCAGTTTCCTAAATTACCCTGATTAAAATTGATTCGTGATGAATACCATCCACATATAATTAATAGTGTTATTGTTATTATTAATATTACAGAATTTGTCTTAATGATGAGAAATTCCGGTATCCTAATGATGTCAAAATAAAGATAAATGATTTAACAACAAACATAACTGAATTTGAAAAGCAAAAAGATAATCTGATTAATGAATTATGGTAAGTATCTTATTTTGTAAAATATTTAAATATTTGCTTATGCTATATGTTTGAAGCGATTATGAGTTCATCTAGTCTGTGAATGGAACAAAGACTATGTGACTAAAAACTAATAAGTTAGCTATTCTGATGCGTCCCAGCCTCGATAACTAGAAAGAGAAGTCCAAGTTCAAAATGGGGAAATATATTCTGCAAGCAGCCAGAAGCACGAGCATTAACAACAGGCACAAATCAAACGAATATATAAAGCATAAAATTTTCATTCGAAAGTGGTACAAAATAGCGTACTAAAAAATACAACGAACCAATAGCGTTTAAGATTCTCCTAAGTGAGAAATACCACATCAAGATGAAAATGAGCGCTTTTGGAGCAAAAACAAGAAATTCAAATTTTTAAAATAAAATTACAAAAATAAGGTACTTACCAAGTGAGTTATGGGGATCTAACATCCCCAACAGGTTACAGGTTATAATCATCCATCATTTGATCTTCAAATGATAATTATATCTAACTGTGGTAATGGGGTATTGGGAAATTCAGTCGATGTACAATATGTGTTATGTTCTATGTTGTGTTTGACTAACTGTTTGACTAAATATGTCATCAGACATCATAAATGACGATCATATTCAAAACTAAATACTGTTATATCTTGTAGCTTTATGTTCTATTAATATATAAACGTATGATATTGCCAATTAGAGAACAGTAATTTATCGACCGGATCAATGACGCATAAAACCGTACCGGCAGTCCAGAGTCCTTATCGGTTTTGCTTCCCGCCTAGCCCTAACTGTTAAGTCCAGAACACCAATCTCAGCCTCTACGATCTTAATCATGTATTTCAAACATACTGGGTTTATATTTGAAACAAACAGACCACATACTACCACAAAATAGAAAATACATATATGTACAAGATTTAGCCAAAAAGTGGCTGTGAATGTGGTAGACTGTAATTAATAGAGTAAGCATAACTCTCGAACGGTAAATCGTATAATAATAGTGTATAGATCGATATAAAGCTTATAATAAGAGGAACAAGAATATGAATAGTTTACCTACTTAACAATTATACAATAAGAATGTATGTATAGTATTATTCTAGAAATGGATCCCATCAGTTACCATTCATTATTCTCATTGGGATATAACAAATACGTGAATAGTTTTAATAATAAAGCTTCATTCATCAGAAGAATATCAGGTAGTACAGAGGTGTCATTCATAAATAAGTTTTCATATTTACTTAAGTACATATTTCTACATTCTGGTTTTGTCATAAATACAGTGACGTCACTAGAACTCCAGGAAATACGTTTTGGAGACCGTCACTAATGAGCATATAACGATTATAGTCAGAGAGGGTTTTTTGGATATTATGGTAATTTAATTTGGATACGCACTGCTGAGAAGTCCTACAATAGGACGAAACCGCCATTCAGCGCTTCCAGATTTTCCATGGTGGTCTAGCTTCAATTAACTCATGATCTCAACTGTTGAAATTACTACAATCTCCACAAAACCCCTTCTGATACTAATCAACGTATGCTCACTAGTGACTAGCTTCAAGAAATATATCCTGGAGTTCTAGTGAGAAGTAGTAACCAGTGGAGTTCAACCGGGTCAGTTGTGAGGTAGTAACTCACTGATGACAATGGTGGATGTGTCGCTCAATTTCGTGGATTAGTTGAAGTTAGACATTAACATCTTTGGATACCTGCTCAGTGGTCTAGTCGGTTAAGCGCTTGGCGCGAGACCGATAGGTCATGGGTTCGAACCTCTCAAGGCGGGGTCGTGAATGCGCATTGCCGGGGGGTCCCACAACAGGACGAGACGGCCGTCCAGTGCTTCCAGGCTTTCCATGGTGGATAAGCTTCAATTGGCTCATGAATTCAACTTATGAAATTACTACGATCTCCATGAAACCCGCTTTCGGATTAAAATTATTTGTTATTGTTAATCATCTTACAGATTACTAAATATTTTCAATAATTTTCTATCTAGTGAAAATTTGGTACCATCAAATAATATGGAAGAATTTCTAGAAAATTGGGATGTTAAAATTAAACAGTTATTTACTGAATGGGGTATGTTATCTTTCAAGTTCCTCTTAGTTCTAATTGAATTTTATCGATCAAATTACAATATAGTTACTAGTCTAAGTGATTCAACGTATCATGCAGTGTGTTAAGATGTAAGGTAGTGATTAGAGATAATCGACAAGAAATCCTGCTCGATCTAAATTTCATACTATTTTCCACTCGTCAGTAACGTGTCATTGTGATTTTAAAGGTGTTGATGATCTCTGGTGAATTTGATGCTAGACTTGACAAAAATGACAGTGGTCACCAAATAGAGATTGGTCAATTGTGAAAAATTATTTCTAAAGGAGGTCAGTCACGGTCCCAATAGATCAACGACAATGATTCAGGCTGTGAAGCTGAGTGACACAGGATCAAGTTTGCTAGAGAGAGCCAATTCTCTCAAGATTATAGGTATACCTTAATGATGAATGCTGAAATAGCACAAAACAAGGGTCCATAGTTTCTTGTCGGTTACCTCAAAGCACCTTACAGAACTGAATTTAGTTAGATAACTATTAAAAACCAACAAACAAATATTTACATGGTTGAGCATTACCACAAATTGACTAGGATTAGAGACGTAAATCATTGAAAGTCAACCAAATGATCTGTAGATTAAGTACTGCTCTCAATATCTGACAGCCCTGGGTTTAAATCCCCCCGGTGAAGCCACTGAATAGCTCTTTCATTTTAATTTTGGGATTCCTCAACTGTACAAACCTGTAATTGGACCTGAAGGCTGATAACTTTAAACTGAAAGAAATAATGTCATCGTAAGTAATACATAAAACTAATGTGTGACAAACTAATAAAATATGTGTCGATGAGTTTGTCTCGATACGATTAAACCAAGTCGAATCAAGTGACATTTAACTATGTTTGAATAAGTGGTCAACTATGATATTTTGAAACAGATTGTCTTGTGTCTAACAAGTGTGGTATGGACGACGTTGGCTGATCGAACTTAGATGATTGATGTTAGTAGTTAGTGAAAAAATCAATCAATCATTGGCGACATCTGTTGAAAAAGAGACGTGTGAATTCGAGGCATTGAGGTAGTACACCATACAATCCAAATATTGAATGAGAGTTGTGCTGCATATGATAGAAAAGTGAGGAAAGTTAGCAAAAGATATCGAATGAGAATGGACAGTGTAAGTGAAGATGTTTTAAATGACACAGCATATTTAGTTTACGAATAGTGTAAACTAAACTAAACTACGTTTATTATTTATTCTATAGATGAAATGAATCAAAACGCTTTGAATTCCATATACAAAGCTTATGAAGATAATTCACAACAGTGTATTGATCAAATCCAACAGATGAAAGTAAGCTGTCAAGGCCTTTGTTTTCCTGTAGAAACTTCAGAACATTTCAAAATTTTCAGAGGATAACACTAGGTTGCGATTGATTTTCTGTTGATCTACTTAACACGCAACTTTAGGTTTCTTATGATGTATGACAGTGTGGTGTATACAGGTTATGTTGACATAAGTAGTATAGAAGACTGATCAAAAGTGAAATGCCTAGAAATAGAAGGTTGGGAAGATCAAATCGAAGAGAACAGGAATAGAGAGCATTTGTTGTGATAATGAAGGAACGATGAAGTTTGAGACAATTGATAGAGGATTTACAAATGAAGTATTAAACGTATGGTTTTCACATTTCATGAAAGAACTCTGTAATTTAATGTTAAAGTACAATTGATTATCCCCATCTGTGTTCTCGCTCATCACAACAGTACCTTCAGACTCTGTTATCTTGAAGTCTACAGTGTTTCTTTCTAGTTAAAGAGACTATTGATTCCAATTTTTTGTTTTTTTGGCATTTTTTGAAGAATATTTCTATCCTGCTTATGAGACATTTTCTCAGGAGTTTACTGAATTGTATGAATTTGAAGACTTCGTCTGAAGCCTTTCTAGGGGTACTGCCGGTTCCGAACCCGGATAAAGGGATAACAGTTGAGAATAGGCTTAGTAACTCTATCTCACAAAAATGAATCTTGTTAGAAAAAGAACGCTAACTAGGAAAATTAATCATTTAAACCATTGAAAGTCGAATGCTTTAAGGCTTAAAAAATTTATTTAAATGCATACGGATATTTAGGACCGCAATTGATCAGTCTATTCTGGCTTATGTGCGTCCTATACGGATTGTTTTAATATTGCCATTAAACCACAAGCATTTTAAGCAGAAATGGATGGTAGCTAGCAGTGGAATCAAGGACACCCGTTTCGTCCTTTTTAGGACTCGTCCTTAATTGAGTGTAACTGCACCCCAGAGTGACTTAATATTAACTCTTGGACTCAAGCCTAGTACGGTTTGATTCAAATGTCCACTGCACAAGTGAGTGGCTGTGCTCTGATTTATCTTAACTGACCAGTAATGCATAATAACTGACGAATTATTGAAGCGCTTCTATAAGAAGTTTACAATCTGTCATGAAAGGAAATAATTTTGTGTATTTTACCATTTGTTTCAATGAAATCATGAACCGATCGATGTTAGACCAACATTGGAAACCTGGAAGCATTAGACGGCCGTTTAGACCCCGTGCGGGATTCCTCAGTGGTCCGCATCAATGACCTCACACGCCAGAATCAGACCCAGGATCTTCGGTCTCGCTTGTGAATTCTTGACATCCAGACCACTGAGCAGATATTTAACGGTGTTATTATCGTACATCATTCAATCGGCGACATTGTGCAACCATCTTTACTGAGAAATATTTAACATTCGTATTCGCTCGGTGGAAATGAGAAGTAATTGTATTGGATTTCATACAACAAATATATAGTATGAGATAATTTGTGTTATAGCAGCAAAAGATTAAAAAATACCTGCGTATGAAAACGAATGACTGTTAGTTGCTATGTCTTAAAACTTAAATCTATATCATGTGCTAAATTTAGTAATCATAATTCTGGTTAGAAATGTTTCTATCCAGTGTCCACGACTTGTTCTGTTGCTTAGTATCCCAGACTTGACCAATTATACATTCTGACCAGTACAGTTAATCCTGTACCAATTCAGGCTGTACTCCGATTAGTCCACCACATAGAGACTTTTCTCTATTCCCTGCCTTGGGCTCGAAGATTAGTTAAGAGTCAGTATATACAACATACATATTCCAACTATCCAGTCCAACCAACTGACACAGTCAACTATTATAGCCTGCAACTAATTCAAACACCATTGAACAAAGATTAATTGTGATGCTCTGAACTTATGCTGAAAATTCTACACTGTAATCAATAATTCGAAGCTGAAATCGCTGAACGATTGAACTACAACTCATCAAATGAAAGGTTGTACACTATTAACGAGACCTGAATATATCTAGTTTGAATTCTATCTAGATCTAAGTGTGTGTGCTTTGTGTCAAAGAGTTCGAAGCTATCATTATTTTAGTGACGTTTTTATTACATCCTTTACCTGTCTACTCACTAATTTACAGAAGACAATTTGTCTCAACCTAGATCAAGGCCTTGATACGATATACTGACTGAGTAAATTTGAGGCTAGAAACGCGTAAGTTCGAAATGAGACTAATTGGCTTGAACGAAGAGACAAAAACTATTCTATCACGTGATTGGTTGACATCCACGCAATCGAGAGAGAAAGGCGAAACGACTGGAACACTACTTGATTTATTCTCAATTCCGATTCAGACATCGATTCGGTTCCGATTCACATTAGTGCAAAACAATACATGAATAGTATAGATGATTAACATGACCACAACACACAAACAATTAGGAAAATACAATTATGTGCAAGAATGGGGATTACTTACTTACTTATTTATGCCTGTTACTCCTCGAGGAGGAGCATACGTCGCCCACTAACACTCTCCATCCAACTCTGTCCTGAGCAATCCTTTCCAGCTCTTTCCAGTTGTTATTCATCCTTTTCTTATCTGCTTCCATCTCCCAACGTAGTGTGTTCTTCAACCTTCGTCTTTTCCGCTTCCCTTCACGATTTCAAGTTAAGGCTTGCCTCGTGATGTAGTTAGCTAAATTCCTCAATGTATGTCCTATCGACTTCTAATGTCTTTTCCTAATTTCCTCTTCAACTGAAAACTGGTTTGTCCACTTCCATAGAATTCTGTTACTGATGGTATTCGGCCAATGGATATTGATTAGGTTAAGAAAATAGAGTACTAAATGTTACATCTAAACTACAATAGATTTGGAACAGAAAACAATATGAGAATGAACCATATATCAAACGAAAGCTTATGATCTGTAGAATAGATTAGGGACAGAAGTAAATGTTACTGTTTTACACGGTTTGATTTAAATGAAATAACGTTCCCCCGCCCTCTCATTGTGTTTGTCATAACTTCATTGTTTCTCTGTTCTCATTCATTTTCTTTCAATACTTATTTTGTTTTCTTTTATTATAAATTTCTCTTTATTATTCATAAATAGAATCAATTGTTACATCGTAAATTGATCAACTCAATGGATGAAATTGAAAATTTAATTAAAGAAAATTGTATCACCATTTTAGGTGAATTACAAAGTCAATTTGAAAATAATTTAAATTATCTTGATGTAAGTAATGCTTTATCACATAATTCAATGACCACAATGCAAAACCTGGAAGCACTGGACGGCTGTTTCGTCCTAGTATGGGATTCTTCAGCAGTGCATATCCACGATCCCGCACCCCGCGGGATTCGAACTCAGGACCTATCAGTCTCGCGTTAGGCGCTTAACCAACGAAACGGCCGTCCAGTGCTTCCAGGTTTTCCATTGTGGTCTAGCTTCAATTGACTCATGATTTCAATCAGTAAAATTTCTAAAATCTCCACAAAAACCCCTTCTGATAATTATTATCAGTAGGAGGTTTTAATGGAGATGCTGGATACTGACTCAGTGATCTAGATGTTAAGTGTTCATGTGTGAAATCGATAAGTCCTGGGTTTGAATCCTGTGGATGGGATGATAGATGAGTACTGTTGAAGAGTTCCATACTAGGACGAAATGGTTATTCAGTACTTTTAAGTTTTCAATGGTGTTCTGGCTTTAATTGATTCATGAATTCAATGATTAAATTAATTTATTATCTCCTTATACATATATACATTTTATCAGTCTATGATTTTGTGGAGATTACACAATTTTTTTAGTTCTAAATCATGAATAGATTTTAGCTAAACCAGAAGATAATAGATAGCTATTTTTCCCTTGTACAGAACTTTTCGGGAGTGCATATCAATGACTTCACATCCTAGAATTGAACCTAATACCTTTAGTCTCACGCGTGAACACTCAATCTTTCGATCATTGAACCAGGACCCAATGATGTTAATGTCCGATTACAATCAGTTCATAATGTTGCGTAAATATCTTCCATTGCCTGAGGTGGATAACGGTCTCACATCCAATGTGGTTGATGTGTAGTTAAATGGATTTGATACTTTGGACACTAAGTATAAATAAAATATCGTAAGATTGTAAAATATCTGAATACCTTTATGATGTTGGTTTATCGTCAATGCATTGACGTTAGAATCCAATTTTATATATGAACGAATATACATTAATGAACTGTACAAAATTGACTTAGTGTGTGGTGTGCTTGACTTTCAATCTCAATCTGTGTGTTGTATCAATATAGCTTATGTCATCTGTACTTGTACAAGTTGTTATAACTTGTGGCCTGAGTGCCCTGTTAATGGATAAGTAATGATACCACCAATTAGGGAGCAGTGAATTATCGATCGGACCAAGGATGTGAAAACACGTGCGAACAGCCTAGATTCCTAATTGGTCCTGCTTTCTGCCTATCCCAGCCAGTTGAGTCCAGAACACCAATCTCAGTCTCTGCAATATGAATCAATTATTTCAAACACACTCGGTTTATATATCAATCAGACATATCACAACGTATCATAAAATAGAAAATAATAATAATAATAATAATAATAATAATAATAATAATAATAATAATAAATTCACATGGTAATGTTCACATGAATCTTCTCATTAATGTCTAGAACTGCAATTGATCAGTCTCTTATTGGCATGTGTGGATACTGTGCGTATTGCCTCGATATTGCCTTAATTTACAAACATTCTAAGAAAAGATAGATAGTGGAAAGCAGTGGAATCCAGTTTTGATGCGCATATCTTCCTATGTGGAACTCGTCAACTGAATGTACCTGAATCTCACAATTGATGTTCACTCTAACATAGCTAAGTGAATAATGCGATAGCTTCCACCACATAAATAATTTATTTCAAGCATACTTGGTTTATATACAAACGAAATTAAACCGCATCATACCATAAAGTAGGAAATAACATTTTCTCAAGACCAAGCCAAAAAGTGGTTATGATTGTGAGAGACTGTAATTGATTGAAAATAACTTGAGAATAGTAAATCGTACAGTAGTAGTCAATAGGTCATATAAACAAATACGAATACATGTGTAGTCCAGTTATTTAATAGTTATACAATAAGAATATATATGTATAATAACAGTTCTTAGGTAGACCTTAACAGTTATCATTTACTTATTCTACTTCCGGATATAACAAATATAATGATTATAAGCAAGGATGAATAGTGGCTAGCAGTGGAATCCAGGACGCGCGTTTCGTCCTATTTGGGACTCAATAGCTAAATGAATAACGCGATAGTGTTTGAAGAGCACAGTACTGTGTTCGAATCCCGGAGTGAACATCAACTCAGATGCAGGTATATCCAGCTGACGAGTCTCAAATAGGACGAGATGCACATTCTACTGCTAGCCACTATTCATTTTTACTTAATGATAACAATAATACTTATTAACTATAGAATTCTATATAAGAGATGGAACAGACTTATCTATAGACACTCAATGCCTATTATAATTAACATAACGGTTATGTATATTTGAATAGTTGAATTCATGAAGTTAGACCACCATGGAAAACCTTGAAGCACTGGATGGCCGTTTTGTCCTAGTATGGTACTCCTCAGCAGCGCGCGTACACGACTCCGCCTCGTGGGATTCGAGCCCTGGACCTATCAGTTATATATATATATATATAATGACGTTTTTTTATAATAATATTCAATATACTCACTAATAAAACTTCTCTTATTCTTTTCTCCTTATTAGCATTGTTTCTCATGGTGTTTATCTATATGGTTAAATGAATGTATTCCATCATTATTAAAATTTAGTCAAATCCTAATTCAATTATGGCAATTCTATGCTCATCTACCTATTGTTCATTTAAAAAATGAATTAAACTTTAATTTACTTAATATAAAACAAGTAGTATATGATGAAATTTTAAAAAAAGATGAATTCATTAATTCATTAATTGATTTATTAAGACAAAGTTCAACAGAACAAATAATTAATGAAAAATTACAAGAAGTAATTAATTTATTCAATGAAATTAGCGCAAAGTAAGTATGTTGTTTTTATGTTTGTGTTTGTGTGTGGATATTACAGTATTGTATTAAGAGTTGAATATATATGAGTCAACTGAAGGTAGGACATCATGGAATAGCTGGGAGCACTGGACGGCCATTTCGTCCTTATATGAGACTACTTAGCATTGATCATCCACGATCACGGCAAGCGAGATTCAAACCCAGGAACTGTAAGTCCCGCGCGCGAACGCTTAACCATTACACTATTGAGCTGGCTGGCATCCAACGGTGTTAATGTCTAACTTTAATTAATCTACAAAATTGACCGACACATCCATCATTGTGTTCAGTGAGTTACTATCTCATAACAAACCCAGTTGAACTTTACTGATCACTACTTCTTACTAGAACCCCAGGAAATACCTCTTGGAGACCGTCGTTACTGAGCATGTGATGATTACAATCAGAGAGGGATTTTGTGGATATTAAATTAATTTTAATAGTTGAATTTATGAGTCATTTAAAGCTAAATCACTATGAAAAATCTGGGAGCAATGGACGGCTATTTCGTCTTGTAGTATGAGACTGCTCTCAGCATTGTGTATCCACGGCAACGGTGCAATTTCATGGATTGGTTGAAATTAGACATTGACACTGTTGAATACCGAACAGTTCAGTGGTCTAGAGGTTAAACATTTGCTTGAGAGACCTATAGGTCCTGCGTTTGAATCTCACGAGGCGGTATCGTGGATGCGCATTGCTGACTCCCATACTAGGGCAAAATGGCCGTCCAGTGCTTTCAGGTTATCAACGGTGGTCTAACTTTAATTGACCCACGAATTCAAGTATTAAAATTTTTTGAAACTTGATTTTCAATAAATCTCAAATACAATAATGATTATTGAGTAAAAATCTGAAGGTGGATAACAGTAGATTCATCAGTTGGACGATCCTACATTCTATTATTGATCTATACATTTGAATTTAAATTAAGTGTCTTTCTTTCCAATCAAAAAAGCATTACTCGCTGAGCTATTAACTTCACATAACCATTGACTTGTGTAGGGTTTTTATTTCATTTTTTCATAGTGTATACATCAACACTGGGTTGCAGGAATTTATTTATTTGTATAAACACATAAACATTGATAGAAGAAGGTACGAAATAGATATGCGCCACATAAATCATTCGATTTGTGTGAGGGCTGTGCTAGTGCCCGGGTGAACAAACCGGAGTAGGTGGTTTCTTAGGGGGCCACAGCCGGAGACTTTTACCTAAAGGTGTTATCTACAAGGTAATGGAGCATTGTCCGGAGATGTAGTCCCATGTTAGTTAATTTTCAACAATAGGTTCATACGTCATTTGTTCCCTTCAAAATCCTGGAGCCAATGTGAACTATTGGTTTGGAATGAGGGTTTTCCAACTCCCTTAAGTGGTCCTCCATATCGACCAGCCGGATACAAGCCCCTGACATTCGCTTTTATTCCTCTTAATATCGTAAATAACACCCGTAGTGCGAGAAGGAAGTGGTCAGTACTTCCCTTGTAGTGGTTATATGCACATGGCCATGTGAGAGCATTTGGATAGAGAGAGCTGACTCTCCCTACCCTCAGCCGTACCGGGCGAAATGCTGGTCCTGATTTCTACTCCCATCCACAATTCATCTATTCTTATACAACTTGTGACAAAATGATTCAGTCAGTGAGCTACAACGTAGGACCAGGCATATATATGAATCGGTCCGAGTTGCCACACCTCATTAGCACAAGATGAACAGCGAATTCATTGAAGTAGTTACTTCAGTAGTAGTAAAAAAATGACATTTTGTATAAGGATACGGTACAGTAAGAAAGAAGCAGTTCGTAAAAAGTAAGACACAAAGTAATTTTAATTTCACGGTTTAAGAGAAGACAGAGAGTGCATACACTGACGTCATTCTGATCAATTCTGAGCCACATCACTTTCAGTCTCCTGTCATTGGTTAAGATAGCCGCGTGGACTCCAACCAAGTAGTCTGAATCTACCAACATGGCTCAAACCAGAAGTTAGTGACTTCAAGGACTGATTCCACATTTTGGTCAGTTTGGCCACCCCTAACTTTCTTCCAACTATCTCCAACACTAGTGAAAATGAATAAATCGAGGCAATTCTTTCAGGATTCACAGATATTCTTGTTTCAGTCCTTAAAATTAACATTGGGCAGATTTAATCTCCTAAAAATGAATTAGAATAGTGATTAGTTTAAATATTATCAAATAAATGTTCAATGTACCCAAATGAAATCCCACCTGAATCCTCCCTAGAACGACATAGTTCAGCCAATATAAAAACACCAAAACAAATCACTTCATTGATGCAAATTAAAACGATCTAAACTGAACCCTTGGATAAAATACATTTCGCTATTTCACATTTTGAATTACTCATTCCGTTTTAATATAGTTAAGAGTAGATATTTTACACCACTAACCTATTACTTCTCAATTAATGACAAATCTAGAAATTAGGTTATGTTTATACATTTAAGAATGTAAGGTAGTTGAATGTAGTTAACAGGAAACTTTACTTGATTTAGATTTCACACTAGTTAGAACTTGTCAGAAATGTGTACCTGTAATTTTGAGGGAATTGATGTTTCCTGTCGGAGATAAACTTTCATCATCCAGCTTCTCAATCTTCAACGTTACCACTGAGCTATTCAAACGGCTAATGATAATTTTTAAATGATTTACCTGCCTTATTGAATCAATTAATTATAGAGTCCACTATCACACGTTTACTTTGTCCAAATCAAAACAACAATCTACACTTAACTAATTACACTGTAAATAATGACCGAGGTTTTAATATCTATTAATCCAAGGGGTACTCTTACCCAAAGATCCAATCAAAAGACGGTGACAAAAAAACTTGACTATTTATTAGTCTCATTTTGTTTCTACTGCTTTTGACTCAAAAACCCATAGGGTTATATTTACTGGATTCTTGATTATACGTACTCGACACTCGACGGGGATGGGATTCGAACCCACGCGGGGAAACCTCAATGGATTATAATAAACCACAAATTAAAGATCATAACATGTATACAACCAAACTGTAAGTAGCTAACAGGTTCATAGTTAATGAACGGTAATTTAAGGACGGTAGAACACATAATGGCTTATTCACTTACGCCTGTTATGCCTAGTGGAGGAGCATAGACCATCCACCAGCACTCTCCAATAACACCAACCAGATTAAAAAGAACACATAATTACAGTTAATTTAAGAAAATGAAAGTATTCAATAATATTAATACATCTTGTTGTTATAACTTGTGACCACTGATTAGAGAGCAGTGACTTATCGATCGGACCACGGATGCGTAAAACATGTGTGAGCAGCCTAGAGTTCTGATTGGTCCAGCTTCCCGCCTAGCAGAGCCAGTTAAGTCCAGAACACCAGTCTCAGCCTCTGAAATATGAATCCTTATATTTCAAGTATGCTGAGTTTATATATCAATCAAACCGGTCACAACGTACCAATAAAATATGAAACAACATTTGTACAAGATTTAGTCAAATGTGGCTGTGAATGAGGGAGGCAGTGACTAATAAACAGGGCATAATTCAAGAATAGTAAACCGTATAATAATGGTTCATAGATCAAAATAAAGTTTATAATAAGAGGAATATGAATAGTTTAGTTAATTAACAATTATACGATAAAAATATACGTTTATTATTGGTCCATAAATGGATCCCAAAGTTACCATTCATTATGTTTATCAGGACCTAACACATGTATAGATGATTACACAGAACCCTTTAATAACTGAATCTTTCTTTTCTTTTCTTTTTCCTAAATGTATAAAGTTACAAATCATTATATGATAAACAATTACAATTTCTAGATACATATGTAAAACAAATAACTACGGTTATCGATTTATGTGAAACTGCTATTTGCAGATTTTTCGGTGTAACCCATTGTACAAAACAACAATCTTTACATTTGGAAGTAAGTATTATTGGGTTTTTATTTCTTTATTGATAATACTCAATGATTCATATTTATGTAATGTTTACTACTTATGCTAACAAATATATAAGTAGTATGTAACGGTGACCGGAATTTGAATGCTTGTCAATAGAAGATTGAATTGAAAAGAATAGAAAAATGAAACAGAGAACAATTGTAACAACAATAGAAAGGATAAACCATAGGAAGATATGTAAATAATATATGATTTTCATATCACAATTGATTGATCACTGGGTGGTGATCAATGTCATGCTTGTCTAGTGTTTATTAGTGCAGATCGAATGGTATCGATCATGTTGCAATGTGGCCACCAGTCTAGGTGACTCGACACTGTGGGCACTATATATTGAGATTTAGATGTCGGTTGGAGGTAGTCAACAGGAAACCCTGGACCAGGGTTTCGTGCTACTTGGCACTCGTCAGCCAGTGATCAATCGATTGTGATTATATTTCAGTCCTACAGGAGGTTAGTCATGGCTCGGATAGCTCAGTGGTAACGTCTCTGACTGTGGAGCTGGGTGACACGAGACTGAATCCGCCGGGGAGCACCAGTTCCCTCAAGATTACAGGTACACCTTGCTGACGAGTGCCAAGTAGCACGAAACCCGGGTCCAGGGTTTCCTGTTGACTACCTCCAACCAACATCTAAATGATTTTCATATCTTATGAAGCTAATCGGTAGTGTTTGGATTGATCTTCCCCATCTGAGTTCACGTTCACTGCATATACATTGATAATAATATATACATAAAGACGGATAAATAAAGATATGATATCATTCCATTTATATAGGCTATATTGATAGATGAATGGTACTTAGTCTGGACAGGCTTTCAAATCAGGTAATATGACTTTTACTTGAAGAAATGAAGTTGACGTCTACTTCTAGACTTCGAATAGAATTATATCTTTTAGAAAAGTTCTCTATTTCTGGAATTCATATTTGTCCCCAGAATTATATGCTTTGTTTCTTAGGTTTTTTTGTGTACTGTCCCAGATACTTTAGAGAATGAGAACATAGGCAGGGGACAATCGAATGTATCTGAATACAAAAATCTAAGAACCACTTAGTAAAACGTTCATATGCAAAATATTCATCAATTGTCTCAAACTTGATTGTTCTTTCGTTTTAACACTAATCATTCTCTGTTCCGGTTCTCTTTTCTTCAATGTTCTTAACCTTCTACCGTCAGGCATTTCACTTTGAATTGTTGATATATACTACTTATATCTGTCGACATCAGTAGTATACACTACAGTATCATAATCAGGATCGAGAATGTAACTGTTCGACTTCCGCGTATAATTCAACGAAGTAGTAAAATGATCTTTGCATATTGTACCTGATATCAATTGGTGATTAAAATGTCAACTAAAAAAAACTCTTAATGTTCAATTCATTAATGGATATTTAAAAATTTCATTGAATCCTTTTAAGGATTCCAGAATATAGACAATTTATATTCATGAAGATGAGTTGATACTTTTCTTTTGAAGAAGACTATTGTAGATTCATCAAATATGTACAATTTGTTTATACTTTGTAATATTATTATTTTCGTTTTAATAAACTATACATTTTATAAAAGATGCTTTCTGATTGGCTAAGAACTGACATGGATATTATGGGGTTAAACATGAAAATACAACAGCAACAATTTAGTATAATGGAAATAATGGTAATGACACTTTTATTGACTCAAGGATATGAAAGGCAAGACAATCACTGAGACTCAAGAACAAAGGAACAGATGAGTGAAACACTTTGAGGAACTCTTTAAAAACCCACCAGACATCGAAGCAGTACACATAGACCTTCCTATAGATTTCAGTCAACAAACGATAGAAGAAATAAGGATGGCCATCAGACAAATCAAGAATTGGAAAGCAATAGTTCCTGGCAATATACCAACTGAAGCACCAAAAGCAGACATAGAAGCGACTGTAAACATGTTTCATATTCTATTCAGGAAGATTTGGGATGAAGAACAAGGGCCATTAACATACTGGAAAGAAGGACACTTCGTCGAGATACCAAAGAAAGGAGATCTGAGTAAATGTAAGAACTACATAGGCATCACACTACTGTCAGTATCAGGAAAATGTTGCAACAGAGTTACTGAACCGGATAAAAGATTTTATAAAAGGTACTTTCTATTTGGCTACTAATACTACTACATACTACTTATATTTATCGACATCAGTAACACATACACACACATCACAAAATGATACTAGACTATTTTGGTAAATTAACTTATAATCCCTTCATTTCTCTTTTTTTGTTTCTTATCCATTCTAGAAAAAACTAAATCGTCAAACACCAATCAATAACATAATTACACTTGGATTTGAACAATATATTTGTATACAACAACAACAACGACAATCATCACCATTACCACCACAGCAACAGCCATCACCATCACCACAACCACCACCACCACCGCCACAACAACAACAATTCGATGAAAATCCTTCTAAATTAAATCATATTTTCTATTATATAAAACATCATGATATTGCTATAGATGATTTAATTAAATTTTTACAATCAGAAATGAAATCTAATTCTACATTGAATATATTTATTGATTATTTAATTAAAAATATTCAATTAACCGGTATTATCACTGGTAATGAAATCAATAATTTGAATCAAATCAATAATAATTTATCAATTAAATTCATTAAAAAATCAATAAAATCAGATCATACAAAACATAATGATACTCAATTATTGATTATCAATAATAATAATAATAATAATAATAATAATAATAATAATGAAAATAAACCAATTACTGTAAATACTTATGTAACCGATTATATTCAACCAATTAAAATTGAAAAATGTTTAAATCTAATAAAACATGTTAAAGCAATCGTTCGTATAGTAAGTGAATTTCTATTAGTTTTTTGTATAAAAACAAATGTGATTTGATCATTTCAATAGTTCAAATCATGAGTTAATTGAAGATAGACCATAGTAGAAAACCTGGAAGTATTGGACGATCGTTTTGTCTTAATATGAGACACTTCAGCAGTATGCATCCACGATCCCACCGCCTCGCGAGATTCGGACCCAGGACATATCAGTCTCGCGCGCGAGCGCTTAACCATTAGACTACTGAGCCGGCATTCTGGGCTCGAATCTCGCGGGGGCGGGATCGTGGATGTGTACTTCTGAGGAGTCCTATATTGGGACGAAACGGCCGTCTAGTGCTCCCAGGTTTTCCATTGTGGTCTAGCTTCAATCGACTCATGATTTCAACTGTTGAAATTACTAAAATCTCCACAAAATCCTTTCTGATTTAATCAGTTGTTGAATTGATAAGTTATAAGTTACTTGGCGCTGTTTTATGGTACAATGTGGTCTGTCTGGTTAGTATATAAACCGAAATGCATAATTTATATCACAAAGGCTGAGATTGGTGTTCTGGACTCAACTGGCTGGGCTAGGCAGAAAGCTGGACCAATCAGGACTCTAGGCTGCTCGCACATGTTTCCGCATCCTTGGTTCGATCGATAATTCACTGCTCCCGAATTGGCGGCTTTTGGCCATAACACAACCATTGGTTTGTTTTTCGTTTATTAAGAAAGTCTTGGCTAATTGAGTAAGCTTTTTGTTTGATGGATATATGAATGGCTAAACGTAGCGGAATTCTATTCGTTATATGAACTAGTAGCAATTGTGTTAAGTAAACTATTATGTGGTTGTCGATTTTTGATCATGAATCCTATATCTGCGTATAACTTGATCGAGCATGTGCTAAGTGTATCGAGTCGTAGTATTATCCTTCCATCATGTTATAGTCGTAGAATTCAAAAATATTATACTTGTTTGTTTATTGAAATCATGAACCGATCATTGGTAGAACACTAGTGACAACCTGAGAGCATTGAACAGTCATTTTGTCGTAGTATGGAACTTGTCAGCATTGCACATCCATGACGCTGCACGTGATAGTCTAACCCGAGACCTTCTGTTTTATTAACAAACGCTTGACGTTGAGACCACTAAACCAGCTAGTACTAGTGTCTAACTTCAATCAGCCCACGAAATTCAGCGACTACCTCCGACTATTTTTTGGTAGGTAATTGCTTTACACCCGACATGGTTGAATTCCACTGTTCATATCTTCTCACTAGAACTCGGGAAATTTTCTCTCGAATCTAGTGACCATTATTTTTGTTTGTTTTTTTGTAATAGAAAATATTAGAATATTTGGAACAATGGAAGAATACAACCATATTAACCATAAAAGAGGAAGTTATAGTTAGAAAAACTGAAATAGACGATGAATATCAACTGCAACTCAAATTGCATGAACCACGTATTCGTCGGGTGAAAGAAGTAAGTCAACTTTTAAAAGAAAATTCACTAATAAATGAGTTTTTCTATACATTATTAATAGCACGATCAGTATCCCTATTGATTTACTTACTTATGTCTGATACCCATTGAATAGCATAGGCCACCGACTAGTATTCTACAACATACTCTGTCTTGAGTTCTCTTTTACAATTTTTTTAAAGTACTGTTCATTCTTTTGATATCTGCCTCAATTTCTGAAGCACTGTGTTCTTTGGTCTGCTTCATTTCCAGTCATCATGATGACTATAAGTTAGAACTTGTTTTGTGGTTCATTTTGATTATTTCAGCGATGTGCGTTCTATCCACTTCGTCTTTGTTGACTACTCTACAAATGTTTGTGAGTAGTATTGTTTTTTATTAGACTGGCATGATTAAGGTATCAATTTCGTTGTGTTATTACACTATAAACTATTGTAGTGAACGAGAATACAAGTCGGGACAATCGAATGTGTTCGAATACGAAATTAAAAAGTATCTTAGTAAAATCTGAGGACCATATAGTAAATACTTTATTTACAAAATGTCAGTCAATCGTCTCAGACTTCATTGTTTTTTTTCGTTTCCACACTAATCATTCTCTGTTGTCGTTCGCTTTTCTTCAATCTTCTTAACGTTCTGTCACTAGGCATTCCACATTCAACTGGTGATATATACTACTTATATCTGTCGACATCAGTAACACACATCTTACTACCACCGACTGTATAGCTGACAATATTTATCTCCTAATGAAATAGGTACTGTTGTAGTGGTGTACACAAGTGTGGACAATCAAACGCTTTTGAATACAAAATTACCGAATTTCTTAGTTAAATGGGGGAACCATACAGCAAATAATTCATTTGTAAAATGTCAATCAGTCGTCTTAGACTTCAATGTTCTTTCGTTTCTACATCAATCATTTTCTGTTCTCGGTCGTCCCTTTTCTTTAATCTTCTGCCTCCAGGTACTTCACTTCCAAATGATGATATATACTCCTTATATCTGCCGATATCAGTAGCACACATCACATTATGATTGTATACAATGTAGATAATTAGCTCTGATCAAGTTGTGTAAAGTCTCGGCTTCTAACCAATAAGTTTCGTGTTCGAATCCTGTCATACCTATTCTAGTTTAGACAACTAGATATTACTATTAATCCTTATACAACTAGAAAGATCATCAAAGTCCTAATACCCCCATGATTTGATGTGATTCTATTTGATGCATAAGTTACACATGAATTATTATAAAAAAACGTTATTAACATGAGTACACAAATTAAAAATGGTGTTACAAATGGAAATGTCACAATCAGGTTACTCGTGTATTGAGTAGTGACAGGAGACTGAATCTTTTAGGAAATGTCACTTTTTAAAAGGCTATAAATAACACTTAGTATTGAGTGCTGATCACTACACTACGTAGCCTTAATATATCCTCATGATCGCTTACATATAGAAAGAGACTGTAAGTAATGGAATAGATAATACGAAGATGAAGGCTTTTTACTCAAATGCTATTAGTCGACTGAGAGCTTATGGTGATAGGTAGTGGTAGTAATAATAATAGTGATACCAATTCTGAAACATGTTCCGAAAGTTTTAACTTTTACAATATTCATCTTTTTTTAACACAAATGACTTATTGACTGACTAAAATAGAACTCCAATTTAGTTTTTGATACTCAGCTATACACAATAATGAGATTAAAATAGTGTTATAAGAAGATAAAGATCATCAGGACTATGCGAACATGTACCAAAAATGGATGGTGGCTAGCAGTGGAACCTAGAACGCGTGTTTCGTCCTGTTTGTGACTCATCATCTAAATGTATCTTCATCTCGAAACTCAAACCCAGTACAGTTCGCTTCAAATGCCATCGCGTTATATACTTAGTTACTGAGTCTAGATAGCCACTAACTTGTACAATCGGGTGAAGTTGAATTCTCCCAGTCCTACAGGAGGTTAGTCGCGGCTCGGATAGCTCAGTGGTAACGTCTCTGATTGTGAAGCTGGGTGACACGAGATCGAGTCCGCCAGGGAGCACCAGTTCCCTCAAGATTACAGGTACACCTTGCTGACGAGTGCCAAGTAGCACGAAACCCGGGTCCAGGGTTTCCTGTTGACTACCTCCAACCACCGTCTAAATCTCAAGTTAAATTCTCTATTTATAATACTTGTGACTTAGGACAATATCAAGGCCAATAAAATACTGACCATTGGTTATAAATATACATAAAATCAAATGACATAATAAGAGTAGAAAATATCAATACATCATCTTCTATTGGTAAACACATCGTTGAAACAGGGCTATAAGATTGATCTTATCTCAACTTTTGTGGTTTTGGACAAAAAATTGTTTTATTAGCGTATATACTAAGGTTTTATTGTAGCCTTGACCCTATGAAAATTGAAAACCTTTTCTATATTTTAATGGCCTGATATCTGATCCCAATTAGATCGTATGATGATTGTTGTCTAAATATACATGTCACCAACCCTCGACTTAATTTATGTCAGAGAATAATGGAACAAAATAAGTGAAATACGAAAATGAAGTTTGATTACGTATTTTACGTACACTCGTTGATCTGAATGGATAATCAGGGAAACGAAGCGAATAATGCGAAGAGGAGAGAGCGAAGCGAAACGCAATGACGCGTAGTGGAGAAGATGAGTGAGCCAATTCTATTTAATCATGTGTGCCTCAATATTTATATTCAAACAAGTAGAAGTTACAGATACATGATGAAAACAGTAAGTAATTAACACAAATACGATCACATAAAAGCAGTCAGGGTTAATTGGCAAATAAGTCACAGGGTAAAAATATGGCTTGAGAAGATTGGTCTGTCCATAGGTTAGAATAATCTATGTAGGCTTGACTTAGTACCATCCACTACAATATGTTCAAAAACAGTTTGTTCTCACCATCAACTTACCTTGGTAATATTATTCTATTATCTAGCGTGGTGAGTTTCACAAATATATTCCTTATCATCTTTGTTTTCTTTTACTTTTTATTTGTCTAGTTGACCTTTCTTGTATAAATGATGTTAACAAGTATATGTGTGACCGATTGTTTGAAATGTATTCTGTTAATCTAACATCACATTGTTCTGATAAACTTTATCTTCTTATATTGCACTATTCAAACTCATCAATTGAATTAATTGTTTTCAATGGTGATATCAACCTATGAACTTATATCAGTATAAGCTAGTAAAGTTTGTCGAGTTTTATTTTAAATCATAAACGGATCGATATTAGACTACCATTAAAAACCACGTGCGGGATCATAGATGGGCATTACTGAGGAGTCCCACACTGGGATGAAACGACCGTCCAGTCAGTCAGTCAGCTACAACTTAGGAACAGGCACATATATGCATCGATCTAAGTTGCCATACCTCACACACTAACACAACAAGATAAACACCAAATTCATAGAAGTAATTAATTCAGTGGTGGTAATATATAATAGAAAGATTGCGTATAAGGATATAGTTCAGGAAGAAAAATTAGTTCGTAGAAATAAAGGTGTAAAGTAATTTTAATCTCACGATTTAAGGGAAGGCAAAGAGTGTATACACCTACACCATTGTGATCGATTCTGAGCCATGTCACCAAGAGTCTCCAACCATTGCTCAAGATGGTCACGCGGGCCCCCACCAAGTAGTGTGCATCTACCAACATGGCTCAGACCAGAAGTTAGTGACTTCAAGCACTGATGCCATGTCTTGTTTTGCTCGTCCCTAACTTTCTTCCAACAATCTGCAACACTAGTCAGCATTGCGCGTCGTGGTAATCGTTGTTCAGGCATACGAAACACGTGGCCCAACCATTTCAGTCAATGAAGATTCACAACCTCATCAACTGATTTACCATCATTATTCCCTAATATTCTGTTTCTAACCTCACTATTACTTACTCGGTGATCTCAGCAGATGTGAGCAATATTTCTAAGACATTTGTGGTCAAATACCAGTAGCTTATGAATATCTTCTACTCTTAATGGCCACGTTTCGTAGCCGTAAAGTAGAACAGAGCGAACTGCAGATCAGTATACTCGTCCATTAATTGACAGACGGATATCTCACCTTCTTCATAGATGACGTAAGTTGGCAAAAGCCAAACAAGCTTTTCGAATCCGTGCTGAGATTTCGTCAGATATCAATCCATTAGGGCTGATCAAACTTCCAAGATAAATGAAATTGTCGACGAGTTCAACTACTTCACTCCAATGCTTTCAAGTTTTAAATGATGGTGTCTAATATCAATTCATTTATGATATCATCTTTTCTTATATTGAATATTTTCTTTTCTTTATAGGATGTAGCAAATGTAAGATTAACTGAATTAATTTTCCATCAAACACGTATTGAACGACATATAACCTCAGTGAATTTAATATTAAATGAAATGAAAATTAATTCAACTAAAAGTTTAATTGAAACATTAAATAAATCTGAAGAACAAATGAATGAAGCAATTCAACAATCAATTGATTCAACTATTAGTAAAGCAACAAAATCATCAACGTAAGTAGTAAATTCAATCATAATTAATGAGTATTTTCCCAAAGGAGGAAAACGAAATTAGATTAGAGGTGGTCTTAGTGACCTGAGAGTGTGACTGCAGTGCCCAAGGAACAACTGCTTGAAATTTATCACATACAACCTTTTTGTGAGTAATTTTCATGTTAGCTCCGTATTTGTTGAGACCTTACCACCGGAGACGGATATCCATGGAATAGGGCGAGGTGTGTATTTTTAGGGTCGACCGTTTCTAAATTTACCCTTCCTTGTGGGAAGGCAGCATCGCTGTTATGCTGGTTGTTTGAAGGAAATATCTTACTGCCATCACAACTCTGTAAAGTCAGCAATACGACTTCGCCTTAGGACCTTGGGTTTGTTGCTGTTAGTCTTACTGTTCTTCAATCGACCTGTCTGGAATGATAGGATCTTGAGGAACGATTGTTTCAGCTAGTATAGCTCGATCGGTTCATCACGATAGGCAAGCCATCTCCTCACTCTAATCATCGAGTTAAGAATAGAGTATTCAGTCTCCACTATACGAATATTATATTTCAGATTATACGTGGTTTATATATAGACATACCTGACCACATCATTATGATAAAATGAAAAACAATAAGTTTACAAGATCAAACTGAAAGTGGGTATGAATAGGTGAGATTGTAACTTGTGGTGGCTTTGCTTCGTTAACCAATCACCCTCGTAAGCGTTATTATATAAACCTCAACGGTGTTTGAAATCAGAAGGCAAAGAGAAGAGGCAACTACAATTTATTAGCAGATAGCTCAGACCACAAATCTATGAACACATCGAGCGAATTTGAAGCAGAGCGGCGAATATGTGTGTGAAGGAGAGCAAATACATAGGTGAATTTCTAGTTAGATCGAATAAGGTGCTCGTCTGAACAACACAATCAGCATAAACTCCAGATCAAAGAACGAAACTTTATTTAATGAGTTAGTTTTCTACGAGATGGTATCGTTAACCCCATGCTCAACCATCCTCCTTTATCTGGGCTTGGGACCAGCAGTATCCCTAGAGGGGCTTCAAGTGGTGTTAGGTTACATTATTAATCATAACAAACTTTCCATTGAATTTGATAATATTAACCTAATTCTCTTTATTCATTAATAAACTTTTTAATTATAAATAATAATCAAAATTAATTGAGAAACTTGATTATTCTTGCTCTCCTTATGGTCCATCATTTGAAAACACTTCAAGATTATTATTATTACGAAAACGTGTAGAAAACTTTGCTGAATCACATACTCAATGTGTACGTCAAGCATTGAAAGAGTTTCGTCAAAATTTTGAAAATCAAATACAAACTTTAAACAATTCCAATTTAAAATTGATTGAATCATTAGAGTAAGATTTAATGAATGAACTATTGAATCATTATAACTATTATTATTATTATTATTATTATTATTATTATTATTATTAATCGTCGAGATCATGAGTCAGTTGAAACTAGACTACCATGGAAAACCTGGAAGCTCTGGAAGACCATTTAGTCCTACTGTGGAACTCCACAACAGTGCGAATCTACAACCTCAACTATTAAAATTACTATAATATCCATGGAACCCCTTCTGATATTATTATTATTTTAAGCATGTTTATCTGAAAATGTTTAAATATATATATTAGATTGTGGTTGGAGGTATTCGACAGGGAACCCTGGACCAGGGTTTCGTGCTACCTTGCACTCGTCCGCAAAGTGTACCTGTAATCTTGAGGGAACCGGTGCTTCCTGACGGATTCTATCCCGTGTCACCCAGCTTCACAGTCAGAGACGTTACCACTGAGCTATCCGAGCTGGGTCCAGAGTTCCCTGTCAACTACCTCCAACCACCATCTAATCTCACAGTAGTGCACGCAGTGTCGAGTCACCTAGACTGGTGGCCATATTGCATCATGGTCGACAGCATTCAATCTGTACTAAATAAGGACTTGACACACATGACATTGATCACCACCCAGTGATCAATCAATTGTGATATATATATCACGATTAGATTTTAGCAGGACAATTTTAAAAAAATCAAGAAGGAAAGTACAGCTGTGTCAGAATATTTTGAGACTTCTTAATAATGGACTTATAAAAACTTGAAAGAAATCTAACTAAGAACATTTCGGCCCCGAAGTTACTACCTTTGGACCTATAAAGTTGAATTCTGAAGTTGTCTGAATTTAATCTATTGTGTATTTGTTATGTAATCTCATTTGTCATACGTCTACTCTAGTTGATCTCCGACAGTGATGGTTTCTCTCTAGAACTTCATTAATTCTCAAGCCTAGAGCTTTAGATTCTTAATATGCTGCGTATAACTTGAGCACTCAAACGCTAGAACCCTCCCAAGTCGCAAATGAGAAAACAGAAGACAAGTGAAAGGAATTTTATTCCATATAGTGTCAATTATGGTACAAAAAATTGTCAGCTATTTATAATTTTTAGTAAAAACGAAATCATCATTATAGTCCTCCAATCTGCATACATGGGGTTATTAACATTTTTCCAATAGGGAAGCCATAAGAAGTGCTTCTGTAATATTCTTCCAAAAGATGATTGGGTGGTATATTTTCAGCTCTTTCTAAGACCTTCATCGAGTTCACAGATACTAATTGAAAGCGAACTTAACCGATGGAGCTGCATTACTATTGTATGATATCATGAATTGATTTGGGTTGGGAATATGAACAATTAATTTCTGTCTCCATAGTACAGAGGTAACTCTCGCACAGTGAAATGTGAGAATTGTAGATAAGATGCCTGACGAGATTGTAGATGAATATTGATAAGAAGTTTTAAAATAGAACGAAACATTTCTCATTTTTAATGTTTGTTTAGGTGAAATTAATGATTTGTGATATGAATCCTATCCAAATTGAACAATTGATATAAATATCTCATCTAGTTTTTGGTTGAGATCATGAACCGATTGATGTTAGACCATCGTTGGAAACCTGGAAGCACTGATCGGATATTTCGTCCTATTGTGGGACTCTTCGGCAGTGCGCAATTTCGTGGATTAGTTGTTGTTATACACTAACACCATTGGGTGCCGGCTCAGTGGTCCATTAGGTTAAGCGTTCTCGCGTGAGACTGAAGGCTTTGAATTCGAATTCCGTGAGCGGGATCGTGGATGCGCACTACTGAGGAGTCCCACAATAAGACAAAAAGGCCGTCCTGTGCTTCCAAGTTTGGTTCATCCATGATGAACTAACATTTTTGTATAAAGATATCATCAAAGTGTATATATGAAAGGAAAGAATTTGTAATTGTCAGTATAGGTTTATGTTGATTGTTGAGTTTTTCAATTAAGATCATTAACCGATCAGTGTTAGACCACCATCGAAAGCTTGGAAACACTCAAGGGCTATTTTGTCCTGGTATTGGACTCCTTAGACGTGTATAATCACGATTCCACACGGGGAACTCGAACCCAGTATCATCAGTCTCGCGCGCAAACACTTAACTTTCAACCACGAATCTGTTATCGAGCCGTGTTAATGTCTAACTTCAATCAATTCTTGAAATTGTGCCACCGTCCACCATTGTGTTCAGTGAGTTACTCATGAATTCAACCATTGAATTACTACAATTTTCACAAAACTCCCTTTCTGATAATAATAATCATCATGTGCTGAGTAGTGAATGACTTCAAGAGGTATTTCCTGGAGTCCTAATGAGAAGCTGTGATCAGCAGAGTTCAACTGTGTCTGTTGTGAGGCAGCTGACTTACAAATAGTACACCAACATGCCATTCAACCCTGTAAAACGCTATCTAAACTCTAAATTTTCAAATATTATAAACGAACAATTTAATGACTTGCTTTGAAAATTTCAAATGATCTAAAGTGTTGAATGAAGACACTTCATATAGTCTAAAACCTTGATAAATTTGCTAGAATGGATAAAATATTGGACAGGTTGGGACTCTTAAGTGTGATCTATGCTACTTATTTCGGTAAATCTAAGTAGCATGTAACATCAGTCAGAAGTAGAATGCCTGGTAGCAGAAAGTTGAGAAGATCCAATTGAAGAAAATAGGAAGAGCGACAGTGAGCAATTGTAATAACAGCAGAAATCAAAGAATGATGAAAGATGTACTAATGAAGTATTTGATGTATGGTTTTCATATTTTAAGAAAGCGCTCTGTAATTCTGGTATTTCCCATATTACGGCTTCAGTTTACGCATAAACTGCTTTAGCCTCGACCCCATAAGTTACGAACACATTTCGTCATCTAAAAAATTATGATTTATTAGTTGTTTTGCATCATGGTTCGGTAATCCATGTATATAAAGCTAAGAGTGAGTTGCTAATGTGTTTAGCTTCTTACCGTCTACCGGGTTAGGGAGAATTTGCTTGCTAGATCAACAGATATAGAGGTAGTGTCATGCGTATTTGTTGTCGGTCAATGTATGTTATTGGTCAGTGTATAAGTTAGTGGTCTACCAGGCGTTAATAATATCCATATTACTGAACTACATTTATTTATTTATTTGACCACACAAATATTGATACAAAGGGGTACGGAATACATATGCGCCACACAAGTCACTTGATTTATGTGTGCGCTGTGATGCTGCATGGGTGCACATACCGAAGCAGGTGGCTTTCTTAGGGACAACAGCCCGAGCCTTAGACCTAAAGGTCTGATCCACAAGAGAGTTGATCAACTTAAGGAGATGCACTCCCATGGTAGCTGGTGACCAGCAATAGGTTCATACACTATTTGTTCCTTCAGGATCCTGGGGCCCATGTTCACTATTGGTTTGGAATCAAGGTTTTCCAACTCTCTTAGGTGGATCTTCCGTATCCATCAACCCGGTTAAATCCCCTGGCGGACATTCTCTTTCCTTCCTCTCAATTTTGTAACCAACAACCATGGTGCGAGAAGACAGTGAATAGGACTTCCCTTGGAGTAGTTGTACGCACATGACCATATAAGAGCATTTGGATAGGGAGAGTGGACTATCACCATTCTCGGTCGTACTTGGGTATTTGAGGGTAGTGAACTATATACAACGGTTTTATTCCGAAACATATGATGAGACTGAAGATCACAACAGAATTCAAACTTAATAAAGATGTTCACACTCTAAATCATGAACTGATCCTTAACCAGAGCATTAACAAAAACCCTAGAAGCACTGGAAGGAATCCTATACTAAGACGAAATGACTATCCAGTGCTTCTGAGTTTCACTAAGATGAGTTCATGATGTTATGTATGAAAATTTTACAATCTCCACAAATTGTCAAGATAAAGACCCCTTGTTCTTCTTCTTCTTCTTATATAATAAATAGACTTTTTATTGATGGAGGTAATTTTTCAACTATTGAAGCCAAAAAATATACAATTACATTAAATCAATTAAGTAGAACAATTCAATTATTTGAAGAAGAAATTATTGGTCATATAGAATCTATTGAAAAAGAACGTCAATTAATAACTGATAATAAATTGAAACAATTTGAAACTTATTTAAAACCATTTATAGCTGATGTTATTTATATGGAGAATATGATACGTTGTATAACTAATACACAAGTAAGTTAAAACTGTTTTTATAATAATTCTCTTTTATATTTTATACAATCCAACATGAACGATATTTAAACACTATTTTGAGATTCCATAATGTTTGTACCATTGAAGACTCTTTGATAAACATAGTGTCGAAGGTCAATTCTCTTGGTGTCACCTTTTCCTCTGATCTCTCTTGGTCTTCTCATGTTTTATTGTTATCTAAGAAGGTCAGTCAGTCAGTCAGTAACAACGTAGAACTTCGTACGTACGTACATCGGTTCGAGTTGCCACACCACATTAGCACAGAGATGCCGTGGTCGATTCAAATCCCGTAGTGGTAGAGGTAATAAGAGTATAAGCAGTTATCGGAAAGATTAGTGTTTGGAGATGTTACTTAAAGAGTGTAATACAGTGAAACAAATTTGGGAAGAGAAAAAAAAGAGACAAGGGGGAATCAGGAAGGTTCTCCGTCTGACTTACTACATAATGAAATTGCATGCTCTTGGGATTACTCGTCATTTACTCCTACAGTTTGACAATTCTTGCATATTACCTATTATTCCTTTCCGGGCATTTGAGAAAAGACTTCGCTGTATTGCGGAAAGTGCTGAAGGCAGTTAGCAAGATGTGTGGTGACACTTTCGAGGTCATAATTAATATGGTTGTGGACAGACATATAAAGTCATACAAACTCGTGGCAGGTATTATTTTATCAGATACTAACCATCCCCTTCACTCTTATCTTTCTCCTTAAATATCTTCTGGTAGAACGAGACGTCATTACATTAAAATCCATTCACGCAAGCCAAAGTATAAAAGTTCTATAATACCTTACCTAGCAAATATACTCTGTGACGAACAAGTTGTTAGAGTTAACCTAGTCAATAACCTGCATTCTTAACCATGTCTCTAATTTTAAAAGTTGTACAGTTTTTCGGGGTTTTTTTTAACCCTTTTTTTTTGTCTTTGTCACTGCTTTTTGCGTAACTAACAAGTTGAAATACCTTGTGCTGAGAATTCTATATTGTACCAAAACTATAATAAAAATAATAATCGTATTGCTTAGTAGTCTTGGCTACCAATTTCACTCAACAAGTCCCCAAATCAGAACATAGTTGAACAGGAATGGACAATAAGGTTAAATGGAAGTAAGAAGCACACTTAGAAAAACATTGGTATATTTATAGTTTTTATATGAGAAGATTTCTAGAGTGTTCTCTATGTATCGACTAGCACTGATTGGTTAAGAATTAGCAAATCAGCATGCAGCAACGCAATCATTCATTGAGTATGCTTTAATCTAATTTATGTTCCGCTAATAATGTTACATTATGTATTATGTTTTATTTTAGATACATTCACTTGAGTTTTTATAAAGGTTAACATCTTCTTGTTATTGATAATGAAATATTACAATTGATGAGTAATGATGAGAATAGATGGATCATGAAAAGGATGTTGCAGTGTTATTATTTTTACTAGAAAAATATTCTGATTTATGAATAAAAGTAGAGCCTAAGATTCAAATTTCATTGTCTTTGAGACTTATCAGTTTTATGTATCTTTATTCTACTGTTTATGTATACCATGAAACTCGAATGCAGTTCAACATGTTACTTACTTACTTACACCTGTTACTCAACGTGGAGCATAAGCCGCCCACCAGCACTCTCCATCCAAACCTGTCCTGAGCAGTCCTTTCTAGCTCTTTCCAGTTGTTATTTATGTATAGGTAAGTTAGTAGTTAAATATACTCAGTAACATAGTGGATAACGCGACTGAATTTGAAATTGGATCAAGTTTCAGTATCAGTTTCAGCAGCATCCACGAACCTCCTAATCGATGCTGGCCCACCAACAATTGAAGAGATCAGAATGGCTATCAGAAAAATCAAGAGTGGCAAAGCAGCAGGACCAGATAATATTCCAGCAGAGGCATTGAAAGCAGACGTAGCGGTAACTGCAAAGAACTCCATGTTCTCTTCAATAAGATTTGGGATGAAGAACAGGTACCAGCAGACTGGAAAGAAGGATACCGGATCAAGATACCAAGAAAGAGAATCTCAACAAGTGTGAGAACTACAGAGGCATCACTTTTCTCTCAATACCAGAAAAATTTTCAACAGGGAATTGTTAAACAAAATGACAGACTCCGTAGATCCCAAACTTCGAGACTAACAGGCAGGATTCCGTAAGGATAGGTAGTGTACAGACCAAATCGCAACTCTACAGACCATTTTGGAACAATTAATTAAATGGAACTCATCACTATACATCAACTTCATTGACTACGAAAAAGCATTTGATATCGTCGACAAAAAAACACAATGGAAGCTTCTTCGATACTACGGCGTGCCTCAGAAAATAGTCAATATCATACGGAATTCTTATGATGGATTAAACTGCAAAATCATGCATAGAGGATAGCAAACAGACTCGTTTGAAGTAAAGACCGATGTCAAGCAAGGTTGCTTACTCTCACCCTTTCTCTTTCTCCTGGTGATCGACTAGATCATGAAGACGTCAACATCTGAAGGGAAACGCGGGATACAGTGGACATCTAGGATGCAGTTGGACGATCTAGACTTCGTAGATGATCTGGCCCTCCTATCGCTATCGCAACGGCAAATGCAGGAGAAAACGACCAGTGTAGCAGCAGCCTCAGCAGCAGTAGGTCTCAATATACACAAAGGGAAGAGCAAGGTTCTCCAATACAACACAGCATATACCAATACAGTCACAATTGACGGAGAAGATTTGGAAGAAGTAAAAACCTTTACATATCTGGGCAGTATCATTGATGAACATGGTGGGTCTGATGCAGATGTGAAAACACGGGTCTGTAAAGCAAGATCAGCATATTTACAACTGAAGAACATCTCAAACTCAAAACAACTATCAACCAACACCAAGGTCAGGATTTTCAATACAAATGTCAAGACAGTTTTACTGTATGGGGCGTAAACCTGGAGAACTAAGAAAGCAATCATCCAGAAAATACAAGTGTTTATTAACAGTTGTTTATGCAAAATGCTTCAGATCCGTTGGCTGGACACTATTAGCAACAACGTACTGTGGGAGAGAACAAACCAGATCCGAACGGATGAAGAAATCAAGAAGAAGTGCTCGAAATGGATAGGACACACATTGAGGAAAGCACCAAACTGCGTCACAAGGCAAGCCCTCACATGGAATCCTCAAGGCCAAAGGGAAAGAGGGAGACCAAAGAACACATTACGCCAGGAAATGGACATAGACATGAGGTAAATGAACAAAAATTAGATGGAATTAGAAAAGAAGGCCTAGGACAGAGTGGGTTGGAGAATGCTGGTCGGTGGCCTATGCTCCATTAGGGGTAACAGGCGTAGGTGAGTAAGTAAGATGAAATGAACATTAAAGACTTCACTCCAAAGACGGCCACATGAAGATATTTCATCAATCTAATGATTGATTGATTGTTAAAATGAATCCTATCTGTACATTAAAACTTAATAATTGGGATGCACAAAATTTATTATATTCTTCGTTTGTGGACTTTCGAGAATATAACACAAAATCACTGGTAGTGAATGCTGTTATATACAATTTTATGATCTCTACCATTTCATGATCTGCAGTATATCGCGATTCTGTCCTTTGGATTCTTTAATCTTATACGTTTTCTTTAAAATATATTTCTTGAGTTCAGCTTCCCATTAAAGTGATCACTACTGTCGTTGTTTTCACTTGTCTATCTTACATCTGATCAATTTCCTCCTTCCTAGTATAGGAGTTGTGGAGATTATTAAGTTTTTGATTGAGCTCATGAACCAATTGATGTTAGACCATCACAATTGAAAACCTGGAAGCACTGGACGGCCGTTTCGTCCTATTGTGGGACTCCTCAGCAGTGCGCATCCACGATCCCGATCTTAATCAAAAACTTAATGATCTCCACAACTCCTATACTAGTAATCAACATGTGCTCACTAGTGACTAGCTTCGTGAGGGAATTCTCGGAGTTCTAGTGAGAAGCCGTGACCAGTGGAGCTAATCCTTGTCGGGTAGAGACAGTTATCTACCTCAGTACAATGGAAGTTGGTCGCGCAATTTCGTGGATTGGTTGATGTTAGAAACTTTCACCGTTGGATGACGGCTCAGTGGTCTAGTTGGTTAAGCGTTCGCACGCGAGACCGAAGGCCCTGGGTTCGAATCCCGCTCACGGGATCGTGGATGCGCACTGCTGAGGAGTCCCACAATAGGACGAAACGGCCGTCCAGTGCTTCCAGGTTTTCAATTGTGATGGTCTAACATCAATTGGTTCATGATCTCAATCAAAAATTTCCTCCTTCATCTTTTTTGATATGTACAATGTATGATAACTTTGATTAACATATGTTCATGTTCGGTCTTATGTTTTGGTGTTATTCGGTTAGAAGCAGTCAACAGGAAACTATGGAACTGGATGTCCTGGTGTTGTACACTTATCAGCAAGGTGTTTTTTGAATCTCAAAGGAATCGATACTCCCAGTGTTATGATTTCTCTTATTACGACCTAGCTACTCTGATTATTTAATATTCTTGGACACTACTTCACTCAAAAAGTCCCCAAATTAGAACACGGTTGAACAGGAATGTAATTATATTCTAAATAACAAAGGTGGATGAAAATAGGAATTACAATAAGAAAAATATCAGCATATTTGTAATTTTTTAGATAAAGACATTCTAGAATCTTCTCCAAGTAACCAACAGCGCTGATCGGTTAAGAAATAACTAATCAGCGTGCCCTAATACAATTTTTCATGGGACATACTTTAACCCAATCTGTATCCCGGTAACACACTGTGAGATTTGTACCCTTGTCAATGTACTTTACAGTTTAAGATGTTAACAATGAGATTATAAGGTACTGACTTCCAGTAGGAGAAGTATGTCAATATATTGTTTGTGACTGATTGTTTTTAGTTCACGTTTTGTCATAGACTACAAATGTATATATGTTTAGATTAGGAAGAAATAATTGCTATGTATTCATAACAGTTATCTCCTCTAAACTTTCCTCCTCTCTACGGCTTTGAAATATTATAAGATCTCTTCATATGTAGCTTGAAATATCAACTACTCAACACATTCATCCAAGAATTGGTAACTTCATTTAGATTTTTTCTTACCGTACTGTTTCGTTTGGTGTTATATTTCAATCAGTCAGTCAGTCAGCTACAACATAGGACCAGGCACATATATTCATCGGTACAAGTTGCCATACCTCACTCATTAGCACAACAAGATAAACACCAAATTCATAGAAGTAATTAATTCAGTGGTGGTAATATATAAAAGAAAGATTGCATATAAGGATATAGTACAGAAAGAAAGAATTAGTTCGTAGAAAGAAAAATATGAAGTGATTTTAATCTCATAGTTTAAGGGAAGGCAAAGAGTGTATACACCGACGCCATTGTGATCGACTCTGAGCCATATCACACAGGGTCTCCGACCATTGGTTACGATAGTTACACGGATCCCAACCAAGTAGTGTGCATCTACCAACATGTCTCGGACTAGAAGTTAGTAACTTCAATGACTGATGCCACATTGTGGTTTGGCCACCCCTAACTTTCTTCCAACCATCTCTAACACTTGTCAGTATTACGTGTCGTGCTGATCGATGTTCAGGAATACGTAACACATGGCCTAATCATCTTAGTCGATCAAGATATATATGTATCTAAACATAAAATTGATTTTATTCATGAGTTCAACAAAAAGATGTAACTCTCTCTCTCCTTTCCTTCTTCTCTCCATTTGTGTATATATATTAATTAGGTACAAATCAAAGCACAAACTGAAGATAGTTCAAGTCAATCAAAATTATTAATCGGTCAAATTGAACAATTTCAATGTTTATTAAAATCACTGAATGAAACAAATCAAATTCTATCAAATACATTATTGAATATAACATTAGCTACTACTACCAATACTACTACCAATACTACTACTACTACTACTACTACTACTACTACTACTAATAATAATAATAATAATAATAATAATAATAATAATAATAATAATACATTACAACAATTAGATATGGAGGAGAGAATCATGCAAAAAGATTTAAGTAATAAATCAATTGAATTACTGACTAAAATTTGTATTAATGCATCAGATCGTTGTGTATTTTTAAATTGTCTACGTAGTCAATATGTCAATGATGATTATGTTGCAACAACTGATTCAAATGAATTATCCTATGAGAATATGATTGGAAATAATAAAGATAATTTAGTAAGTAATATATATACTATTGTATAGAAATAAGTTATTGAATGTATATGTGAATGAACTACTTTGACTAGAAGAAAACATTCGACAGCGTGGATAGCAGAACTATATGGAACCTTCTTTGATACTATGGTGTGGCAGACAAAATCGTCATCATGCGGAATTCATATGAAGGACTACAGTTTAAAGTGTTGCATAGAGGACAGCTGACAGACGGGTTCCAAGTGAATTCATGTGCCATGCAAGCTTGTTTACTCTCCACCTTTGTCTTTCTTCTTCTGATTGACTGGATTATGACGATCTGAACATTTGAGGGAAAGTACGGAATACAATGGACTGTTTGAACAACTCTGTTCAAGTAAATCAAGGACTTCAGTTAGAATCGTAAGAGCTGCTATGATGAGATAAAAATCAAGAAGGCCGTTGACTAATTACACAATTTCCTTTACTTTCTAATCAGGGAATCACTGTCTATGTAACTATTGATGAAGTGATTATGCTAAGATCAAGTACACAAACACACAATTTTATAAAATATGAAATGACTTTGCCACAGCTAAAATAGTTCACTTCTGAAATGACTTCATAAAATGTAAAGAATGGTAAAAACTGTAACTGATCGAGTTTATTGCTATAAAATAAAGTAGTCTACAAACTTACCTAATTACTTCTGTCACCTCTCCTGGAAGAGCATAGACCTCCCAACAACATTCTCCATCAAACTCTGTCCTCAGCAATCCTTTCCAGTTGTTTACAGGTGCTATTTATTCTTTTGATGTCTCCTCCTAACTCCCAAAGTAATGAATTACTTAGTCTTCCTCTTTTCCATTTCCCTTCAGGATTCCATGTCGGTGCTTTTCTCGTGATATCAGTCTGATAGTTTCCGAAGTGTATGATCTATCCATTTCCAACGTCTTTTCCTAATTTCCTCTTTATCTGAAAGTTGGTTTTTTCTCTCCCAACATAGGATGTTGATGATGGTATCTGGTTAAAGGATATTGAGTATCTTGTGTGGACAACTGTTTATAAATACTTGCACCTTCTTGATGAGGGTTGTGGTAGTTCTCGAAGTTGCAGCTCCGTACAGTAGAAATAACTTTCTTGATGTTCATATTAAAGATTTTGACTTTGATATTGGTAGATAGACAGTTTTTTTTTAGTTTCATCTATTATTCAACTGTAAGAATGCTGTCCTTGTTTGGCCAATCCTTACCTTTACATCTGTATCAAATTTTCCTTGATCATCGATGATACTGTCTAGATAAGTGAAATTTTCCACCCCTTCCAAAGTTTCTCCATCAAGTGTGATTGGATTAGCATTATTTATATTATTATTTGAGGATGTAGGGTTTTCCTTTATGTACACTACACTGGTTGGTTATCTTGATCCCCATTGATTACTATTATGTTTCCCATAATTTTCTTTCTTTTTCATCTCTCAATTTTCATTTCATTACTATAGACATTGAATAAAACAAAACTACAAATGGTATCACAAAATCCTTCCATAAATATTCATTCCATTAAAACTGAACAAATTAAACAATCAACTAATCAATCATCATCATCATCATTATTAACTAATATGAATATACAAAATGCATTACAAATTAGTCGACCAGGACGATTATTTACTGATGATTCATGTATTCAACTTATACAAAATATATTCAATGAACATAATTCAATTGATGAGAATAATATAGAGAAAATGAAAAATATTACACCAAATCAATTGATTGATAATACATCTAAACGTAATGATAATAAATCATGTAAGTGATTTGATGTTATCAAGATATGATCATTTCTAGGCGAGACTCTAATTTATGAACGAGTCAATCAGAAGCGTTTGAGAGATTTCAAGGTCATGGCGGCGACGTCAGTGCTTCATGCTAATGTACGATCGGTTCACAGGGAATTTTGTACAAAATACGATAATTGAGTGGCTATAACAAATAAAACGGTGAGACTATAATTTGTGGACGAATCAATCAGGTACAACATAATAGATCTCGGATTTTAACACAAAAGCCTTTCATCCACTTATCTAAATAAATTTCTGGCATTATAACTGATGTCAGTTCGTGATGATTACACCATATATAATTACTAACTAAAGCAAATTACGATAATTATTGCGAACTGGATAATAAAAGCACTAGTAACACTGGTTGCAGCCATGTACTACAATATATACGGATTTTTGGAGAGCGTACAGACTCCTACATAGACTTCGTCATATGTATCGTGTCGTTATCTAAAAGTAGAATCTTTTGCATTCAACAACCGGAGTGCACATAAACAATACTGAAGCCATGTGGCCGAGGCTGAAAGAGTTTTTGAGACTTTATCATGACTCCAGAGGTCGACTATTCTGTAGCCGTTTAGACGACTTCCTCAACTGCATGTATTACGATTTTAGAACCTTTGAACCTCTTTCTAAACTTGACAAGTTTTTAAACCACGTATAAGAAGTGCATTCACTTTATTTCCATGGTTTTGTATCATATATTTTTACTCTATATTAACTGTGTGCTGATTGGCTAATGTTTCTCAAGGTTACTGAAGATTCGTTCAAAGATCGTCTATAAATTAGAGTCTCGCCCATTTCTAGCATCAAATATAATTGTCATGAAGTCTGACATGTAAGTTAATGTATTAATTCAAGTCAGTTTACTAAACAAAGCATGAGGAGATGAAATGCTTTGGTACGGTCGAGAGTGAAGAGTCAGCTCTCTCTATCCATATGCTCTTATATGACCACATACATACAACCAATCCAAGAAAAGTCCTACTCACTGTCTTCTCGCACCATGGTTGTTGTTTACGAAATTGAGAGGAAGAAAAGCGAATGTTCGGCGCTCTAACCAGGTCAGTGAATATGGAGGATACACTTAGAGGAGTTGGGAAACCCTCGTTTCAAACCAATGGTGCACAAGGGTTAAAGGATCCTGAAGGAACAAATGGTGTATGAAGCTATTGTTAGCCACTGACTACTATGGGACTGCATCCCCTTACGTTGCTCCACTTCCTTGTATATTAGACCTTTTGGTCAAAGGCTTCGAGCGTGGCTCCCTACAAAAACCACCTGCTTCGTTTAGGACACCCGGGCAGTATCCCAGCCCTTACACAAAATCTAATGATTTGTTTCCTCCTTGTATCAATGTTTATGCATTTAAATAAAATGAATTGAAATCACGAACTTATATAAGTTGGACAACCATTGAAAACCTGTTAGAACTGAAGAGGTGTCATGTTCTAGTATGGGGACTACTCAGCAATGAACCGTTCAGTACTTCCGTGCTTTGAGTGATATTCTAGCTTGGATAGGCTTGTGACTTCAATAAAGTTCAACAATCTCTAGAACTTCATAGGTGTAGTACTGAAGAAGATCAAACATTGAAGAATACAGTTCGAAAAGAAGGAATTAGTTTCAAGTGAATAAAAAGTGTACAATATAATGAAGCTCAAAAATAAGAGAGAAACAAAGTGTCATTCCGTTTACTTTAATGAGACTAAGTCTAAACTATATTACCCAAAATATTTGGCCATTATCATATGAAGAATTGTATCCTTAAATTCATATGTATTGGCCATTTAAGTGTTCCGAATGATGACTTAAACTATAATTGATCAATCTATTTTGGCATATATACAACCTGTTTGAATTGCTTTGATATTTCCATCAAGTCACAAGCATTTTAAGAAAAAATGGATAATGACTAGCTGTAGAATCCAAAAAGATGTGTGTTTTATCCTTTTTCGTACTGAATTTATGTTAGATATACCTGTATTCCAGAGTGAGTTGATGTTCACTCGAACCCAGTAGAGTTCATTTCAAATGCCATCGTCGGTGACACTATAATTTATGGACGAACTTTGAGTAACGCTAAAGTAACCTTGAGAGTGTCCACATAATAACTAGGACCAAATGAGGGTTATAAACCAGTGTGAGGAATTAGAATTATGATTTACAGTTGATGGTTAGGGTTAGGAATCAGATTTTGGGTTTTCATCATGAACTGACATCATCTTAAAGCAGACGGGGTTTTGTGGAGACTGTAGTAATTTCAACAGTTGAGATCATGAGTCAATTGAAGCTTGACCACCATGAAAAACCTGGAAACACAGAACGACCGTTTCGTTCTATTGTGGAACTCCTTGAGAGTGCGCAACCACAACCCTGCCTCGCAAGATTCGAACCCAGGACCTATCAGTCTCTCCGTCCACTGCTTCTAGGTTTTCCATGGTGGTCTAGCTTAATTGACTCATGATTTCAACTGCTGAAATCATCTTAAATGTCAAAACTATTTCGCCAAATGGATGAGTGAATTTCGCACCAAAATTTGAAACCTGTTATTTTATACGTGATTGGTTCGTCCATTAAAATTATAGTTTTGCCTCATCGTGTTATTCACCTAACAATTGCGTCTAACTAGTCACTGACTTGTGCAATCGGGCGGGTTTTGATTCGTATATAATATTAGTATTTTTAGTCTTCCCATCGATTTTCAGGATTGTAGTTGATCATTGTCTACAGTTGATACTGTGTTGAATTCAATTTAGATATAATGAGATAGTAAGACAATTAACTTTTGTTATACACAGTTCAAACAGTGAGAACTCTTAAATTTTCTGAAGAATTTTGATCTATTAAAATGTAATCATTGCTTATGATGAAAAATATCAGTCCTTACAATGCCGTACTGTTCGGCTGATATTCTATAGGATATTTTAGGTTTCCGGGTTATCTTCTAGATATATTTCCTTGAAGTTCTCCAGACAGTTAGTTTGTTCATTCCTTCTGATGTTTGTGGAGAAACGTTTTCCAGCTTGCATCGCTTATAGTGCAAGCGAGATGTCTGTCTGTCAACCGAAAAACGACTGAACTGCTCAAAATTCAGCTCTGGTACTAGTATTCAATCATCGATTTCTCCGAAAGATTTTTTGCGAACCACGGTACATCCGAAGAAGTATTCACCATGTTTGAGGGGTTAAGATATCATCTAGGTCCGGTGAACGGGTCGAAAGTTGGAAAAATAGCAACAGAACAAGCTAAGCTATTTTCTCTACTCTCCAGCCCTGATAACTAGAGGAAGAAGACAAGATTCAGCCTGGGAAATATATAATCCCACAAACAGCTGGGAGAATCAAGAAAAAGCATACAACTCATGCGTATATATATAATACAAAAATGTCCTTGAAAATCGTCACAAGACAGCGTACCAAAGGAGAAAAATAACCAACGATGTTTGTGGTCCCTTCAGGTGGGTAGCACAGACCGAAGGTCAAAGTGGGCGCTTTTTTCACAAAGATAAGAAATATAAATTTCCATAAACAAGTTACAAAAATAAGAAGTTTGCCAAGCGATTTTTGAAGATCTAGCATCCCCAACAGTTGTGTTGAGGTGAGGTATAAGGTACTAAGCAACGCTAACAAGTCAGTTGGTAGGATAATGAATCTTCATTGACTAAAGTGGTTGGAACGTATTTCACGCATGCATAACCCTCTTTCTGCTTCGACTGGTAACGCTGGTTAGTGTAAAAGTAATTACTATGAAAACAAACTAAAATGTGGCATTATTCCATTAAGTCGTTGATCGTTAGTCTAAGTCGTGTTGGTAGATCCAGACTATTAACTTGGAGGGAAGCCAAATCAAAACGTGGAATTAGTGCTTGAAGTCACTAACTTGGGAGATGCACACTACTTGGTTGGGATCCGTGTAACTATCGTAACCAATGGTTGGAGACTTTGTATGACATGGCTCAGAGTCGATCACAATGGTGTAGGTGTATACACTCTCTGTCTCCCTTTAAACTATAAGATTAAAATCGCTTCATTTGTTTCTACTAACTCGTTCTTTCTTCCTGTACTATATCCTTATATGCAATCTTTTTTTGGTATATTAGTACCATTGATTTAAATACTTCTATGAATTTGGTGTTTATCTTGTTGTGCTAATGAGTGAGGTATGGCAACTTGGACCGATGCACATATATGCCTGTTCATACGTTGTAACTGGTAAGCGTTTTTTTAGCGAGTTAGTTTTCTACGAGATGGGGACGCTAACCCCATGCCCAACCCTCATCTTTTACCCGGGCTTGGGACCGGCAGTAACCCTATAAGAGCTACAGGCGGAGGATTGCCCAGGACAGGGTTGGATGGAGAATGCTGGTGAGCGGCCTATGCTCCTTCACGAGGAGTAACAGGCGTAAGTAAGTAAGTAAGTATACGTTGTAACTGACTGACTGACTGACTGACTGATTAACTGGGATTCTGTACAATAACTACAACTAGTGCATAAAGATACTGATTAGAATAATTCAAAATCTGTTATAATGGCTCATATACCTTCACTGAATAATTCACATTAGATTTACTTTCATGTAAACATTTTCATTTTATACTATCGAACCATATTTTTTTTTAAAAAAAAAACTTTTAAACCTTCTCAATATCTTTATTATTGAATCTTATTAATTTGATCATATTGTTACCCTAATATGGTGTGTTACTATTAAACGAATGCAGATTTTCATCAATCTTTACATTGATTAATCACTAACTGATTTGACTTTTATGAATATTTCTGGAACTTGTAATTAATGTTTGTTTTGCTTGTTTGTTCTTTTAATTATCGATTTAAGTCTATGATGAGAAAAATTTCTTGAAAATCATTAAATGATAGAGTATATTTGTAGTTCAGAATAAGAATATTGTAAGGGTTATGATCATTGAACTGGATGGTTTCGTTATGAAGCAGTCAATCAGTCAGTCAGCTACAATGTTCCCTTCAGGATTTAATTGTTCCATCTAGTGTTATGGAAGTGATCGATAAAGAATTGAATAAATTAAACGATTTAGATAATCACTCTTCAAAATTTAAGTCAGTAATTTTATTGTGAATTAGTTTTTTTCTTTTTTACAAAAAAAAAGCATCAGCTACAACTTAGGATCAGGCATATATATGCATCGGTCTAAGTTGCCATACCGCATTAGCGCAACAATATGAACACCAGATTCATAGAAGTAATGAATTCAGCGGTGCTGGTAATATATAAAAGAAAGATTGCAATAAGGATATAGTACAGGAAGAAAGAATTACTTCGTAGAAAGAAAGATATGAAATGATTTTTATCTCATAGTTTAAGGGAAGACAGAGAGTGTATACACCGACGCTGTTGTAATTGATTCTGAGCCATGTCACTCAGAGTCTCCAACCATTAGTTACAATAGTTGTGTGGACCCCAACCAAGCAATATGCATCTACCACTAACATGACTCAGACTAGAAATTAGTTACTTCAAGCAATGATACCACGTTTTGGTTTGACCACCCCTAACTTTCTTCCAACCATCTGCAACACTAGTCAGCATTGCGCGTTGTTGTAGTCGGTGTTCACGCATATGAAACACGTGGCTCAACCATCTCAGTCGATGGAGATTCACAACCTCATCAACTGATTTACCATCATCATTCCCTAATACTCTGTTTCTAACCTCACAATTACTTACTTGATGATCCCAGCAGATGTGAGCAATATTTCTAAGACATCTGTGATCAATTACTAGTAACTTACGAGTGGAGCATTTATTGTTTGTAAGTTTAATTGGTTTATTTTCTTCCCTGACTTGATTATTGGCATTGCAGTTGCTAATCCTTTTACTTAATGACTAATGAATCTGGTTGATTTCGATTTATTGATTAAATGATGCTTCGTTGGAGTTAACAGAACAAGATGTTAGTTAGTTAGTTATCAAGAAATATTAGTAATTCACTTCTCTTTGAAGTATGTACTGATGATATTGTTCAGAAGAACAATGAAAACTTCAGAACCAAACTATTCAGTTCATCACAACATTTCCAACATTCTCATCCTGAGCTATAAATATTCTCCATCACAGAAAAATTGACGGATTCTGTGTCAAATTGTGATTGGATGAGTGCTTACTCCATTGCTTAATTGAGCATGATTCCAGATGTTTCCAGAGTACAACAGTTATCAATACATCCACAAATGTAATATTTGAATTCATGATTCGATTAAAGCTAAACCACCTTGGAAAACCTGGAAGCACTGGACGGCCGTTTCAAACTCAAAACCATAGGCCTTGCGCGCGAACGCTTAATCTCTAGACTACTGAGTCGGTATTCGATGGTGTTAATGTTTTACTTCAATCGATCCATAATCCATGAGACAGGTATCTACCTAAGACAATGAATGAATGGTTGCACAAGATGATCGTCAATCTTTTTTTCAGTTTATAATTTTTAATATACAGATGAACTGTAGACAACCTTGAAGAATTCTTAGTCTAAATAAAGCTTTTGTAAATAGAAAAGCAAACAATAATGTTACAAAGTATTAACAGATTTTATTTAATTAATGAATCACCTCAAGTCTTCTACAAGTTATTCTACCTGTATATCGTAAAAATAGTTATCTAAATTCATTTCAATGAATAAAGATTTCTGAATTTCACGAAAGCTTTTAACGATCTGACTAGATTCCTAAGACTCCCGCACAATTTACTCAGTTAGGATTCAGTATTTAAGGTAGAAATCGAAAGTATAAGGTAGGGGTTTACATCACTCAATCAGTCAGTTACTCAAGCAAGAACGTAGAACTTCGTATGTACATACATCAGTTTGAGTTGCCATATCACATTAGCACAGAGATGCAGTTGTCGATTCAAATCCCATAGTGATAGAAGTAGTAAAAGTATAAACAGTCATCGAAAACATTAGGTTTTGAAGATGTTACTCAAGGAGTATAATCCAGTGAAATAAATTTAGAAAGAGAAAAAAAGAAACAAGCAGAATTCATGAGATTAGAATTTGGGAGAACACAAAGAGTGTATGCACCTGCGCCATTTCAAACGATTTTGAGCCATGCCATTTAAGGTCTGTAACCATCGTTTGCTATCATCTCGCGGTTCCCAACCAGGTAGTCTACACCTATCAACATGGCTCGGTCTACTTGTCACTGACTTTCATGGATTTGTGCCATGTTTTGGTCTGGCCGCCCCTAGCTTTCTTCCAACCTACTTCTATACCATAAAACACCACTCGTTGCGACAGTCAGTGGTTGGGCATACATAACACATATCCCAGCCATCTAAACTGATTGAGTCTCACCACTTCATCAATTGATTCGCCATCTTTACCTATTACCCGCTTCCTAACAACTGAGTTACTTACTCGGTAGTCTCAGGATATATGAGAAATGCTTCGTAGACATCTATGATCGAATACTAGTAACCTACAAATATTATTTACACTTACCGGCCATGTTTCACTGCAATGAAGTAGGACGGAACAAACTGCTGCGCAGTAAACCCGTACTTTGGTTGATAGACAGATATCTAGCCTACGCCATAAATGACGCAAGTTGGCAAACGCTAGTCGAGCCTTCTGTATCCGTGCTGAGATTTCGTCACACGCCAGACCACAAAGTCAATGAGACTCCCAAGATGAGTGAAGCAGTTGACAAGCTCAACTACTTCACTCCCTATCATTAGTTCGGGTGTCGATGCAACCCAATCCTGAAGCAACATTTTGCGTTTCGAGGGGGGAGAATCGCATCCCGAACATGCCTGCATTGTTGCTTAGAGTGGTCAGAAGACTCTGTATTTTGTCACTAACAGACCTTAACCAATACACAAACATTTATATAATCATAAGAATGAATGGTTTTAGATCAAAAACCTAACAGGAATTGAGAAATACACAAAGGTATTTCTACGGCTCATTCTATGTAAGTTTTTAATTTTGCACAATAATATAAAAATCCTTTTCACGATTCTGATTTGCTCAGCCCTATACTATACATTTACATATATATACATATACTTATTTTGTTTTACCGGGTTAGATGAATCGACTAATCTGAATAGTAATAACAATAACAACAATAAACAAGTATTATTGGATGATAATCAAAAATTAGAAACACTCCCAGTTAATACATCAATAAAAAGTCATCGAGGTAAACGTGAAATGAATAGTTCAACCACAAATGGAATTGTACCTAAAACTAATAGACGAAAGAAAAAGTAAGCTTTAGTATTATTACTACTATTATAGTATTACATAGATTGATATTTGGAATAAATTAAGACGAATTTCCAAGATTTCCATTACATCTCTGTTATATCCCGATGAGAATTATAACTGTCGGAATCTATTTATGAACCATTACGATACGTATATTTTTATTGTATAGTTGTTATGTAACTAAGCTATGTATAATCATATTCCTCTTATTATAAGCTTCATTTTGACTCATAGGCTGTTATTATACGATTTATCATTCGAGAGTTATGCTCAGTCTATTAATTACAGTCTCCCACATTCACAGCCACATTTGACTAAATCTTGTACAAATGTGTACTTTCTATTTTGTGGTACGATGTGGTCTGTCTGGTTGGTACATAAACTCAGTATGTTTGAAATACATGATTCATATCGTAGAGGCTGAGATTAGTGTTCTGGACTCAACAAGACGGGAAGAAGGACTGATAATGACTGTAGACTGCTCGTAGGGGTTTATGCGCATAGGTCCAGTCGATGAGTTACTGTATCATTACACCATATATTAATAGGGAATAAGGCCACAAGTTGTGTCAGTCTTCTCAACTTTCCAATAAACTTGTTGAATACAACTTTGTAGGTGATTCATAATTTTCTGAAAATCAATTTACGATAATGAAAACGATCTGTAAGATGCTATAGTGACATATTGATTAAAGTTGAAAAACTGATATGATTTTTTATAAAACAATCAATAAGGTGGATCGGTTGAAGTTAGACATTAATATCATTGAATGCCGGCTCAATGATTTAGTGGTTAACCGCTCGCCCGCCAAACCCGTAGGTCCTGGTTCGAATCTCGCGGGGAGAGATCGTGGACGCACACTGTTGAAGAGTCCCACAGCGGGATGAAACGGCCATCCAGTGCTCCCAAGTCTTCTCTAGTTGCCTAGTTTCCATTGACTCATGAATCTAACTAATAAATCGAGGAGTTATCTAAATCACTGTAACCTTACAGGTTTTATTAATTTTAAAGTGAAATACACTTTTACATATTTTCTTCTGATTCTCTGGATAGTGGTTTTAACATTATAAGGTCATTCTCAGCATCACCAATGGTCGAAGGTAAAATAACGTTACATTGTAGAAGAGTAGTATGGTGTATTTGTTGGGGAGATCCAGTAAATTCCTCGAAAAAAGCCAAAAAGTCTCTGAAAATGTTAAGAAACTTCTTATCCAATCAGCATTCAATAAAAGTTTTGCCACAAACATCTAGAAAGTGGAAAGTAACGTGTTGAGTTTCTGAATGGTTGATTACCTATGCCGCTAGTGTGTTTAATAGCGTTCCAGAAACTTCCAGAAGCCCAAGACCATCTAAAATGCTCTAATTGCCCTGGATTTTCTGCACATAAACATGCCTTAGAGTAAAGCTTTCTTTTCATGTTTCGCACCTTTTCTCTCGTGTTTAAGTCGCTGTGTAGATTTAGCCTGAGAGTTACTAAAGAGCTCAAGAAACCGAATCTAGAGTTCAATTAGAAGACTTATCAATACTGAACAAGGTTTAGACTACTCTTGCATGAAAAAAATTGAGTAGAGTCTTATCTCCTCATCTTAATACAGTCAAATGATTTAGCCACAGATGTTTGTTTTAACCCATTACGTCAAGCTAAGTCAGTAGGATCACATCCAGTTTCAACGCAACGGAGTAAGCAAGATATAAATATGAGGCAGACTACTTTGAATAAGTAAATGCTTTACCTTTAGTGAAAATCACTGTTCAGTTGTTTCTTTTTGTCAGTTTATAAACCTATGAATATGCATTAGCTGTAAAACATTGTTATTGGGCATTTATCAATGAAATTTCTCGTATGTAATGGTTTGTCTTCTGATAACACAGATGATTCAAAATCTTTTTTTCTCTCTCTTTGAGGTATACTGCACTAATATTGGTGATATCATAATAAAACTGTACCGGCTGACCGAGTTTATAATATCGCTAGATTGAATACTCGAACAGTACATAATACAGAGACTAGAACCGGTCATATCAGATATACGATTCACGATCAAGAATAGAGAAACCACAGTAAATCTTGACAATTCTTTATTCTACACAACTACAAGCAGTGGCTGCTAATGGGCTCGGAGTAGAAATCAATGAGAGGACATGATATTTTACTGATATAATAATTGGATTAGTTGTAAAAATTACTGAAATGACATCAGCTAAAATGCTGTTTAACCAAATGGATAAATGAATTTCGCGTCGAAATCCATGACCTGTCATCTTATATCCGATTGGTTCATCCATAAATTATAGTGTCAAATACATAATACTTTACTCATCATTTGATTTATGTAAGGGCTAGGATACTGCCGAGGAGCTCAAACCAAAGTAAATCAAGTAATGAAGTGTGGCACATATACATTTGGTACTTAAATAAATAAATACTTTACTCAGGATGATTACAAGCAATTCAGTGTAGAAAGCAATAACTAGTAGGTAATCACTTATTAAATAATCACTAAGCAAAATGTCTGTCTGTTCACGCTTACTGTCCATTCACATTTTAATTTTCCTCACCACAGATCAATATGATAAAACAAAAATTCCTGAAAGTAACCCAATACTACTTTATTAGTTTCAAGTATATAACTGTATTGTCACTGGAACAAACTATTGAATAGAACATATATATATATATATATATATATATATATATATATATATATATATATATATATATATATATATATATGCACATTTATTCTAGATTTTAAGGTTGTTTATCACTGATTATATATTATTATTATTGTGAATGGCTTTTATCATTATTATATATTTGGTATAATATAGAATTCTCTGTACAGAGTACTTCAACAAGTTTCCATTTCTTATTTCTTGATTGATTCTGATGAGAAATATTGAGTAATCGCCAGTTAGAAGTTAGTGGTCCAATCAATTGACATCAGAATAATATACATTCTTTTCGTTGCAATTACGATAACTCTGATTGTGCCCTTTTGTAACTTATACGACGACAAGTTGTACATTTTTCAGAAACACACCTGAATAAGTTATGCTATTAATAGCCATAATGATATATTAAAACTGTTATATCCGAGTGAAGATTACATTACGAGTAACGTCTGAAACCTATTAATGCACTAATATTATCTATATATTCTTATGGTATAACTATTCAATAATTAGATTATGTATATTTATATTCCTCTTATTATAAGCTTTATTTTGATCTATAATTTATTATTGTACGATATGCTGTTCTTAAGCTACGTTCAGTTTATTAACTATTGCCTCTCACGTTCACAGCCACTTTTTGACTTTATTGTGTACAAATGTTATTTCCTATTTTATGGTGCGTTGTGGTCTGTTTGATTGATATATAAACCTAGTATGTCTGAAATAAATGATTCGATTCGCATAGTGGAAGCTAGTATTGGCCACAATTAATTGATCACTGGGTGGTGATCAATGTCATGTGTGTCAAGTCCTTATTTAGTGCAAATCGAATGCTATCAATCATGTTGCAATGTGGCCACCAGTCTAGGTGACTCGACACTGCGGGCACTATGTATTGAGATTTAGATGGTGGTTGGAGGTAGTCAACAGGAAACCCTGGACCCGGGTTTCGTGCTACTTGGCACTCGTCAGCAAGGTGTACCTGTAATCTTGAGGGAACTGGTTTGGTGGCCCGTGATCTGACTCCTATTTAGATCGTATAAATGTTTACTATCGCCTTTTTTCGTATATCATCGTCGACTTAAATCACGTTAGTCAATAACGGAATTTAGATAAGTCAATTAACGAGAATGGCCTTTGAATGCATATATTTTTGTACGTAAAGTGAATGTAATAGAACAGAGCAAAATGATGCGCAGGGAAGATGGCTGTGAAGTCAACTCCATTTTAGTCAAAAGTTACTCCATATTTATAGTCAGACAAAATAAAGCTACAGACATGTGATTAATGCGATAAGAAGGGCACACACATATACGCTCATATAAAAACAGTCTAAATTGATAAGTTAATAAATAACAAGGTCAAAGTATGGCTCGAGTAGGATGAATAAAATGGGATGGCCGAAAGTTAGAATAAGGTACATGGGCTTGCCATAATAATTGACACTACACTGGTGCTCCCTAGCGGATTCGATCCCGTGTGGGTCGCGGCCAGGATAGCTCAGTGGCAACGTCTCCGACTATGAAGCTAGGTGACACGAAATCCAATCCGTCGGGGAGCATCATTTCCCTCAAGATTACAGGTACACCTTGCTGACGAGTGCCAAGTAGCACGAAACCCTGGTCCAGGGTTTCCTGTAGACTCCCTTCAACCAGTATCTGAGCTGGTATTGGTGTTCTGTACTCAAGTGGACAGGTTAGGCGGATATAGAGTCAATAAAGACGCTAAGCTGCCCATACCGATCGATAGTCATTGGTTTGTCAAAGTGCTAAGATTGTATAACAAACAAAATTAGATAACTTGTCAAAATATCTAGATGGCAAAGATGTTCAAGCAGCCTACTATTTTTAGACTCAATGAATTCAAATATTAAAATTACTGCAATCTTCAAAACACCCCCTATTTGTTTTAAAGCTTTGGTATTTCCCAGTTATTAAGGCAATTGATCCCTTTTATAAATTTCAATAAAGCGATTAGAAGACAGAGTTGATCTAGAAAAATATATGAGATGTTTTTGTGCTATACATTTCAAACAATTTGGTCACATATATACTTATATGGAAATTAATGAAGGTTAATTAAAATGACTTCAGTATTACCAGGGTAAATTCAAAGTTACAACAAACTGTTTTTGTACATCTAAGGGAGGGGGATTGATTGGTTTAAATTTACAAATAGCTAAGGCTTCAATATAAACCTCAGAATTTGTCCTCGACAATTTCTGTATAACGTTTTAAACGCTGTATTGATATTGATTTTTTTTCAACCCTGTTCCAATGATATATCTCGCTATTGATGAACATGATTGTCTACGTCCCACATTGATCAAAACACTTGACCCTAACTGATTTTGAAGACATCTAGAGACATGTTCAGTAACCTCTGATTGTATTGTTGAATTATTGCTTTCTATGTATATTTGTCCACACAAACATGTAAAATCATTATGTTGAGGATATTCCCTGAAGTTAACATGTAACTTTTAGCTCATTAAGAATAGATGTGAATGGGTAACAAAAATGTTTATTATGAAGAACAGATTGATGATTGTATGTAAGTCACCAGAGTCGTTTATATCCACCAGGATCATTTATGTACACAGTTATTCCAGGTATAATGTATTCTTGAATTAGAAGTGTAATTATGTACTTTCTAAAAGTGACCATTTGACAATGATCTATCTCAAATATCAAACATGATAATTAGAAAGCATACTACTTAACCATTCTTCCTTAATACTCCTTTCTTTATTAGATTTTTACTTTTTGAAGATAGTTTCACTTATAAAACTTTTCAATACATTCAAACCTAAAGATATCAAAGCGTACTCTTCAACAGTAATGGTACCATTGCACAGAAATCACTTTAATTGCATTCATATAAGCTACTGATTTAAAATCCAAAAGACAATCTGTAGTATCTTTTTATCTCAAATTAAGCCTAGAAGAATAGAAACATAAACCTGTTCTAATGGATTATTTTTAACTAGCAAGAATGACATCTTAAAACGTACCCATCTCGTTTCTTCTCACAAGCATTCATATTCACTTGTTTACTATACACATCATATGAATGCTTTTAATAATCCATAGCGTTGTCGGTGCCAAATAATGACATCTTCATTAAAATAACGAATTAATCCGTTAATCGTCAAAACTTTGAAATAAAAAAACAACAATCGGACATAAACTGAAATTCATTTCCTCTATTTTAATTGGTTCGTCTGTATACTATACTCTCATTGTATTCATATAAACGTATCCGTTTCACTGCCCTCGAATGCCTTGGTATGGCAGAGAGTGAGGACAGTCCACTCTCCCTCTCGAAATGCTCTCACATGGCCACGCGTATATAGCCTCTGTCTGGGAAGTCCTACTCACTGCCTTCTAGCACCACGGGTGCTGTCGATGAAATTGAGAGGACGAAAAGCGAATGTCCGGCGCTTTAACCGGGTTAGTGGACATGAAGAATTCACCTAGGGAAATTGTAAAACCCTTATTTTAAACAAATGATTCACATGGGCTCCACTGCCTTGAAGGAAAAAATGGCGTATGAACCAATCGTTGACCACCGGCTAACACGTGACTGCATCTCCTGACGTTGCTCTGCTGCCTTGTGAATCAGACCTTTAGGTCAAAGGCTCCGGGTGTGGCCCCTTAAGAAAACCACCTGCTTCAATTCGGGCTCCCGGGTGGTATCACAACCTTCACACGAATCAAATGAGACCTATGTGGTGCATATCTATTTGGTGCCTCCTTGTATCAATATCTATGTGTTCAAATAAATAAATCCGTTTCATTCATGTTACTTTATATTGATTGTTGAGTTGTTTTTTTTATATCTTCTATTCATTTGTTCAAGTATACCACATACAACTACAAATAAGACAGTTGTAAAACATAATCGACCTCAAGCATATTATGATGTATTCGGTAAAGATGTAACATCTTTAGAAGATTCTGTTGAAATTTGTAATTCAAATATGAAACAAATCAATATTGAACAAGTAACATATGTTGGTCGTATTCAAAAAATATGCCGTGAAAATCTTCATAATGCATTACATTTATCTGAAGTAATAATCATATTAATTGTTTATTTCATTAAAACTTTGAAGAAGTTACATTACAAAATAAACAGTATAGTTGGATTCATAAGTCAATTGAATCTAGGCCATCAGTAAAAACCTGGAGGCAATGAACGGTTGTTTCGTCCTACTATAGGACTCCTCAGAAATGAGCATCCGTGATCCCACCTCGCGGAATTCAAACCCAGGACCTATCGGTCTCGTGCGTGAACGCTTAACTTCTAGACCACTGAGCTGGCATCCAGCTGTGTTATTGTTTAACTTCAATCGACTAATGAATTCAACTATTAAATTACTATAATATCTACAAACTTAATTAATGATATACCTGACTAGTATCGTTGAATTTGAGTAGACTTTGATAAATTCCTATTGATCCGCTATTTACTAGCATTCCTCAGTGCCTTGATTTGAGTCTGGAAAGTCAAAATCCAATTTCTATTGTCATTATATTTCAAACACACATCTGTTTATATACAAGCATACTGGATCACAACACACAATAGCGTAAAAAATAACAACAACGAGCCAAAAGTGACTATGAATAGAGCAAACAGTAAATGATCGATTGACAAATAAATAGAACTAATAAGTAGTTCAAGAATAGCTAATACGCTAAATAAAAGCTTATGATGATCTAAATAAATATGTACAACAATCCAGTGACTGAGTAGCTATACAATAACCATATATATAAGCATATATATATATATATATATATATATATATAGATATTAACACCGTTAGATGCCGGCTCAGTGGTATAGAGATTAAGCGCTCGCGCGCAAGACCGATAGGTCCTGGGTTCGAATCTCGCGAGAAAGGGTTGTGGATTCGCACTGATGAAGAGTCCCATACTAGGACGAAACGGCCATCCAATGCTTCCACGTTTTCCATTGTTGTCTAGCTTCAACTGACTCATGATCTTAACTATTAAAATTACTAGGATATCCACAACACCCCTTCTGATAGGTATATACATATATAATAGTTATCCAAAAACTAGTTCAAAAAGTTACCATTTTTTCAGTCTTCGTTATGATCTGCCAGATATAAAGTCAATCCATCTCTGTAACCAACTAGTTTTAAGTACTATAAAATAACTTTTTCATTAGAATTACTCATTAGATTATTTAGAGTAAGCAGTTTTAGTTCAAATATGCTTTATGACCTTAAAATCTCTAACTTGACAACTAATAATCAATTACTCTAATATTGTTTAAAACACCTTTACAGTAAGATTTAGTTGGAATGTGTTTTTGTCCACAGAAATCTTAACTTCTTTGTTACCTTTTTGTATGTACATGATCATCAAGTTGATTTTTCATGGTTGTGTTAATCTTCCGTTAATACTAATGATTATTAATGGATTAAAATGAATCATTTGGCATAAGGCAGTGGTTAGCTGAACTCATTCTTGTGCATCCAGCTAAAGAGTTTAAAACAAAGAAAAACGACGGTCATTCTGATGGAGTTTTGTTCTCTGATCAGAATAGTTTGATTATGAGGTTTTCATTATTCTTTTGAACGACATTAACAGCACAAACGATGAAAGTTTTGTAACCAAACAATCTAGCTCAGAGAACAAAACTCCACCAAAATCAACCATCTGAACATCAAATCTTCTCCACCAACATACATTCTGGATTCCCTTGTTAACTACCATGTAGCTCTGCTCAAAAAAATAGTCTACATACATTATACATTTGCATATGTATATTTCTTTTGCTCAATGATTACTACTTATTAGATTATTGTACTTGTTTATTTGTCAATCCAGAATTATTATCGACAAAAAGGTATTCGACAGCCAACACATCCAGATTTTATCAAATCTACATTTGATGATGCTGCTAATACTATTGTTACAAATTTAAAAACACTATTCACTGAAGCAGAATTATATCGTAATTCATGTGTAAAAGGTATGTACAAATGATTTGAATTTATAAAATATTTTACTGTTAACTTTTTCGTGGATATTATAGTAATGTTTTAATAGTTGAATTCACCAGTCAATTAAAGTTAGATCACCATGGAAAATTTGAAAGCAATGAACTGCCATCTCGTCCTAGTATGGAACTCCTCAGCAATGCGCAACTGCGACAATGGTAGACGGTGATGCGATTTCATGGACTGTTTGAAGTTAGACATTAACACGGTTGAATGCCGGATCAATGCCGGTCTAGAGGTTAAGCGTTCATGTACAAGACCAAAGGTCTTGAGTTAGTAAGAAGCCTTTCTTCCAGAAGCTACAATCTAGCGGAGATATAGCTAGTAGTGTACTACGGGATAGCCTGACCAAAGCAATGAAGAGAACGTTTATCGCAGCTACCCTCTGCCTGTCGTTCTTCAGCCGATTTATAGTGATTTCTCAACTGAAGAATAAACTACTTGGTTATGCCACTTCCACGTGCATCTACAAATTCAGTTGTTGATGTGGAGGAAGCTATATCAGATGTACTATTAGACAACTGAGTCAATGAATTAGTGAACAGCTCCCATCGTGGTTAGGAAGGAGTACCGTTAAAACAATGTGCAGCTCTGTTCTACCATACTTGATCGAAATCGATCATGTAGTAGAAGGAAATATGTCATTTAAAGTGATTTATCGTTTTCCTACTAACTTCTCTAATGGGGTTCGATTTCGTCTGTTATAGATAGCAGAAGCTATTGGGATTCGAGCTAACAATCTATATCTTTATATTCATAAGACATTTATGACACCTTTATCTCTTTCTTGCTCAATTATGCCTTAATGAACGGTTTTGTTCATGATTATTACGCATACTCTGTATTCGTTTGCGTTGATTCACTTCACTTTTTTAAAATATACACTGTACTGTTCCTTCTGTCTGAACACATATTATTACGTAATCGTTTTAATTTTTAGTGAATGTTATCTCAATGTCTTATGTTCCGAATCGCTGACCTATTTGCTATTGTGAAATACTGATTCAAGCTTTTATTATTCTTATCACAACTAATAAACCTGTCATTACACTATCGATTTGTAACGTTTACTTATTATATTGCGTAATCTATTCGATAGATGTTACGGACTCATAGTAACTTGGTTAGTTTAATAGTTTCATATATTCGTAAAAATATGTATTTTTGAAAATGAAACCTATCAAGGATCTAATTGGATTGAATGCTTGACCGCCATTGAAAAGATGGAAGCATTGGACGGCCATTTCGTCTTAGTATGGGACTCTTCAGCAGCAACGTACCATTTACTAATGACCATATATATATTCTTTCTATTGTTTAGAATTTTCTGAACAACTGGATAACATTGAACAATTAGCAAGTCAGTTACCATGTTTATTATTTGAACAAATAGTTAATGAAATTAAATTGTATATATTACAAGAGATGAATATCCATCAGAATAGAATACAATTTGATTTAAATCAATTAAATGAATTACGTGTAAGTTAATAAATGGTTTTTCATTTAATATTCAATGTGATTATTAATCTGCCTAGTAACTCTTCAAAGAGTTACTGACATAAAAATGTCAGTGGATGAGAAAAGTTGACACGCTCTTGATTTGTTGAAAGGATTTTGCCAGGTGTATTTTGACAACACCCTCTTTGTATGTATGCCATCAATTAATACGCGAGATCTAATAATAATGATAATTCAGATGATGGCCACCAACAATTTGCCAAGTCCTTCATGTAAACACCGATCCCTCCAGAAGCTCTTCCACAGTTCCCACCTGGTTCAAACCTAGGTAAAGAAGGATGGTTGGGTATGTTTTCAACAATCCTATCCAGTGGAAAACAATCTTGCTGAAAAAACGCTAACCGGAATAAATAATTTGAACCATTTAAACTCTGCTATCCGATTTGAAGGATCTTGAGAATAATGGTGAAACCTCATGGTAAAAGCCGAGATTCTCCGAAAGTCACAAGACTGATGCTTCTTCTAACAAACCCAGCAACACCTTATATAGGTACATGGAATGTTCGAATAATGTTGGAAACTAAGAGGACAAGTCAAATAGCTGCGGAAATCAGAAGATACAACTTGACGGTTCTCGGAATCAGCGAAACGCTTTGAACTCAAGCTAGACAACAAAGTCCAGATATGAGAGAGATAATGCTGAACTCCTATTACGAAGAGGAAAATGCTCCACATACTCAGGGAGTTGTTCTGTTGCTGTTCGAAGAAGAACGTAATGCACTTATTAGGTGAGAATCTCATGTACCCAGGATCATCAAAGCATCCCTTAAAACAAAGAAGGGAATCATGTTGAATGTTATCCAATGTTATGCACCCGCCAATGATAGCGACGACGACAATAAAGATAAGTTTTACGAGAGGTTGCAATCAATCATAGCGAAGAGACAAAAAGGATCTCACTATCTTGATTGGAGATCCAAACGCTAAAGTCGGAATGCACAACGATGGGCATGAAGATATCATGGGACGACATGGACAAACTAGGAGACTGAAACGAGAAAGGCGACTGTAGCTCTTCTAGAGTTATTGACGTAAAAATGTCAGTGGACGAAAAAAAGTGATATGCTCACGATTTGTTGAAAAGATTTTGCCGGGTGTATTTTGACAACACCCTCTTTGTATGTATGCCATCAATTAATACGTGTGATCTAATAATAATGATACTTTAGACGGTGGCCACCGACAAATTAACAAGTTTGTTATGTAAACATCAACTCATCCAGCAACTCTTCTACACTTACCGCCTGGCTCAAGCCTAGGTAAAGAAGGATGGTTGGGTATGTTTTCAACAATCCTATCCAGTGGAAAACAATCTTTGCACCAGTTTTTGTGTTCTTACTTCCGTGTGGTGAGAATCACAGTTGTTCGTCGTTTTCGAGTATAAATAATAAACAATTCCGACATAATACTCATTAAATGACTAGATATAACAAATAACGTTCAATTAGAAGACTTCTCATATACAAAGTTTAACAAATCTCATAGATTTTTATAGTTTTCAATTTATTTTATCATTCTAATTGAAATAACGAAATGATACGTTTCATATACAAAAACTTAGATATCGACAGCTTGACTGCATGAACATCAATTCGTGGTCAAACACCATGACATGTCCTCACTTATATCAATACACGTGGACAACTGCGGACATACATTCAACTGGAAAAAAATGTGGAAATCTTGGATAGAGAAAATTCCAAAAACATTCAGTTCAATCAGCAATCAACAAGCACATTGAAATCAATCCAATTTATCAACCAATCAGGAAAATTATGCAGAAACATAGGAACAAAAATCAAACCAATGGGAAATATAACCAAAACAAAGAAGTGAATAACGATAGATTAAAGGTCGACAATAATCATTGAAGATACAGGTCAAGCTGTGAGTCATATATGTGGAGAAATTCGAACATCTTACTTCTACCTGAAGTTTGTGCTGATGATGTCATTAAGAAGAACGATGAAAGCTACACGACCAAACCATCCAGCTCAGAGAACAAAACTCCATCAAAATACACATTTGTACAAGATTTAGCCAAAAGTGGCTGTGAATGTGGTAGACTGTAATTAATAGAGTAAGCATAACTCTCGAACGGTAAATCGTATAATCATAGTGTATAGGTCGATATAAAGCTTATAATCAGAAGAACAAAAATATGAATAGTTTAGCTACTTAACAATTATACAATAAGAATGTATGTATAGTATTAGTCTAGAAATGGATGCCATCAGTTACCATTCATTATTCTCGTTGGGATATAACATGAATAATTATGGATGGTTTCTGACTGGTGATATTTTTTTCTCTATTACATTGTATTTTCCAATTGTGTTTTAACACATCTCATGTGTAACTATTCAAATAACAATCTACAAACTTGTATTCCAATATTACTTATCTGACATTTATCTTTAACTGTAAACATTATTGACCCAATTCCATACAGTATATAAAGTATTTAATGCATGAAACCTACGATATTCATCTATTGTTGCTCAATAGAATAGACAAGAAAAATAGCCTGATTATTATGATGTTTCAGCGAGACTATAATTTATGGACGAACCAATCAGATTTAGGATAAAAAGTCTTAGATTTTGGCGCGAAATTCACACAACCATTTAGGTAAATAGAGTCATAGCATTATAGCTGATGTCAATTCGTGATTGAAAACCACAAATCCAATTTTTAACATTTAATCATCAAGTGTAAATCATAATCTTTATTCTTTACTCAGGTTTATAACTCTTAGTTAATCGCAGTAAATAAGTGGACATTCTCAAGGTCACTTTAGCGTCGCTGAAAGGTCGTTCACAAATTATAGTTTGTTGATTGAGACCATGAACCGATTGATGTTAGACCACCTTTGCAAACCTGGAAGCACTGGACGGCCATTTCGTCTTATTGTGGGACCCTTCAGCAGTGCGCATCCACGATCCCTTTCGCGGGATTCAATTCGGTTCATGATCTCAATCAAGAACTTAATAATCTTCACAACCCCTCTACTAGTCATTATAGTTTCACCGGTGTTCCCATTTATATTCTATGGAATTCAGCATCATGATGAATTGTGAGCTTTTAAAAAAAAACGCGTGAATATTTTATACAAAATACATACATAATTACTCTGTTAAAACAAAGATAAAATATGAACATTTATAACTGTAACACCAGTTGTCGATGGTCCGGAGAATCTCACAAGAGAATTGGTCATCTCTTAATTCTTAACTGCCTTCAACTAACTAACACAGAATCACTTAAACGAATTCAAATATTATAGTTTAGTCTATAGAAATTGATTTACACTATTCATTACTGAGTGATAAATGATGATAAACGTTTTTTTTCTTTCATTTATTTGTTTGAACACATAAATATTGGTACAAAATGGCGCCGAATACATATGCGCTACATAAGTCACTTGATTCATGTGTGGGCTGTGATACTGCCCGAGTGCCCAGACCGAGGGTCACTCCTGAAGCCTTCAACCTAAAAGTTTGATCCACAAGGCAGTGATCAACGATTGGTTTATATACTATTTGTTCCTTCAAGATCCTGGAGCTCATTGATTTGGAATGAGAGTTTTCCAATTCTTAGATGGTGGTTGGAAGTAGTTCACAGGAAACCCTGGACCAGGGTTTGAAGGAACTGATGCTCCCTAGCAGATTTGATCCCATGTCACCCAGCTTCATAGTCAAATACATTACCACTGAGTTATCCAGGCCGTGATTAACCACCTTTAGAACTGAGATGTAATCACAATTGATTAATTCTTGAGCGATGATCAATGTCATCAGTGTATCAAATCCTTCTTAGTGTAAACTGAATCCTATCGATCAAGTTGCAATATGGCCACCAGTCTAAGTGATCAATCCATTAGGAGTTTCCCAACTCTCTTAGATGTTATAAATACAGAAGTATTATTATTATTATTATTATTATTATTATTATTATTATTTTCATCATTCAATGATATCCACCTTTAATATTTATATATATCTCATCATTTCATTATAGATGAAATATAATAATCAACTTCGATTAGAACTATGTAATTTAAAAAATCAATATCAATTAATGATTTTATTAAAACAAGAAAATGAACGTCAATTAAATTTTATTAAATTAATTAATCAATTAAAAAGAATTAAATTACAAATTATTCATAAAGGTAGACAATTATTTAATCAACGTTTATCTTATTTAACGGATTATTTATTTATTCGATTAGATAGTTTAATTGGATCAGATCAAATTGATCATCCAGGTAATTTGGATCATTAAAAAATCAAAAAAAAAATTTTTTTTTCTAAATTAAATTTTTATTTTTATAGCCCGACTTGTTATTAGCCAATCAAAATACAACTTATTCATGTATGTCTGACCGGTCTGATCGGCCTAATATCTTATTGGTCGGTTGCTTGTCTAGCCTATTCAGTTAAGTCAAGAATGCTAATCACAGCCTTCACTCTGCAAATCATATATATAGCCAAAAGCGGCTGTGAATGTATTTACTTAATTACTTACCTAAGCCTGTTACTCCTCGTGAAGGAGTGTAAGCCGTTCACCGGCATTCTCCATCCAACCCTGTCCTGAGCAATCCTTTCCAACGCTTTCCAGTTGTTATTCATCCTTTTCAAATCTGCTTCTATTTCCCGAAGTAATGTGTTCTTTGGCCTTCCTCTTTTCCGCTTCTCTTCATGATTCCAAGTTAGGGCTTGTCTCATCATACAGTTTGATGATTTGCATGGTGTATGTCCTATCCACTTCCATCGTATTTTCCTAATTTCCTCTCCAGATGGAAGCTGATTTGTTCTCTCCCACAGAAGAATATTGAGTATCTTGCGTAGACAGCTATTTATAAATACTTGCACCTTCTTGATGATAGTTGTTGTAGTTCTCCAAGTTTCAGCTCCATACAGTAGAACTGCCTTGACGTTGGTATTGAGGATTCTCACTTTGATATTGGTTGAAAGTTGTTTTAAGTTTCATATGTTCTTCAACTGTAAGAATGCGACCCTTGTTTTGCTAATCCTCGCATTTACGTCTGCATCTGAACCTCCTTGTTCATCGACGATACTTCCCAGGTATGTGAAGGATTCTACATCTTCCAGAGTTTCGCCATCAAGAGTCATTGGATTGCTGTTCTTCGTTTTGCATTTGAGGACTTCGGCTTTCCCCTTGTGTATGTTGAGGCCTACTGATGCAGAGATTGCTACTACACTGGCTTTTTTTTTATCTGCATTTGTTCATGTGTATGCGATAGGAGGGCTAGGTCATCTGCGAAGTTCAAATCGTCTAATTGGTTCTGAGCTGTCCATTGTATGCCATGTTTCCCCTCAGATGTCGAGGTCTTCATAATCCAGTCGACCACCAGAAGAAAGAGGGAGGAGAGTAGGCAGCCTTGTCTGACTCCGGTCCTTACTTGGAATCCGTCTGTCATCTGTCTTCCATGCACGACCTTGCACTGTAGTCCGTCGTATGAGTTCCGGATAATATTGACAATCTTCTCAGGAACTCCGCAGTGTCTTGGTGATAGATATTGCCTATCATGATAATCCAACAGAGCTTTATTGGCTGGAATACATATCCCTTTTTATCCTACTACTTCCAGTAGGTTTATTGAAAGGCAACAAAACTAAAAAGCAATAAACCTAAATCCTAATATTGAATTCTTACTATCAAATCTATTTGTTTTTTTCTTATTAGACAATAATCATGATTCTACTAAACCAAAGAAATTAATGATTCATATATTAGATAAATCATTAACTCATTTAAATGATAATCAAATATCTTCAAATGCTAAAGAAGATCTAGATCGTGGTAAACGAACATGGGAAGGTGTAAAATTTTCTGAACTTATGATACAAACAAATGATCATTTAGAATCAATGAACAATTTAACAAAATTCAATTTAAACAAACCATTAAAACAAGAAAAACAATCCATGTTAAAAAGTTCACGTAATAATTTAAATAATAATTCTACAGAATTACATAATACTAATCAAGATGATAATTATTGTATAGTTAGTGCTAAAACTACAAAAGCTCATATGTCCACATTAAAATATCGTGATATTGCTGTTGTGGTAAGTGTTATAACTGGTGGGTCGTGTGCCCCTACCAATATATATATATATATATATATATATATATATATATATATATATATATATATATATATATATATATATATATATATATATATATATATATCACAATTGATTGATCATTGGGTGGTGACCAATGTCATGTGTGTCAAGTCCTGGTAACGTCTCTGACTGTGAAGCTGGGTGACACGGGATCGAATCCGTCAGGGAGCATCAGTTCCCTCAAGATTACAGGTACACTTTGCTGACGAGTGCCAAATAGCACGAAACCCGGGTTCAGGGTTTCCTGTCGACTACCTCCAACCACCATCTAATATATATAACGTAATGATAACGCCAATTAGAGAATAATGAACTTATCGACCGGACTAATGACGCATAAAACTCGTACAAGTAGTCTAAAGTGTTTATCGCTTCTTTGTTCTTCCAGCCGATCTAGTTGAGTTCAGAACATCATTAACAGCTTCCATTATGTGAATCATTTATTTCAAATATAGTTGGTTTATATACCAGCCAAATAGACCGCATCACTCCATAAAATAGAAAATAACATTTGTACAAGATCTAGCCAAAAATGGTTGTGAATAAGGAAGACTGTAATTAATAGACTTGGCATAACTCAAGAATGGTAAATCGTATAATAATAAATTATAGGTCAAAATGAAGCTTATAATAAGAGGAATGTAAATATGCATAATCTAGTTACTCAGTAGTTATACAATAAGATATATATATATATATATATATATATATATATATATATATATATATATATATATATATATATATATATAGTGATGCTCACCCTGAGGCAGCGTGGGATGATATTCGAAAAGCTATGGGAACAGCAGTGATATCTGCTAGTAAGGTAAAGTATGTGCGATGTTCAATGGTATAGGAGTAGGTTGGAAGAAAGCTAGGGGCGGCCAGACCAAAACATGGCATAAGTTCATAAAGTCACTGACAAGTGTTCTGAGTCATGTTGGTAGGTGTAGACTACCTGGTTGGGGACCGCAAGATGATAGCAACCGATGGTTAGAGACCCTGAATGACATGGCTCAAAATCGTTTGCAGTGGCGCAGATGCATACACTCTTTGTGTTCTCCCAAATTTTGATCTCCTTATTCCTCATTTTCTCTTTTTTTCTCTTCCCAAATTTATTTCACTGTATTATACTCTTTAAGTAACATCTCTAAACACTAATCTTTCCGATTACTGCTTATGCTCTTATTACCTCTACTACTACGGGATTTGAATCGACCACTGCATCTCTGTGCTAATGTGGTGTGGCAACTCGAACTGGTATACGTACGTACGTACGAAGTTCTACGTTGTTACTGCCTGACTGAAGATATAGTATAAGGTTAGACAAAAACACTGGATCTCAGTAGCATCTACCGCAATGATAGATGCTCGAAAACCCATCCCATCTGGCTCTGAACATAACGAAGAGCGGAGTCAGCTTAGGCGCAAGCTGATAAGAAGCCTACGCAATGATCGTGAACAGTGGTGGGTAGCGAAAGCAAGAGAGATGGAAAAGGCAAAGACAATAGGTAATAGCAGACAATTGTTCAGACTTGTTAAGGAAACCGGTATTAGGAACCCGACTGTTAGCGAAACACTTTCAGAAAAAGATGGACATATTATACATTCTCAATCCAGGAGATTGGATCGATGGGCAGGGATCAGTTCAACTGACCTGCAGCCACACTTCGGTTTCCCACGATCTCCATTCGAATTGAATGGCAAGTTGATGTAAGTCCTCCAACTCTTTACGAAGTTGAAAAAGCCATAGGAAATCTGAAACGAGGGAGAGCTGCAGGCCCTGACAGATTTACTCCTGAGATTTTTCAGGATGGTGGTTCAGTATTAGCAGCGAGATTAACTGAGGTCTTAGGTAGAATCTGGGAACTGGACGTAACCCCATCTGACTGGTCTCAACCACTGATTGTAACCAGTCTATAAGAAAGAACAAAAGTCCTCTTGTGACAATCACAGAGGAATCAGTTTGACTAATATAGTGTCTAAAATATTAGCTTCAGTAATACTTCGACTTACGTACGAAGTTCTACGTTGTTGGTGACTGACTAATATGCATAGTACTAATCCAGAAATGGACCCCAATAGTTACGATTCATTATGCTCGTCGAAATGCAACAACATCCACCATACAATACATGTATACCGATACACTTGAATCATAGAATAATATTTCTTATTCACATTACAAATCTTGTACATAATTAAAAATTTATTTCGCTTTACGGTTTTCATTTAAAGAAAAAACTAGGCTAAAGACCACCTATTCTTGTTAACCAGTGTTAATACCTCTAATATCCAAATAGAACATAAACGGACATATATATATATATATATATACATACAAAGAAGTATGAAAGATTGCATAGGTGTTATACTTTTTCAGACCACATAGTATGAAATGCGACAAAAAAACAGAGATAATCTTTAATGAATACCACTTCTTATTAGATATAAGAAACAGATTGAAATAAAATTACTTATGGAAATTTAAATAACTTTAAGCCTTCAAATGCCGTAGTACGGCCGAGAGTAAGCTCTCCCTTTCGAAATGCCCTCATATGGCCACGTACATACAACCACTGCCGAGATAACCCAATTAATGCCTTCTCGCACCACGAGTGTTGTTTACGAAATTGACAGGTCAAAAGGCGAATGTCCGGTACTTTAACAGGGCTTTTGAGTACGGTGAATCCACTTAGGGGAGTTAGGAAACCGTCATTACAAACTAATAGTACACCTGGGTTGCAAATCTTGCTAATTGAACGCTATATTCGGCCCTTAGCTATTCTCGTCACCCCTCAAGTCAGAACTACACAGCGACCTGAACACGAGAGAAAAGGCGCAAAAAATGCAAGAAGCACTTTACCCCAAAGGTTCGTTTTAGTACACAAAATAAAGGTTTTTTATAATATTTTAGATGTCCTTGAGTTTCCCGAAAATTCTGGGACGCTCCTAAACATAGTAGCAGAATAGTAATCAACCAATCAGAAACTCAACATGTGACTCTTCACTTTCTTGGTGTTTCTGGTTGAACTTCTACTGAACGCTGATGAGATAAAATGCTTCTTAGTGTTTCCTGAGCCTTTCTTGGCTTTTGTGAATTTTCGGGATCACTCCAAGATCCAGAGTGAACAAATGACGTACGGACCTACTGTTGGTCACCAACTACCGTGGAATCGCATCTCCGGACGTTGTTCCACTGGCCATGTGGACCAGATCTCTAGACCAAAGGTTCGGGGAGTAGCCACCTGTTTCGGTTTCAGCACCCGGGCAGTATCTAAACAGTCACACAAATCATTTGACTTGTGTGACGCATATATATTTGATGCCTCCTTGTACCAATGTTATAATGTTTAAATAGAATAAATATCAAGTGATATCGATTAAGACTAGATAATCGTATGTGTGTGCGTACATACTGTTCTGAAGAATCTAAAACACGAATACGAGACCCACTCATCTAATGATTGCTGAGTTGTTGTTTTTCTTCTTTAATAGTTTGTATCATACAAATTTCTTATCGTTTTCTTTTCTGTTTTTCTTTTATTTCATTATTGTTGATGTCATAATACAGGAGTTTCGTTTATTTACTCAAAATTTATTAGAATTAATAGAAATGGAATTTATTCATGCAATAAAAGATAATGATAAACATAAACAACAATGGATAGAAAGTGTAAATCTTTTTAATAAAACTTAATTGAATTATATAAAATAGTGATTATACATTGTTCACATATACTTGTATATCATTATATATATATACTCAGTATATTTTCAACTTGGAAAGTTCTTTTTCTTATAAAGTTAAAAAGAGATCACTTAGAACATAGTTAAATTCTGCAATTCGATTCAACTATAATATATGATCCAGTCAGCTACAACGTAGGATCAGGTATATACAGATATGCATCGGTACAAGTTGCCATACCGCATTAACACAACAAAATGAACATAGGATGCATAGAGGTAGTTAATTCAGTGGTGGTGGTAATACATAAAAGAAAGATTGTGTGTAAGGATATAGTACAGAAAGAAAGGTATAAGGCAATTTTAATCTCACGGTTTAAGGAAAGACAAAGAGTGTATACACCTATGCCTACACCTACTATAATATACACTGATGGCCCCTAAATGCCCTGATACGGCTGAGAGAGGGGAGAGTTAGCTCTCTCTCACGAACTGCTCTCATATGGCCACGTGCATACAACCACTCCAAGAGAAGTCTTACTCATTGCCTTCTCATGGTAGGGGTGTTGTTTACGAAATTGAAAGGACGAAAAGCGAATATAAGGGGCTTTAACCGGGTTGATGGATATGGAACATTCACCTAATGGAGTTGGAAAACCCTGATTCCAAACAAATGGTGCACATAGGCTACACGATCCTGAGTGAATAAATGACGTATGAACCAATTGTTGGTCACCGGCTACCATGGTATTGCATCTCCTTACGTTGCTTCACTACCTTGTGGATCAGACCTTCAAGTCGATCTGGCAATGTGTGTTTAAGGATCTTGAAAAGCCATAAACACCTTATGCTAAATGTTCATTGTTTACCATAGTTTTAATAAAAATAATGAAACCGAACACTTTCGATACATTTATTTCACAAACACATTAAATCAGTTCATTAAATTGGTTGGTCAGTTAGTAAGTCAAAATTACGAGGTAGGCAAAAAAAGAAGCCTTCATATACATACAATAGATATATACAGTATTATCACATACACACACACACAATTAGTTCAAAACAAGACAATATGATAAATATAGACTCGACTAAGGATAAATCGTTGATGAAGAGACAAAGCAGGATAGGAAAACAAAGTCAGATTGTCAAAAGCTATTCAGCATTGTAAAATACATAAATATCACTTCCTCAAACTTTTGTCAGTTAGTAAGAATCACAGATGGAGACTTTATAATCTGCGCCTTTCAACTTTCTGAGCTTTTCTGTTTGCTGTCTGACGACGTTGTTCAGCTTTTTCTAGTTGATGTTTACGTTGTTCAAGATTCTCCTGACGTTGTTTAGCAGCATTTAGAGAGGCTTCCTTTCGAAAATTCACTTCACATTCTATAACACGTTCACGATTACGTCCACCTTCAGGTAGAACAATATCTTGTTTGAGAAAGCATGAAACAGAAAACAACGATGTTAAGGTTATAGACACATCATATCCGATATAACAAATGAAGTTTGTAATTCGAAAAAAAAGCATTTTCGAAGCACACGAAAAAACGTTTCATCCTATTTTATGGCTCAAAAATCAGAAACCTGCAAATGACAGAACCCAGGACCTAAGAGCTTCATGAAAAATGAACCTATAGTCTAAGGAAACTTAGAACAAGCTTATCGCCTCATATGGGACCCACTTGGATGTGTCTGTGCTTCAGTACTGACGTCCACATTTATACTTGGACCCAGTATTTATCGATACAAAGGACAATATCTTATCGAGGCACTTGCTTAAGACACACACATATCCCAAAGAAAGAATTCGGCCTTAGACATCAATAACGAGATAATTCTAACTCTCGCAAAAAAAACTGCACTCGTGAAGCAAGTTAGTAGCAATATAGATTCAGTAGTTCAGTGGACAATATGTTAGTATTTAAAATGAAAGATATTAGGCTTGGCTTCAGTTTCTGTATGGAAATCAAATCTGGAATGTAAATGCTTCCGTCCGACAAGTCCCAAATACAATGAAATCTGAATTTTAAATTATACTGTTAGCTACAATCCAAATATACTATAACTGTGTGGTACAATGACTTAAGCACTGAGTTTCACTCATTAAGGGTTCGCAGATCAAAACTTACGCCCTTCAATATCTCTAGTGTTTGTATTACTTCGTCTGGGAGATATAATCTTGATAATAACTTTTACTAAAAAACTGCTCAGACAGTTTTAACAAAGTTAACAAAATGACTCGGCAAATCACATACACGTGTACACATATACCCATATTTGAAGAGTTTACTTTGGAAGTCAATCAAGAACACTGTATATGGCTGACCAAACTGAAGAAGTGGAATAGTATTCCGTAATTGTTGAAACACAGTAATAGAAATTTAAATATGACAACCACTAAGTTGAAGAAGATATGAGATCAACTAATTTTATACTCATACATAACATAGATGTGCACTAAAATACCCTCATGTTTACATTGGATACATTCAAAAGCTATAAGTAATGATAGAAAGCATTCTTCCTTCATTATCAATCACACAACAAATTACTAACATTGTGTTTCATGAATCGAAAAGGTCACTGAAAGGTCTCCTAACTGAATGACTGACCTTCATTATTAGGTTCTGGGTGAATATCCGAATCTGTGAATAAAAATGCCTCCATATCTTCACGTTTACAACGAGACACCTTAGGATCTGCGTTATCCAAACTTGAAATGAGTGAAGCTTTCGAATTAGTATTGTGTTTTTGTTTGGCCTCAGCTTGTGCACCAATCCTTGCAATATGTTTGGATGGAGGAGGGCACTTTTTAGGCTGTTTTTGACGTGTTGAAGAGATTCTCTGAGACTGACTAGTTGATTTATCGACTAGATGTGATGAATGAGAATTACGTATGCTCATTGATGATGATGGAGATGATGTCTCCTTGACTAGGATGGAATTTTGAGAAGTGTTGGATATACTCGGCCCACACGACTGTGATGATGTGAGTGCAGTTAAGATAGACAGAGCACCTTCAACTGTACCAGGTTTCACATCATCCCTGAAAAAAACAGAAGAAAAAAACACAAAACTATGTTGAGTCATCTTATAAAATATCCAAGCTCGTGAACAATTTCATACCATAGTGGTGTTTTGCTACTATGGAAAACGAATGTTGGACCATTTTGAATTGGCACAAACTACCATAGTCATTAATTTACCCCCCGTGTGTACGCGTTTTTGTTTAACTGTATGCACAAAACTTGAGTAACGTATTTGAACTCAATCTACTTCATATTGTTGGGCGTGCATGTGAATGACAATAAATGAGACATTTTATCTTGCAGAAATTATCCACTGAAAGAAAAGTCACTACGATATGTCATAATTGTTTACTTATTATTACTGCTCTTGTTCTCATCAATTGCGGTGTTGAGAACATATTCATTATGCACCTTTGATCATCACCATCATCTATTAGGATACTCAATTTTAGTTGGTGTATGAAATAGGCTAGAAGCTAGGGATAATCAAATCAAAACATAACCGTATTCGTAAATGCAAACTATTTGGTTGTGGCCTATGTAATGATTCTAATTAGGAGAAATTAGGTACTATGTTCTAAAGTCGGTCACAGTGATACAGATATGAGATTAATACTTTTCTTTCTGTCATTTTTGAACCATCTTAACTGCATTTAACTAATTCTCACTATCACTGATACCGCTATTATTTCCAGTTCTTAACCATTCATCATGTTAATTTTATCTTCTTATGCTGACGTAGTGTAGTAACTTGAACTGATTTACATATGTACACACAATCCAGGTCCTAAATCGACTATGATTGATTGAATAACTACTATTCTTACCATTATTATTATTATTATTATTATCATTATCCTGAAGTGATTTACTGATTATGAGAAACCAATTGATTGTCAAAACGAAAATATTATTGAATGAAAAGTTTTCCTCAATGTTGGATATATTTCATTTAATTGTCTCAATAGGAAAGATAGAAGAAAAAAAGGGTTAGTAGTAATATTCCATAAAACAATGTAATATCAGTCAGAGACAACGAGGAACCTGGTATATATGTGTTTACTTCATTCAGTTCATTCGCCAAGTAATATATTACTTACTTACTTACTTACGCCTGTTACTCCCAATGGAGCATAGGCCGCCGACCAGCATTCTCCAACCCACTCTGTCCTGAGCCTCCTTTTCTAATTCCATCCAATTCTTATTCATCTTTTTCATGTCTATTTCCATTTCCCGGCGTAATGTGTTCTTTGGTCTTCCTATTCTCCTCCTTTGACCTTGAGGATTCCATGTGAGGGCTTGTCTTGTGACGCAGTTGGGTGCTTTCCTCAATGTGTGTCCTATCCACTTCCAGCGCTTCTTTCTGATTTCTTCCTCCGTTCGGATCTGGTTTGTTCTCTCCCACAGTACGTTGTTGCTAAGAGTTTCCGGCCAACGGATATGAAGTATTTTGCGTAGACAACTGTTAATTAACACCTGTATCTTCTGGATGATGGCTTTCGTAGTTCTCCAGGTTTCCGCCCCATACAGTAGAACTGTCTTGACATTTGTATTGAAAATCCTGACCTTGGTGTTGGTTGACAGTTGCTTTGAGTTCCAGATGTTCCTCAGTTGTAAATATGCTGCTCTTGCTTTGCCGATCCGCGCCTTCACATCTGCATCAGATCCACCATGTTCATCAATGATGCTGCCCAAATATGTAAAGGATTTTACATCTTTCAAATCTTCTCCGTCAATTGTGATTGGATTGGTGCATGCTGTGTTATATCGGAGAACCTTGCTCTTCCCTTTGTGTATATTGAGACCTACTGCTGCTGAGGCTGCTGCTACACTGATCGTCTTCTCCTGCATTTGTTGTTGCGTTTGGGATAGAAGGGCCAGATCATCTGCGAAGTCCAGATCGTCCAACTGCATCCTAGATGTCCATGGTATCCCGTGCTTCCCTTCAGATGTTGACGTCTTCATGATCCAGTCGATCACCAGGATAAAGAGAAAGGGTGAGAGTAAGCAACCTTGCCTAACACCGGTCGGCGACCATACCACGTTAACTCCGCCTGGAGTCCCTCCGGGGGCTATTGCCGGTCCCAAGCCCGGATAAAGGAGGAGGGATGGGCATGGGGTTAGCGTCCCCATCCCGTAGAAAACTAACTCGCTAAAAAAACGCTAACCAGGAAAAATTATTCAAAGTAATATATACGTTAGAGTAATTGACTTTGGGCTATAATTTAAACGTGAAGGCTAATGATACTACTCAGTTGCTCCTAACCAAAGTAGGTAGAGTGGAATTTGAATCTGTAACTTTGTAGTTGAAAGTTAAATGTCTCAACCATTGGCTTACTGCTCTTACATATGCATCAGTTTCAGTTGTTACACCACATTAGCATAACGAGATGAAATTATCAGAAAGAATCTTGGAGCAGTAGTATTAGTAGTAGAATCAGTGATAGTAAAAGAAGACTAGGGATGAAAATGACTTGATCTAGAAATTGTTCACGAAATAAAATGTATGATAGAGTTTTGAAACTCAGGATCTACGGAAGGATACAATATGTTATCATGCAATTCTAACAGTATATTATGAGTAATATCACTTCAGGTAAACAAAAGTGACTAACAAGAAAACAACTTACTTTCTTCCATATTCACAGAAACTTTCAATATCTTCCAAATCAGTGTCGGATTCATCCTCATTATCATCGCCGATGCCAACTTCAACAAATCCATTTGAACTGGGACCAGTTGTCAATGCACCAACAGTTGGATTTGAACGATTTTTATTGATAAATTCCGAATTAGCCATTGCCACTTCCAATTCACGTTCTTCATCTGAATTCTTTTGATAAGTAAATACACCAGTTGAACGTAAAATTGCTTGAGTGTATGGATCTCGATCAGAATGATGATCTGATTTCTTAGTTTCAACGATACGCATACAATCAGCTTGCATTAAATTACGCATTTGATCTTCAACAGATTGAATATCATTTGTAGATGACAATGATGATTCAACTTTATCTTTGCCCAATACGATTTCATCTTTAAGGATATAAAAGAAACTTAGTCTCAAGACTACAGATCATACAAAGAATGGAAACTCTAAAATTATCAAGTGATTTAAGCAACTTCACAGTCTCATTGATAGAAATAAAAATTCTCCCACATGCGATCTGTATGGGTGTGAAACATGGATTTGAAAGCAGAAGACATGAGTAGGCTACTAGCTTTTGACCATAGGTGCCCTAAAGGTATTGATTGGGTTTCGTGGAATGACCAAATGGGCAGTGTTGAGGTAAAGCACAGGGTACCTAATAAAGGTGGTACAGTGGTTGATGAAGTTGTAAAATCACCAACCGAGATAGCTAGAACGTGTATTACATGTTTTTACTATTGATAAACTGTAAGATTTGATGAATATTGAAAAAGCAACTACTACTTACAGAAATCCACTAATAAATATAAAAATAAAGACAAAAAGTCAGATATAGATACAGTGAATAAAAAACCAATGTCTAGCCATCTGAACTTTAAAAGGGATAATGTCACAAGCATAATCAACAGGATGCTTTATTTTGCACTAACCAACACCTACTCTACATCCAAACTATTAACCCTGCATAAAACGTGTTCAATAAATAAGAACTTTCGTCTAAATTTGAACGAACAGATTCACAATATTTGGGCGCCGAGTTAATATGAGTCATTAAAGAGGAATAATATATATTTGTAAAATCTCAGCGAAATAATTTGAAGTAATTCCAACGTTTCATCTGGCAATCTGGTCTAAGCTTTTTCAAGGAAAATATAATCAAACAACAAAATTATCGAATATCAACAACAAGTTGGCAAGTACCCCTTTCATGTTACCAACAACTTTGTAAATGTACATGTACGTACTAAAGTAGCCATATTAGCCGAACATAAAGGAGGGCACGTATCAGGTTTTTTAAACATATTCCAAAAAAGCTCTGAACAATATATATAATGCAACTACTAAAGCTCTCTTAGACATAGAGTATCAGGTCGATACGCTGAAGTCTTCCATGGTAATTTATCAGCAGTCAAGCTCGTCGTTTGAATTTTCCTAAACCCATCATTATCGGGCGTCATAAACCTAATTTATGTGTTAAGGAAACGATTGTTCACTTACACAGTGACGCAAACATTTATTCATCAGTCAGTCAACTACGACATAGGACCAGGCACGTATATGCATCGGTCCAAGTTGCCATACCTCATTAGCACAGTAAGATGAACACCGGATTCATAGAAGTAGTTAATACAATGATAGTAATATATAAAAGAAAGATTGTGTGTAAGGATATAGTACAGAAAGAAAGGCATAAAACAATTTTAATTTCACGGTTTAGGGGAAGACAAAGAGAGTATACACCTACACCTAGCCGTCATGCAGAGTCTCCAAGCATTTCCTAAGATAGTCACAAGGACCCCGACCAAGTAATCTGCATCTTCCAACATGGTTCAGACCAGAAGTTGGTGACTATGGACTGATGCCACGTTTTGGTTTGACCACCCATAACTTTCCTCCAACCATCCCCAACACTAACCAGCATTGAGCGTCGTGGTAATCGGTGTTCAGGCACGTGGCCCAACCATCTCAATCGATGAAGATTCACAACCTTATCAACCGATTTACCATCATCATTCCCTAATACCCTGTGTCTAACCTTACTATTACATACCCGGTGATCCCAACAGACCCTGGCAATATTTCTAAGGCATCTGTGGTTAAATAATAGTAATTCAAGAGTATCTTTTACACTTAATGGACACGTTTCGCAGCCTTAAAGTAAAACATAACAAACTGCAGCACAATATGCTTGTTCTTTTATTGATAGACAGATATCTCACCTTCGTCATAGGTAACGTAGATAGGCAAAAATTAGACAAGCTTTCTGAATCTGTGCAGAAATTTCTTCATTATATCACAAAAAATTATTTAACACCTTTCAACTAATTATATTATTACATCCTTTTTATTTCGATTATCTTCGATATTAATAAACTTATTTGAACTAAATGAACTTTCACAGATTGAAATCATGAGTTAATTGAAGCTAGACCACCATGAAAAACCTGAAACCACTGGATGGCCGTTTCGTCCTAGTATGGGACTCCTCAGAAGTGCGCATCCACGATCCCTCACCCTGTGAGATTCGTACCCATGACCTATCAGTCTCGCGCCAAGCGCTTAACCAACTAGACCACTGAGCCGGCATCCAATGGTTTTAATGTCTAACTTCAACCAATCCACGAAGTTGCGCTACCGTATACCATTGTCTTCAGTGAGCTGATATCTCACAAAAGACCTGGTTCAACTCCATTGGTAACGGCTTATCACTAGAACTCCAGGAGTATCTCTTGAAGTCAGTCACTAGTGAGCATATGATTATTATCAGAAGGTTTGTGGAGACTTTAAAAATTTCACAGATTGAAATCATGAGTCAATTGAAGCTAGGCCACTATGTAAAACCTGGAAGCACTGGATGAGCACTGCTGAGGAGTTCCACACTAGGACGAAACGGCCGTCCAGTGCTTTCAGGTTTTCCATGATGGTCTAGCTTCAATTGACTCATGATTTCAACTAGTGAAATTTGTAAAATCTTTACAAACCCCTTCTGATAAATGAACTTTGTTTATTCTTACTTATAATTATTGTTCTTCATTACGTAACTATTTGTGTGTTTTTTTATTATTATTAACGTTGTAGAATGATTTTTTATCACATAGATACAGATATATAATATCTGAGCTATAAAAAAATCTTCTCAACCATCTTAAGATACTTTATTTAATTTATTAAAATTGATTTATGTATTACTCTATTGATGATATGTAATCATAAAAGTTTTCAAATGAACTCATTTGTATCATTAATTTTAATTCATTTTATAATTATTATTATTACAAGTTGCAAGTAATTGATGAAAATTAAACAAAATCAAATGAATTTATGTTATTCTGCTCAAATCTTAGTTCATATTTTCTTTGATAAATATACAATGTGTGAATACTCTTATTTTGATTATTCCTGGTAGAATCAGTATGTTTAGATACTAAGCACAGTTACTCTACAGCAATTACATTCGTGAGCATTATTCTTTTAACTTGTTACGTCTTTATCCATTTGTAACTCATTGAAGTTAGACTTACACCCCAATGCCCTGGTATGGTTGAGGGTGGAGAGAGTCAGCTCAACCTCTCGAAATGCTTTCACATGGCCAGGCGTATACAGCCACTCAAAGGGAAGTCCTACTCATTGCCTTCTCGAGGCACGAGTTTGTTTGACAAATTAATAGGGTGGAAAGCAAATACTCGACGCTTTAACAGGGTTGGTGGACACGGAGGGTCCACCTAGAGGGGCTGAAAAACCTTGATTCCAAATCAATGGTGCACATGGGCTCCAGTATCCTGAAGGAACAAATGGCGTATGAACCAACTGTTGGTCACCGGCGACCATGGGACTACATCTCCTGACGTTGCTCCACTGACTTGTGGATCAGACCTCTAGGTGCAAGGTTCCGGGTGTGACCCCCTAATAAAAACCACCTGCTTCGGTCTGTGCACCTGTGCAGTATCACAGCCCACACAAATCAAGTGACTTGTGTAGCGCATAAGTATTCGGTTCCCCTTTGTACCAATATTTATGTGTTCAAATAAATAATAATAAATACACCACTAGACTCCGGCTCTGTAGTGTATAGGTTAATTGTTTGCGCGTGAAACCGAACGTCCTGGGCTCGATTCTCAGTTGTAAGGTCGTGGACGCGCAGTGCTGAGTAGTCTCATACTAGAATGAAACAGCCGTTCAGTGTTTTCAGTGGTTTTCTAACTTAGATCGGTTCATGATTTCAATAAGATTCAGCAATCTTTACAATTCCATATTGACAATATAATTTCATTTGATCCGACAAAGAAAAAAGGACAAGACAATCTATATGTTTTTTTAAAGAATAGAGAGTATATAAACGTTTAAATATAAGTCATATGAAAAACATCTATGTTGTATACAATCAACTGATGAGTGTTTATGAGGATTAACTTATATGAAGAGGATTAAATACTTGTCTAAAATAATTCCCTATCATTTCTAACAATTAAGAGTAAAACTATATGAGACTTATCTGCCTATTTATTTAAACACATAAATATTGGTATAAAATGGCACCAAAATATGTAAGCACTACGCGATGATTAAATTAGACTGTAAAACGATAAAAGAAAAGCGAGTATAGTAAATGCTTTTTTAAATAAAATAAATGGATAAAAATAAGTGAATCAGACTAATGATAATAATATAAATGGAAAAAGCAGTTCAGTTAGGAAAAATACAACCAGAGGTTACTATCACCTATATGAATTGAAAAATCACAGCACGACCACCACTGACCATCTCTGACATTTCAAGCCACTATGTTGCACTGTAACTAGAATCCCGGTGGCAGAGTCGTGAAAAATAGGCAGATGCTAGTTCTTTACAGCTTTCTTTTATACCACGACGCTGTCCTACGCTGACCACCTATGATAATTAGAAGTACTCGAGTTAACGTACTAACTAGGAATTCCCGAAATAGTGCGATTTACAGCAAGTAGGACTAGATGAGCACAAATGGGCGTATTATATTTAGAATTCATAATCAGCGGGCCATCAAGTACAAAGGAATCATTAGTTCGTACAAATACCACACCACCTCTCCGCTTTTCTAACTAGTCAATGTCGGTAAATAACCTACTATGTGCGACTCACTGGAACGACATTCGTAGTACATGTCCAAGTCATCAAAGCCGATGTTTCAAGGCAGTGACACTGCGAATATGTTAATCGAAGAAAACGCTTTTGATCGCTGATGATGCATTCATAAACAACTATTACAAGTATGAGATAACTTTGTGACGAGTTAATCTTCCTAACTATTTGAACGATTCATAAGATATTAGTGACCGGTTGTGAATAGTGCTGGCAAGTAATACTTCAAAATAAAGGAAGCCATAAATATTTCTAAATCATCTCATTTCTAGTGTCTCCCTATTGATATTCACAATCGACTATTGTTCGAGTCCCATCAGTTAGTCAATAAACCACCATCGACGTAGGACGTAGTCTGAATGTGCCACTATTTCGAATTAGCGCATATCACATCCCATCGGCACAATCAATTAATCATGCGAAAGATAGAACCTGGCATGTCAGTACACATAAAAGTAACAAAATTCGAAGCAAAGGAAATGCAATCTACACAAAAGAAATAGACAGATCAAGAGGAACAGAAGAGAGATTGAAAGATGGGAAGTTAACACTTAGCTGGAGATTTGAAAGATAGTGAATAAATGAAAATGTGCCACTTCTATCAGTTTCGTGATATGACATCTGTGAATTTTATTTAACGCAAATTAATTTGAAAAGGGAAAATTTTGTACTGTTTTAATACAAAAACTATACTGACTCGCATCTACATAAACGATGATGACGATGAACATACACATACACACACACACACAAAAACAACATACCATATTTTGATATAATCTCAGTAGCAGCATACTTTGATTTTTCAGAAGGCTGTAAAGTAATACAAAACACTGTTGACACAAATAATTTACACCATAGACAAGTAACAAATATTATGATATTACAGCACCAGCCAAAAAATATGAAATGATAGCAATGAGGATTATTAATTAAAGAATTATTATTATTATCAGAAAGTGTTTTGTGGAGATTTTTAGAAATTTCACAAGTTGAAATCATGAGTCAATTGAAGCTAGACCACTATGGAAAACCTAAAAGCATTGGACGGCTGTTTCGTCCTGGTATGGGACTCCTCAGCAGTGCACATCCACGACCCCGCACCTCAGTGGTCTAATGGTCAAGAGCTCGCGTGCGAAACCAGTAGGTCCTGGGTTCGAATCCCGCGGGGTGCGGGGTCGTGGATGCGCACTGCTGAGGAGTCCCATACCAGGACGAAACGGCCGTCCAGTGGTTCCAGGTTTTCCATAGTGGTCTAGCTTTAATTGACTCATGATTTTAACTTGTGAAAGAATTATTAGTTTAACACTGAGATGGATACTATGTGAACACCTAAATAGGCAAGACTAACATGTAGCATATACTACCAAAGTATTCGCTACTTAAAAGCACGATTCGTTGTATTGGCTAATATAAGAATATGTTGTAAAAAGGCTAAAGGTGATTAGACTAAAGCATGAAGCAACGGACTATTGGTTCAACCTATATTATTAATTACGGATCCTTTAATTAGAATTTGAGAAATATCTACTAGTCTAAAGTTGGAAACATTTGGTTCATAGTTTTAAATCCGTCATTCACAAGATGTTGTTGGATCTAATGATAGATGTTATAGTCAACAAATAGTACTGTAGAAACGGAAAAGTATGACTCAAAATAGCTAAAGTAAGAGTGCTCTAAAATATGAGCGCTAGAATCAGACATCTTCATACAGGGAACGAAAGGAATAAAGGTGTGATGTTCCGGTGCCTTCAAGTACAATTTTAAGCCATTTGTCTCTTCTTTGCAACTCCAACCATAGCAATTAGCTATTGAGTTTAGTATGCTTATGAATTTTTGCGTGAGAAAAATGTTATGATAAGTTACAGATGGACTAATGTTTGGGAACCGACCATAAAAAAATGATAGCGGTATAAGTCACTACAATTATCTGGGAAAAATTGTAAAACAGTCTTAGAATCATAACAAACCGTAGGACAATAATCTCTACAATTCTCTAATGTGATTTTTTGATGAGACTAAAACGATGTCCAGTAGATGCCAGTCATAATAAAAGTTTATCAACCTGGAATAACCATAATGTCTTTAAGCTAATTTACCGTAATTTGGGGCTAGCTATCTAATGGTATCACATACCAGTAATATTTAGGCAGTAATATGTTTCCTAGATTTGATTAAATGTCAGAATACTTCGGTGAATAATCATCGAGTCAGGTATTTTTATTAAGATTTAAAACGATGAAAGTGCAGAGATAACCGTTATTTACATCGAGTTGTAGCACAACCACTGAAAGAGATGAAAGCTAGGTATTAACTTCAATATATTAGTGAAATTCGGTGCGAATCATGATGCCTAACAGGATTCCGTGTTTACATGCCGAAAAATCAGATATTGGTCAAGTGAAAATGATTTAACAAATGACCACTTAACCAAGTTGGAGTCGACACTTAACTATAGGCCCTTGCAAGGTTGAGGGTGGGAAGTCAGCTTTACCTCTCCAAATGCTTTCATATGGCCACATGTACACGAAATTGAAAGAACGAAAAGCGAATGTCCGGTGCTTTAATAGAGTTGGTGGATACGGAGGATTCCTCTAGGGGAGTTGGAAAACTCTGATTCCAAACCATGGGCGCATATGAGCTCCAGGACCATAGAAGACTAAATGGTGTATGAACCTATTGTTGGTCACCAACTACCATGGGACTGCATCTCCTGACGTTGATCCACGTTCTTATGGATTAGACCTCTTATTAAAAAGCTTGAGGAGTGGCTTCAAGAAAATCAACTGGGTCGATTTTGGGCACCCGAACAGTATCCCGAACGACACAAATCCCATGATTTGTGTGATACATACATATTTTATTACACCTTTGTACCAACGTGTCTAAATAAGTAAATAAAATATATTTTCCTGTAGAAAACCATATTTTAAACACTTTTAGTTCATATTAGACACTAATGAGATTATGATATTAATAGATATAGGCCTATTCAGTGGTTGACAAGGTTCTTACTATAAACCCGCATAAACACAAAAATGTCTGGCTGGAACCCACATCTGTAAGTTCATCTACAGGAATTTTGTAACTCACCAGGTATGCTGACAGTAACTCCGCTATTTCAGAATGTGATTCTGACGAACCATGAGAAACATTTAATATGCCACAAATATATTCACCAACAACCTCAGCATCAATATCCTTTGACAAATCTGTGAGGAAAGTAGCAACCCAATCAAATTGTAATTCATTTGAAGACATACAGCATGCGGATAGATTACTTGTAACAGTGGTAAATACCAATATTTAAAAGTTAGAAGTTCGAACGACAGAGTATTACGGTCTAAAAAATAAGAAACAGAAGTAACAATGCAAATCAATGGTTAACTGATATACAAGATTGTAGCAGGCTATTAAGGTAGTATATTTGTTTCGAGTGCCTGACCCCTACTTGAGAAAATACTCATCCGTCTGGTCTGAAAGTTTCATTTCACTGAAGGCGAGAAACAACTGGAAGGAGCTGCACAGTGCACAAGATGTGAGGTAAAACAAATATCAATAAGAACTCATCCTTTTGAACATGAAATATAGATGACCAGTTACTTACAGGTCGTGGATAGAAGCTTCGATAATTAATAGAGGAAAACTGTTATGGCTTTGGAAACAAGCCCCATGTGGTGGACCAGACAGGTCTATCTCCACACCCTAAGCAATTTGGCGAGACGTACAAATTCCTATCTATGGAGAAGTATGTTAGATGAGCCGTCTACTGGTAGTACCTGGAAAGACATAAAACATGTACCCGCTACTTAGCAAGCAGTCAACACGAATGCGTTCTAAACAGGTAAAATATTCTGTTATGTTTTTCTAATAATAATCATTAGATCTCTTAAATGTGTGTGCCTATTATCGTGAGAAGAATGTTACATAAGGAGTGAGACAATATTTTACTGAAATTCGGAATAAGTCATATATTACCGAGTATGTGTAAGTACGAATTTACACCTGATCGGAGAACTATTATTGGTTGAGAGAGCGCGGGAACTTTATGTTTGAACCGGCTGTGTCGAAACACGTGTTATAGAGTTTATTTGGAAACAGGAGAGATCTAAAACAACAGCATGCAAATCGGGGTCAGTGAACGTCTGAGAGGAGGTGCAATAACACAATGTGCTAACACAACCTATATATTTTCTCATAATGGTGCTTGTGGTGATTGTAGCGTCGTAACAGTTGAATATATTTCAAAAACCGAGTAACGTGGTTCGGTTGCAAAATGAAACGCTTATATACAAAATAGTTCCATCCATCATTCTGCAAGTCCATGTTACTCAGAACTTGTTCCTCTAATAGTGCGTTAATCCTTTGTTACCCTTCACTAAGGAAAACAGATTCATATTAATATCGTTTTTATTTGCTGTTACACTACTACCTCACTCCTTGAGACACTGTCTCAAATGCTTAGTGGTGGACATGTGTATACCGTACCTTTTTCTGATGGTAGTTTCTAATAGCTGGTGGCGGGCGAGTGTTAAAACAGCAGGTATTTAAAATGACCGTCGTTCTGTTTAGCTTCAACCGGTTATAGTGTATTGTTATAACGTCACCTTGTGATCGCTGAAGGTTACGTTACACAAAAGTAGTGGGAGATTAAGCAAACACTATTTCGTAGGGACCTTGCCAAGAATGGTGGAACTTGCTGCATGTTACTGGCGGAGCCACATGGCGATGTAGCCAAACGCGATCTTCAAGTCTATAGACTGGCCCGTTTACTTGTCAGTCGTATGCGTCCCTTCGGTGTTTTCTAGCATTCTCTGGATTGCTTTCGACCAGGCGATACGCGTCAAATAGATGGCTAAGAAGATTGAGAATTTATGGTACGTGCTCCTGAGACTCACGTGGTAACAACGGTATATGTATCTGAACAGGAAGATGTAATTTATGCTCAGAAAGTAAAGTAGCAGGTGAGGATCCTGTGAACCCATGCACTGATGCACTATATTCTAAGAGACATTAAGTTATCTCATCATACTGATGTTCAATCGACGATATCTGGCATACCTGAGCGATGAGATGTCCTTATAAAGCTATACCTTGGTCAGAATGGAGTGAGAATGGAGCGTCATAACGAGAAACCCAACGATCAAATAACGCTCGTAAAACCGTGAGAGCATTTTGTCGTGGAACGGAAACGGCTTCATACCATTTGCTAAAACAGTCTACCGTCACCAGTATGTAGTGGTTTCAGCTCTTCGTTGTTGTAAGCGGCATCATAATATCAGTGCCAACTCGCTGATGTGGCCCTTCTGTTATCATTGGGGTTGGCAGTGCACGGAGTATTTGTTAGGAAGCTTTATTGTGTGACACGCTATGATTCTTGCAAAATTCCGTTCTATCTTTGTGGATGGATGACCACCTAAATCTCTGGCCAATTACATGTTCGATCTTTCGTTTTTTCGAGTGGCCAAGACCTCAATGCACCTGCTTCATAATATTCCGAAATTCTACATGATGCTGTAAACAGGGGTTGTTTCAACTCATTGATCAGAAATAACATGTCACCATATAAATGGTAGCATAAGAATGAGGTATACGGGGTAGAGAATATGCATTTATATGTCGCCTTCGAGGTCAATGACCGCACGTAAAACCGAACAATTTCAACCTCTCCTGCAATCACGCCACTTGACCTTTTGGCTCGCGAAACAAACGAAACCACTGAGGTGCACGATGGTCTGTGTCTTCACGGAAAGGGTGTTCCAGGAGATGGCAAGGAAAATGATGCAGAAATTTTACCAGTGCCAGGATCTCTCAGCACATTGTAGGATATCTCGTTTCCCTCTTCTCTAACCACCAACTAGTATACACGATGGCCCGCTCATGTCCATCTTGTACTATTTGAGACAGAACTTCCCTGATAGCTGGCGAGCTAACGTTCGTGTCAAGTTTAGACTCACACATATTGGATGAAATGTCCGGAAAAGCTAGTATATGTCGGGTAGTAAGGCAACACTTCAAAGTTTTAAGTACCTATCGACAATCTATGGTCAACAAAAACTTTCGTCCTTATACGTCAGGAGATGTGAAGGTGCTGTCGAAGATGCGAAACTCTGTACAATAGGTCTATAGTTGGAAAAGAGTCATAGAAAGCTGCGGACATCTTCGACAATCTTAGGCTGTTTCCAGCCAACGACGTTGCTAATCCTTCTCTCTTTTCTTGATCCTTTCGCCGCGATCCGGTGTCCCAAGAAGAGCATTTCTTTCTGCGAAAATCGACACTACGATGGTTTCGTTATTCGAATCATAGTGCTTAAGATCTTGGCGAACTGCCCTAAAGTTGGTACTCTGCTGTACAGAAACGCCACCATACACAATAATATCATCAACGTATTTTAAGCACTTGTGTGGTACCAGGTCGTGCAAAATCGTTTGCAATAATCTCTGGAAGGCTGCTGGGGAGTTAGTCGATCCAGAGGTATCGCTTTTAATTCATACAGCACATTCGGAACGACGAATGCAGTTTTCTTTCTGTCCTGAGATCGTACACCTGCTTGTCAATGCCCGGATGATAGATCAAAGTCGAAATCGAACAATCGCCTTTCATGATGTCTATCGCAGCATCAATCTGAGGAAGCGGAACTGGGTCACATTTCGTTATGGCATTAAGACTACGGTAATCTGCACATAATTGAATGAAGGAATCTCCTTTTACTGAAACCATGAACGAAGCCCAGGGTGATGACGGAGCTACAATAATCTTCTTTTCTAACATCTCTTTTGTCATTGAGTATAGCTGTGGCTGGTAATGTGCTAACACTGCAAGGTTGTTTGAGTAGTGGCATGTGGTCACCTGTATTAGTGAAGTGCTATATATTATTCGTTCGGTTTTCAGAGACGTTCTCCCTGAAAACAGAGATAAATTGTCGGATTAAAGAGACAGTTGACAGACGAGAGCTTTCCGTTATTTGTCCATTATTCTGTTCTTAATTTGGAATTTCTAGCACTCCTATATGAGCCACAGATCTGATTGCCACTTCAGAGTGGTGGGCCTGCACCAATTCGTGCTTCCGCCATAATCGCGTGCATAACATATTCGTGTTTTACATAAAATCAGCCTCGAGTATCAAGTCCGTAGTCAATGTAACACAGACCAGAAAGTAATTTATGAATGAATGTTCTTCAACGCTATGTCTAGTCGCAACTTAGAGCCTGCTTCCAACAGAGCACCTATCGCTGTTTATGGTGCTGAGAAACACAGTGTTTGTCCGCTTTCAAAAATGTGTGTGTAAATCATCCTTTCATGACGGATGTCGACGCCTCGGTGTCAAGTAGGATGGTAGTTTAGACCTCCCCAAAGTCCGACAACCGAGATTATCGGGTTCTCCAGCTGAACCGTTGTCAATCTAAGCATTACGTTTTACCGTCCTGTCACTGGTTTGCACAGATCGTTTGGCCGGAGAATATTTATCTGCTGATACATTTGATGGGCTTTACAAGTGATGCAATCCCACAGATTCTTCAACGATTACTGTCGAGCGGTGTGCGCATGAGCTACTTACGTGCACTTATTAATCCTCTTGGAGGAGCACAGGCCTCCCACCATCATTCCCCATCCAACTCCGTCCTGAACAATCTGTTTCAGTTGATTCCACTTGTCGTTCGTCCTTTATATATCTGCTTCTAGTTCTCAATGCATCTTATTATTCAGACTTCCTCTTCTGCGTTGTATATGTTATGCGGTCAGCAGACATTCAGTATCCTGCGTGGACAACTATTTATAAATACTTGTACATGTTTGATGATGGTTGTAGTAGTTCTCCAAGTTTCAGTTTCGTACAGTAGAATTGTGTTGACGTTCATATTGAAGATTCTGACTTTGATATTGGTTGACAGACAGTCGTTTTGAGTTCCAAATGTTCTTCGAGTGTAGGAATGCAGCCATTGCTCTGACAATCCTCAGCTTTACGTTGGCGTTAGATCCTCATTTATCATCGATGATGCTGTCCAGATACGTGAAGGATTCCGCCTCCCGTAGGGCTTCTCCATCAAGTGTGACTGGGTTGGTGTTTTCCGTGTTGTATTTGATAGTGTTGCCTGTTCTCTTGCTTATGTTGAGTCTTACTGATGCAGAGGTTGCTACTAAACTACTTGACTTCATGTTCATTTGTTCGTGTGTGTTAGACAGAAGGGATACGTCACCTGCGAAGTCTAAATTACTTAGTTGCATGCAGGTTGTTCATTGTAGTCAGTGCTTCCACTCAGATGTGGAGGTCTTCACAATCCGGTCAACCAACAGATGAAACAGAAAAGGGGAGTCAAGTTTGTTCAAAGAATTTTTAAAACAATCAGCTGTGATGATGCAATTGTCATATTAGGCTAGACAAAAACGCATACTGTTGAAAAGATCCCCAAAATAAATGTTCCTGTATGTTCCCGACAATGATGCTAATCGCATTACTTTTACTGGACACATTCTGCCTCGTGAACCTTGGAATTACCAGCCAACTTTGATCAAACAGTTCTGAAACTCAAAACAGCTGATAGCTAACATCAAAGCCCAAATCGTCAGAATAGTTCTGTTGCATGGATCTAAAACTTGAAGGACTATCACAAACCTTATCAAAAAGGCACTGGTGTTTATAAACAGTTTTCTAACCAAGACACTCAATCTCTGAACTATAGACCATCAGAAGTGGCCTACTGTGACAGTACAAACTGGCTTCCAACTGGAGAAGAGAGTAGAAAAACATGATGGAGGAGGATAGAAAACGTAATGCTGAAATGATCAAACTACATGAATAACCGAGATTTAACTTGGAATTCTCAGG